TACTTAAGATGTAAATACCTAGCAGCGCCATTTTTTCATTGTTTAGGTCACTACCCTCTTCGAGGGATGCGAAGTAATAAAAAAAACGAGTGCCAGACCGATTCATTGGGGCAAAATTAAAAGTAGTTTAATTATAGGAGTGGCGCCGAAAATCCCGTCTTTATAAAACTTAACCTAAATAAATTTGCCGACAATTTAAACAGATTTAAAATTTCATCCAACGACCTTGAGATGGTTTGATTTCTAACAACACCCTTCTCGTCCAACGTATTTTTCTTTTTTTCCAGTACTGTTAACGGCAGCCATTCGGTAAACAAGTTTTATTTATTTATTTATATTATTTTGGGGGATGGCTCGGCATTACTTCCGAAAGGGGGGAAGTAATCGCGCCAGGAATTTACATCGAACCCACTAAGAAATGTGCGTAATAATGGAAATTAACAGATGGCACGACCGGAAGTGCGCGTCTCGCCTCCTCGCCAGTCGTCGGCGGTCCTACCCTTACCGCGGGAGCGAGCGCGCGCGAGCCGGCGCACTCGTCACGTCACGTGACCGGCGTAACCCCCCCTATCGAGTCAGTGACCGGCGGATGCCTAGCAGCGAAAATATAAGTTGCAGTTTCACGATACCGTACGCTTCGATTTCAATAGGGATCGGTGTCGATCCCTATTATTTTTGTGCGCCAGTGTGGCCGAATCCTCGTGCGCCCGGAATTTTTGTACGGTCGTGCCCTAGTGTCTGCGCCCACACGTACACACACACACCTATGCTCTCGTGCGGGACTAGAAAGCAGATGGCGCGACGACGGATGCAGGAGCGCGCGCTTGTGCCTTCGGCATCCGAGCGTGGGTGTACAATGGCATCCACTCCATCTAATCCAATAACATTTCTGTCAGGTTTTACTGGTCGTTTGTCCACGTGCAAACTCGTCTGGTCAATTACAATAACGTCGGAGGCAATCTGTTAGTTTTTCTCGCACGAGGCCGAATCTCTTCCCTTTTCCTCCCCGTAAAAAGATAAGAGATAGGACGAAATGGGGGAGACTGCACCACACAGAAGATAATGTGCTAAATAAAGCCTTTACGAATCGACAGAAAAGGCTTAAAGTATTGGAATTTGCTTTATAGTTATTAGAAGATGCCCGGCCAAGTTAGCAGACGATGGTGACGGCATAAAAAAAGATATTATAGAGGAACGCGGACGGAACGGGGGAGTCCTTGAGGTCCCTACGCACAGAAGGAAAAGGACAATTTAACCCAACGGGAATGGAGTAAAGCTAATCCGTTGCTTCCTGTTGGAATTATAGGGCAGGATATGTGGATCACTGCCCCAAATAATGCTACCGTGTACAGATGGGAAGGACAGTTTGCGACGTCCTGTCCTTCCTTCCATCTCTCTATAAAACCGTATTATAATTAATGGGAAGCCGACGAAAAATTAGGCCTTTTAAATGGTAAATTTGTGGCGAGAAAATATCGTATTAATAACACAGCTGGTCCGCGGGTGAGCAACCATCTGATGACGAGGTGGGGAGAAGAGAAAGAGATCGACTGCTCACTCCTGGTAAACCTAACCCACCTTTCAAGGACGTATCTTTTCCCTTCCGACTAGTGTAACTTCTACACAGTGAAATCGCATCTAGTCCATTGACTCTGCTTTCCACAAACCGTGCGTGGAGACGTATTTAAACGTCATCTCGTTCGACTTGTAAGGGGTGGGAGGGACAAATAAATAAATAAATAAATAATCCCGACCCCCACCGTCCTCTAATCCCGTTTTTCTTAAGCCCGCACGGCATCCGTGGGAATACAAAGATGTCATTAGGAAGAGGGTAGTGACCTCTCGGCGACAGGATTCGGTTAATTGTTAACACCGAACGTCATTATCACGTATGACGCATTGACCTATAGTGGCAACGAAACCCAAAGATGGAAAGAGGGAGGGCAGTAAAGGATGCGTCTGGCTCACCTCCAGGACCCAAGGGTAGCAGCTGGGGGTGGGGAGAGAGAGGGGAAGAGATGGGAGTACTATAATTAGCTTTCCAGTCTGATTGGAAGACGAGGCCTAAGATAAAATTAGGAGTCACGGCAATGACTGTCTGGCAGCAGCCAAAAAGTACACATCAGCTATTCGCAACCGAATACAAATACCCGTATCCCGCCTTTTGATGTCTTCCGACCCTCTTAAAAACCTACGAAACAAACTCGTTCGTTTCTACCACAAAATATAATTTACTAACGCTTCCGGTCGTAAACTACACACGGGGATCGGATTATGAAGTGAAAACACCAAAAAATATTTGGGTTAAACCTTAATTTTGCATCTCGGAGCCATCGCTTTCTGGATAATAGTCCATTTCCAATAACAATACTATGACGTGTTACGGCAGCCATTTTTTTTCGACGTAGTGTAATTTGGGGTAAATCGAGGTCCGAATACTTCCTTAGTTTGAGAAGTGTTGAGGTATTTTTCGTGGTATTCTGGGGAACACTACAGAAGTGTTCCAACCGAAAGACGAACTAGGCTCGTGTTTTCTCTGTAAATAAGCGAAAGCGCAAGTCTAGTTTACCTATCACTCGTAGTATTATTTTAACAGAAGGATAACTACACTCGTGTTTCGTATTAAAACAAAATTTTATGGTATTTTTGGAGAAAACTTTATAGTTTAGCCTAAAGGTTATACTTTTCGCAATGTCGCCACGTTTATTGTACTTATTATTTAGTGTGACATTTCAATGTGGCGTGTGTGACGTCCCCAGTCACGTGCACACAAACGGCAGCAAACATTCCGGAGGGCGAAAAATGTTAAAAAGCCAAACTTTCCACTCGAGTCGGGACGTGTCCATCAATTCGTGTTCGCCATTGTAACCTGGCGCCGTTTCGTAGCAGGAAGCCAAGGCTGGAGGCTGCACCTCCTCCCCCTTCATATCTCGTATATTTTATTCATTAAAACGAGGAATGTTTCTTCTCGACTTAAAAAAATTCAAAATCCCGATTTAACGCGTCTATCCCCCAAAGCGTTCGGCGTAAAGAAACGCGTAGAACATACGCATTACGTATTCCTCGAATCGAGTTAACAACCGGAAATGACACGGCACGCACGATCTCGCATGAATTTGCAATTTCCGCTCCAACAATTCGACCTTCGAAGGATATTCGGCTTCAAAAAAAGCAGCGAAAAAATGTAAAAAAACTAAAATAAAAATCACTCCCTATACATAAACGTACGTACAGTACGTCACACATTAAAGGTGCCATTTTAAAAAATTACCACTCTTTCTTTTTGTTCTATGGGCCAAAAAAATGGCGTTTTGAGTTTTTCTGACTGCATTTTTGAAAATAAGCGGGGTTTATAAGCGCGGCTCGAGACACTATAAACAATAAACACCATTCTCCAAAAATTACATACGCACGCGCTTCAAAAATATTTCAATGGCTCCGTGTCGTTTACGTGCTATACACGAGAAAACAATTTTTCTCCTGTGTTTTTTAAAAGGGACAACGTGACCGAACCACGAATTAAAGAGCCAAATTCGGGGGTTTTTAGATTTTGGTTAATACGGTGTAATTAAACCGCGGGTAGAGCTTCAAAAACCCAAAGAAATTTGAACAAAATCGGGAGAAATTTGGGATTTTTTTGGTGTTAACGCGAGCCGAACACTATAAACAAATAAAGAAATTTTGTTCCACCAAATTTGGGGGAATTTTTATGAGTGTTTTAGATTGATGCAATGCGTGGGACCTTCAGTAAAGAAGTGGAGAGAATTCATTTTTTAAGCCAAAAAAAAAGGGAAGAATTTCGCTTTCTTTTTAAGTTAATGCAAATTTAAACCTAAAAAATTAATAATAAATTTTGTTTAGCCAAATTTTGAGATATTATTTAGAATATTTTTGATGCTGCAACACGCGGGAGCTTCGTTAGAGCCAAAAATTAATTTTCTTCGGCATCAGGGGAAAAAATCTGGTTTTTTTGGTGTTGATGCTACAAACAAGGACCAAATTTTGGGAAATTTTTAAAGCTTTTTTTTAGATCGATTCAACTCGTAAAACCTTTAATAGAGAAGGAAGATCGATGTTTTCAGATCAAAATTAGGGATGAATTTAAATTTTATAGTATTAAAGTAAGGTTAAAATTTAGGTAATATTTTAAGCGTTTCTTTGATATTATACAGCGTGATACAACCGTAAATAAAGGGAAAGAAATGAATTGATTTAACGAACATGGCGGGGATTTTTTTTCATCAAAATGCAATATAAACCACGAATAAACAAAATTTGAAAATTTACCAAAATCTAGGAAAAACTGATAGACATTTTCTTTAAATTTCAATCCTAAAAACAAACCCAAAAAAAAAATTCGGTAATATATATATTTACTTTAGATCGATGCAGATACGAAGCAATAAATTCGGGGTGGCCCAAAAGTCGGTTGACCGATTACACGTATAAATACGCGCGATAAACCGGGTTTAGAACGTGTAGAACAATTCGAACAAGACGGCAACGTAGTCCTAATGACGGTCTACCAACTTTTGGGCCAGTCTAGATCTCCGAACACTCTATATAAATATTATAAGTAAATAAATAATTCAGTCTCTACGATGGTTAACCGATTTATGGGCCACCCCGCGCGTGTCCAACCAAAGTAATTTAGTCTGTAGGCCACCCCACGCGTATAAATCATCAAAAAGTCTTGTTTTTTCGTAAATTACACAGGGCTAATCATAAAAATCACGCGAAAGATTCAAACACAAGGCCATAATAATGAAAAAAAAAANTAGGTAATTTTAAGAAAACTGCCAGAAGTGTTAAAGTCTTATGTAATTATTGATTATCTCCTTCCAGCTTCTGTGAATGTTTGGATAAAATATAGTTTGTAACATTCTTCCAGTTAATTAGAATTTGTATTAAAATTTAAAAAATTAACAATTTCTAATATTGGAAATTTTGAAGGTTCATTTAAAAATATATTTTGAATGAACCTCCACTTCTTACAAATGATATATATGTATATATATATAATTTTTTTAATTGTTAAAACTATAAATTTCTAAATCTAAAACATTATGAAATTTGTACAACTGTTACACATTTATGTTCCATGAGGTATTGCCAATATCTGACTAAAATTAGAATTTGTACATCTCTAAGTGACACTTGACTATAACATAATAAAGGAAACAAAAAAAAAATGATATTTCTACCGTAAATACGGTAAAATTTGTACTTGGGGAAGACAATTCGACTGCTAATATAAACTATAAAGAGAACTGTAATTATATATAGCAGCTTTGTATACGTGTATACATTGTTGTTGTTCTTTACATAAGCTAGAAACGTGTATATTTTTTTAAATACAAATTTTTTTGGGGGGTTAAAAATGTCTGTAAAAACTTATTTACTGGCTATTTATAAATATAACCACACACACAGACGTAAGCTATTTTTAGCATATTTCGAGCCTACTTGGCATGTATTAAAATTATATATATACTATACATATATATATATGTGTATATATGTATATGTATATATTGTAGGTTGCGTCGTGTAAACTGACTTATGAATATGCAGTATTAATTTATACTGTTATAAGCTATTGTTAAAGGTGTTGTTTTTATTAAATTTTTACATACTAAAATATATATATACATATATATACATATATATATAACTATAATAGGGTCAGAAGTGTTTCAATTTAGCTTACTGTTGAAGGGTTTTCTTCTTGTATATTTTAGTTTTCCATATTGTCGAACATAACACTCACTCACACTAGAGAACACATGAAAATATGAGAAAAATTTTAAAATATATATATTTAAGAGGTGTTGTTTTTATAGAAACGAGTCAGCAGTCGAAATTCGAATTTAATAACCTCTTCTCGGGCGCTCGCTCTATTGGTACAACGGTTCTGTGGTGTTGGGTGCAACTACATCCACGGTTTGTCACTTTGGCATAAGACACTTCACACAGTTTGACACATCCATTCAGAGGCCAATACAAACACAAACAGGGTAACAGGATCGACACGAAGCCCATGCATGCCCATCTGGAGTAACGATGCTGTGGTCCACACGAACAGGGATTATCGGCGCACGACGCCCCATCCATATCGTAATCTTTGGCCCAGTGATAGAATAAACCCTTAACACAACACAAACACGTGCAGTAATCCACAACGTTGTGTACCGAACACAAGCATTTATCGTTGCATATCCATCTAGAAGGTAACTGTTTCGTACCACGGCACGATTCACACTTACATTTACCGCAATGGTGGCATATTATGGAATCACCGTGATCTTCTAGTCTTTCCGACACTTCCGGATACTTTTCCTTTTTGAATGTCGTAACGGTAGGTTGTACGATGACGGACTGAGTATTAATCCTAGTATTTGCGTTTCTGGGGTTCCTGTGTACTTGGGCAAGTCCTACGTTGGCCGCTATGTCGTCGCCACCTTCTCGCTTTAACCTGCTAGCCTTATGAGACTGAGGTCTTAGCGGTGTATCGATGTATTCGTTCTGTTTACGATTATTGTTCGGCCTCGGCTGTACCAGAGTGATAAATTCTCTGGAAGTAGCCGTAGATTGAGTCTGAGGTTGTACACGAGCCGGCGACGAGACCATTTGAACAGTCGGTAAGATTCCGCCATTTTGTGCCATGTAGCCTTACATGTAATCTACGTTGTCGCGATTTTGACGAAGATTACGAATTATAGTCTATTTAATTGGTTGGATATTTAAATAACTTTCGTTACTTACATGTTTACGGCTTTGCCAACGTTTATCCGATATCCATGGCACACGCGGTGGCACTCGAAACAAAAAAATAATAAGAAATACAACTGTATATAGGTGCGTGTGTGTGTTTAGGCAGACAGACCGAGCACTTTGTACGTGGTTTACACACACAAGAAAAGGCAGAGATTCGGGATGTACGACATGTTCATTCACACATTTGTAAAGGATGTAGAGGCGTCAGACATTCGTCCTTGCCCAGTCCACTTGTAAATGCTACAGTGGCGGTTCTACTTCTGCGGAGCATGCGCCGTCCACCGACCAACGAGAAACCAGCGTGTTTTTATGAATGGACGGCATGTTTTGTGAATGAACATACGTTGCTTACAGACGCATAGTACTTTCGACGTAAGCTTCTACATACTTTTCCATTCACTTAGTGTTTACTCAATGATGCATTGTCATTGCGCCTTCTCGTCTTGTCGTTTCACGCTTCTTCTAATAAATACTTTTTTCGCCATAATCGACATCTGCCAAATATGGAGTTAGTTATTGTAATTTGACACTAAAAGCCGACCTCGTTCCTTGCCCCGTTTTGACTTCCGGAACAGTCCATCTTTAACGTATTAAAGGGGCGTTTGCGTACGTTTCGTTTCGTTATCGCTTCGCGTAACGTACGCGCCGATTGAAGGTTGGCATTTTTAATTGTCAAAACAATTAATGCCAAAGCCACGTCTTTACCACTCCGTCTACCGGCATTTGTGTATAAAGTGCTTATTTACGCCCCGAGCTTTTTAACCTCCGACTTAAACCCATTATTTTTAAAGAAATTCAACTTATTAATAATTTATTTAAATTAATAAAATTAAATTAAAATAATTAATTAAAAAGTCATAAGATTAATATTAAAACATTTAAATAAAAAAATATTCCCATTTCCAATTTCAACCACCAGAGGTCAAATTTCTTATCAATTTTAATAATAATAATAATAGTAAATAAATAAATAATTTTTAAGGGGGCGAGTTTTCGAAAGCGACATCTGATGTCGAAAGATGGAAATTATAAAATAATGCATTTATTTATTTTTAAATTTAATTTATACGTGTATAATACATACGTATATATATATTTAAGTGTATAAAAAATTGCGAATTATAATTAGATAGCCGAACGATAAAATTAAAAGTTAGAATAAATTATGTATTTTTTTTTAAGTCAGTGAAGTGTTAACCCTCGATGCACCTGACTAGGTTCTGTGTGCGATTGTCAGAAACACACAAAACACTTTATACACTCCTACACTTTCGAATCGTTAAGGCAATTATCACTCGGTAATACAAAATGGCCGCCGAAAGGAAATGGAAGAGAGAAAGTTTCTAATTGCTTTCAGCGGTAGTTGAAGGTCAGCGGATATTAAAGCGTAAAAAATTTGGAATCTAATAATTTACAGAAATAAATTCTTTATTTTGAGTCCGTTGACCTCTCTACCAAATTATTTTATATATTAAAAATGATTAATGATGCTTCCTACATGATTAATTATCGTCAAATTAAGACAACTGCGATCCCGATCTCCATATTAACTCCTACTTTTGAGCCTACCTTTAGACTGATATCAATTCGACACCCTTCCTTATAATGATGATTTTTTCTTGAAAAAATACAATATTCGTCCAAAAAAAATCATAATTTTATCCCTTTTTCTCCCCCATTCTTCAATTCCTGAAGTTTTTGGATGATTATTGCTTCATTTTTTTTGTTAATGATCTTTAAATCATGGAGATTTTTAGGGTAAGAGCCCGTAGATTTATGGAGAAACCTTACCAAAAAAAGGAATGGGTGTTCCTATTTAAAAATGCAATAAAAACAATCATTTTTTTTTATTAAAAAATGCAATATTAGTTCCAAAAAAACTTATCATTTTTTAAGTCCATGTTGGTTATTTCATTAAAAAGAAAAAATATATATAATTATCCAATGAATCTTTCGGAATTTTAAGGATAAATACTTTATTCAAAGAAGTGTCCAGAAATTAAAAAACTCAAAACATTTTCAGGATTTTTTAAAAATTAAAAAGGAATTACAATTTTTTATTTATAAAGTTATGATTGTCCAAAAAATCCCCGGGACTTTTAAGGATTTTTTTTGGATTTTTGTTCAAAGGAATCTCCAGGGATTAAAAGACTTTTATATAGAAAATTAGAAAGAATGTTCTTCCATAAAAATGGAAGAATTTTAATTCTTTTAGATTTAAAAAATATTGAAATTTTGCTTCCAATATATCCAAATTTTACATTAAATTATTCAGAGTTTGGACTGAAAAATGCAAACTTTAGATCAAGTATTCGAGTTTAAATTAAACCTTAGATCATTTTTTTGACAATTAAAATTTTATATATTTTTTATTGTACAAATCCAACATTTAAAAGGGGGGAAACAGATATATTTAAGATCCTATTGATTTGAATCATGTTTGCCAAGATAAGAATCCAGATAGGAGAATTAATAGCAGGTTTCTTATTTTTGTCGCCTACACACCAGAAACCATTCCTTTTAACTTATTGCCACTTCATTCAAATGATATCTTATGTGTGTGGGCTAGTGTTTTCTGACCGAGTCGAAAAACACACATACGTACATAGCGATAGCATCGTTAACAATTGAATAACACTACCTTATCAATCATATTCAGACACAGAACTTTTTTACAAGCTGTGTAATAAAATCGTGACGTAATTTTATTTAGTTCGTGAGCGATAAAATCGATCGTGTGGCCATTTTTTCGGTGTTCGTAATTCTCCAGAAGGGTAATCTTTGATCCGATTTAATTCTTGATACATTGTACTGTTGCCTTTCGGTAACCGATTTCTAACATTGTAATTGTGTTCGGTTTTACAGAAGCAGCTAATTTCTGGTGTTATAAGTGATGTTTAGTTGTGTATCTTCAGCCGATTTTTAACAGTAGTAAGTAGTAACTTTAGTAGTAACTGATTTCTACCATTTTAAGTCATATTTAACACTATAAAAAATATTCTTAAAGTATTTTAAACACGATACACGAATATTAATTAAATTTATATAATTATTTTCATATTGCAAAGCGGCCATTTTTACTCATCATTTTAGCAAAAAGAAATTGTTTAGATAATTACGAGCTCCTCTTTTTTCAATATTATTATTATTTCCTTCGAGCAATTTTAATGACACTTTGATGTTAACACTAGAAAGTAACATCAACTCGAGGAGATATGCTCAGTTAAGCACGAGAATTACATTAACACCCAACTTAACATACGTGACGTAAATGATGACGTAAATTTGGCACTTTGCCTTAGAAATTATGATGCGTGTATATGCGAATGAACAAATATTTTCGCTCGATAATGCTTACATTTGGAAAATTTTAATGGGCTCTAATCTCCCGAGAAGATAAATTTAAAAAACTTAATTAGAAATTTTATTTAGGAATTTCTTTAAAATTTAATATTTAAGTGTACAGGAGTTTGTACAAAAATCATCCGGTTGTCTACATAAAAACACCCTCCAACTTTTGTATACATTAGAGACTTATAAGGAAAAGTATGAATCAAAAATGCAAAAATTTACTACCAGTCACCTGTTAAATTATGCTAATTAATGCGAAACTCGCGCGTTACTTCCGCTTTAAAATATGCTAATTAGTGCTGAAATTTTGCTACTTCCGTTCCGTCGATGCTAATTTTCGCGTATTCTGTACCCAAAATACGCGTAAAATAATTGAAAATTTATGGTAATTTACACGAGAATCGTGCATAAATTAACGCTAATTAACTTCCTACCTTAATTACTAAACTAGGTTTGTGTTAATCATCGTTAAAAGCATAAATTTTTTTCGCCGGATCTTCTGGTTAGTGTCACATTTAGTGTGATATTAGGTACAGTATCTGTGTTTGATGAGTTTTATCTAAAGAGTTGACAGGAAATGAATTTCTATGACACCAAATGAACCTTCTCCTCCCGGAGGTCACTCCTGTTAAATGTAATCTTGATTTATATAAATGAATAAAACGAAAATATTATATATATAAATGAAAATATTAATATAAACAGTTGCAAAATGACCGTTTTAACAATTAAAATTTCGCATAACTTAAATACAGTATTTTTTTTCATACATAACTCCGCCATTTTGATGGATGAAAGTTCATACTTTTCAATCATCGCCGGCAAAACTTTTAAGATATTGACGTTTAATGCACTAGAAGCAATCTGCCTTCTATCAAACACGTAGATTTTAAAGTAGGAAAGAGAAAAATATTTTTAAAATATAAATCATCTCGCCCTCCATTTGTAAAGCACGTGACAGGAAATCGTAGTCACGAAATATTTGGTGGGGGGGACCTTACTTCCTTTTCGATAATTTGTATATATATCGAGTGATATTAAGTTACAAAAACTGTAATGAAATGTAAGTCGAATGCTTCCTATCTATATTAAGTAATGTTGTAGTGGTCGATGAAATATGCCCTCGTATAAATATATAGTTTGTTTACATGTTTGGAGTTCCGCCATGTCTCTTACTCTTATAAATTAACTGGTTGCTCCTTTTTAAGGTTTTTTTTATATTGCGGGAGGGTATAAATGCTGTTGCAGTGTTTATTATAAGTCATAGATTATTTTTATCTTCTACACAATTTAATTAATGCTTGAAAGTTGGGTGATGATTTTTGTGTTGGAATTAAGTTTTTTAAGAGATTTTTTTATATTTTACATGCAATCTTTCAGGTGGAATTTCTTTTAATTGTGCATGAAATAATACTCGTTTATTTGTCATGGAATTATGCTGTACTTAACGGTTAATTTATATTAATTTTCTGGTATAATTATACTATTTAAAATTATTTTTATGCTAATTTTGTAGTGGGTTAAAAGGGGTTTTTTTAATAGCTATTTTATGCTAACTTTTTTTTGAAACTGCATTTTTTTCATGATTATTTTATGCTAATTTTTATGGTAAAATTATTCTAACAAAAGTAATAAATTATTTTGCCCAAAGTGTAATTTTTCCAAAATTTTCTATTGTTCTAAAATGAAAGTTTTATTTTCATTTTTGCTCCTTAAACACATTTTAATATCGCCATTTTCTTTTAGAAAACGGCGGAAAGAATAATATTATTCCAAATATCTTCGTATAAAGAAATATTTCGGTTTTTTATGTAAAAATCAACGGTAAATAAAGCGCGATACATATAGCGTGATCGACAGACACTTCGAAATGACTTGGTATAGCGTCTTAACGAAATGTTTTCTAGTAATTAAACATTGATATGTAGTTGCCGACAAAGGACCTTGAGCTGATAGAACTCGTAGAGAAAATTAATTAATAATTACGAATACGTAATTTACGCTACGCATCTCTTAAAAATGTCGCATCTTTCCGACAATGCGTATTTATCGAGTTCACAGTTTAATATTTAATAAAAATAATTAATTAATTTTCTGGTTATTTAATATTTTACAAATTGTGCAGAGGGCGCAGGGTTTCTAGATGCAAGTTTGGGTTGTCCGTCAGAGAGCGATATAAAAATTAATAATATTATTATTATTAATATTTGCATATTTTTTCGACTTTTCTTAAATAAACTGTGGATAAATATCCAAAAAGTTGTATAATGTTTTTATATCTCGGCATTTATAGAGAACTCTTTAGTTAAATTTTAATTTAATGACGCAATAATAAATTATCAGTACTTTCGGCGCATGCTCTGATAACATTTGTGGAACGAGTTTAAACTTGTTTAAGTGTAAATGATAATTACATTTATAAAAGCGTAATGACAAATTGCGCTTAAATTAAATTAAAGCATTAAATTAATGATATTGTTACAAAATTAAATAATTATCTACAGTAGTGAAGCGTTATATATTTATGTTTTAAAAAATATCTTTTTCAACGCTTCACATACGAACCAGAAATTGTTTAAAAATAATTATTGTCTGCAATAAACAAAAATTCAATGAGTTGAAGCTATTTCATTTTTTTACGCTGAAAATTGGTTTTCAAATATAAATTTAGGAAGATCTAAATGTAAGGAAAGTGATAATGCATTAATTCGCTTCTCTGAGGAATCTGGGTTCGAGTACAGCCTTGCCTCCATTTGCAAGTTTCTAGTAGCAGTGGCTAGTGATGGCGGCGGTTAGTATGGAAACAATTCCACGGGGATATCTTTAGTGGCTGGCATTAAGGAAAATTCGACGTGTCGAATATTTGTCGCCACCGCTAAGACTTATAATCTTCAACGGCCAATAAAATGACAGTATTAACCTGATGTCAGACTAATAGAATTTTTTCATGTCTAAAAGTGTGGAAAAACTCTAATTTGCTGATGTATAAGAGTTTCTAATTGAATTCTTTGCATAGCCGCAAACGCCATTGCTTTCAGTGGACACAAAATTCCGTATCTTTGCGGCTACGTTTGCCGCCATTGTTCGTCAATGTCGCTGGAAATTTGCAAGTGGAATCAAGACTTAAGTGTCAGCTCTTTAAAAGTTAACACGGATCGATCTAGCGTCATTTCTCACTCCAGGGCTTCTCCATTAAAAAAAAATGGCGGGCCTGGTAGTGAGAAAGCTAACATATGACGGAGTAAAAACAGGTTTTTCTTAATGCCTACAGAAAAAAANAAAGTGCTTATTTACGCCCCGAGCTTTTTAACCTCCGACTTAAACCCATTATTTTTAAAGAAATTCAACTTATTAATAATTTATTTAAATTAATAAAATTAAATTAAAATAATTAATTAAAAAGTCATAAGATTAATATTAAAACATTTAAATAAAAAAATATTCCCATTTCCAATTTCAACCACCAGAGGTCAAATTTCTTATCAATTTTAATAATAATAATAATAGTAAATAAATAAATAATTTTTAAGGGGGCGAGTTTTCGAAAGCGACATCTGATGTCGAAAGATGGAAATTATAAAATAATGCATTTATTTATTTTTAAATTTAATTTATACGTGTATAATACATACGTATATATATATTTAAGTGTATAAAAAATTGCGAATTATAATTAGATAGCCGAACGATAAAATTAAAAGTTAGAATAAATTATGTATTTTTTTTTAAGTCAGTGAAGTGTTAACCCTCGATGCACCTGACTAGGTTCTGTGTGCGATTGTCAGAAACACACAAAACACTTTATACACTCCTACACTTTCGAATCGTTAAGGCAATTATCACTCGGTAATACAAAATGGCCGCCGAAAGGAAATGGAAGAGAGAAAGTTTCTAATTGCTTTCAGCGGTAGTTGAAGGTCAGCGGATATTAAAGCGTAAAAAATTTGGAATCTAATAATTTACAGAAATAAATTCTTTATTTTGAGTCCGTTGACCTCTCTACCAAATTATTTTATATATTAAAAATGATTAATGATGCTTCCTACATGATTAATTATCGTCAAATTAAGACAACTGCGATCCCGATCTCCATATTAACTCCTACTTTTGAGCCTACCTTTAGACTGATATCAATTCGACACCCTTCCTTATAATGATGATTTTTTCTTGAAAAAATACAATATTCGTCCAAAAAAAATCATAATTTTATCCCTTTTTCTCCCCCATTCTTCAATTCCTGAAGTTTTTGGATGATTATTGCTTCATTTTTTTTGTTAATGATCTTTAAATCATGGAGATTTTTAGGGTAAGAGCCCGTAGATTTATGGAGAAACCTTACCAAAAAAAGGAATGGGTGTTCCTATTTAAAAATGCAATAAAAACAATCATTTTTTTTTATTAAAAAATGCAATATTAGTTCCAAAAAAACTTATCATTTTTTAAGTCCATGTTGGTTATTTCATTAAAAAGAAAAAATATATATAAAACTATGGCCGACGGCCGCATTAAAAAACTATACCGTCGGCCATATTTCCCCCGATTATCAAAGGGTCCGACTCGGAATGGGATACGATAACATAGCTGAAAAATAGTGAGTAATGCCTCGATCTTCAGCCAATATAGATAAGAGATGAGTAATGAGGCCAAGCATGTGCTATTTATGTTAAATTGTGGCGATCTGGTTCGAATTCGAACCTGATTTCCATGACATTGGTTGACACTTTACTATGTGTTCACGTAACCAACAGAATAAATTTTAGATCTTTGTTTTTTACTCTTATCGCCCTGCGACACTAACAGGCGCCCGGGCAACGAAATACGGGCTCAACTTCAGAAAAATTCCTGGGGTTACTCGCCCTCAGAGCGGCACTCGGATCCTGTCGACATTAACTGAATTTCCGCGATGTAATTGATGTAATGTTTTATAATTTTAAAATGTATTAATAAAAATTAATAAGATCATATTTGAAAATAAAATTAATAAACTAAATGGAATTTTAATATAATATTTTCAGAAAATTGTGACGTAATGGTTAATTTAATTCTTTCTAATAGGGTGCGCTGATATTAAAAGTAAACTTTGACCACGTGGGTGGAAACATAATCATAGGCAGGAAGTAGCTAGGTGTTGATTCGAAGAGAAGTACTTGTAAGTGAATAATATTCAATTTGATTGATTTTGATACGAATTCAAAATAAAAATTGGCGTTAAATCAATTATTAGTTAGGATAAATGCATTATATTAAAAAAATAATTAATTATTAATAAATTTGTTATCCTCTCACGTGCTATCTTTGTATGTCGTCCTCTCTCATGCGAAGGATAACTTACAAGGACCATTAATTAATTTAATAGAGAAATTTCATGGTATAAAGCAAAAACTGAAGTTTTATAAAACTTTAAAATCGAGAAATGGTAATTTTTATATATTAAAATATTGTCGAATATTTTTTAATACTCGTTTCACTTTTATTGATTGAAAGTGGATTTTTAAGTTAATTAATTTATTAAAAATTAAAAACATCCATTTTTGCTGTTTAAAAAATTAAAGTATTAAAGAAGTATAAAAAACAAAATTAAAATTAATTTTTTTTCAATTATTAAACTTTATTACAATATATCATTAAACCTTTTTTTCATTAAGTAGAAAAATAAGTAAAAATAGGAAATAAAAGTAGCAATACCTAGAGTTCTAAAGAATATAAAGAATGGTAAATAGGGAAATTCATATTGTGCAATGTTAACTTCCGTATATTTAAACCCCATGGGGCTATCTGTAAATTACATTTGCATTTTTCTTGAAAATTTTACTCCCGCTTCCCATCTTGTCCCAGTTTCCATAAACACCTTCCCTCTTTGGATATCCAACAAAACTCAACCTCCCTTAAAACCTTTATCACTTTATGTATGATAAATACTATAAGTAGAAACAAACATACAAGAAATTTTGAAATAAAAATGATAAAATGCATAAACTGTTTAAAATTTAATGAAATAAATGGATGTCTATTGAAGCTCAACCCCTTCCTTCCTTGCCCAATTTGTTGTAAACCCCTCCCTCTCTTCTGGTGTGGATGTCATTTATGGACAGCCCCGTATGATCCATTTAAATTGGCAATTCCCAAACTTTTTCAAGCCACTGTCCCTTGGTTCCATAAAGCTATATCCAATGCCCCCAACCTGTTTTCCCTTGTATGAGAAAGGCTTAGAAATATTCTTATATAATCTTTTCTATGAACCTCAAACTTTGTGTCCTTATCAAGGTTGTCAATGACCTGAACCCTCACAGTATGGTCACCGTTTGGTCGGAACCCTGCTTCCAGCACCCCGTGCTTCTTTTTGTTCCCCTACATTTACTCACAGCCCCTGGAGGACTGTAGCACCCACTATGAAAACCACTGCTTTAAATGTTTTAGTACTGTACTTAGTATCTTTGGAATGATATCTATTGTTAGAATTCCCCATTTAAAAAGTGACTTTTCGTGAAGAAATTTCTTTTGAAATCTATGCCAATTTTAGAAATAAATATTAAATTATTGATTTCTTAACACGATCATTATTTGTTACCATATTGGATGGCTTCAACTAAACTAGCTTCCTTTAAGAATTAAATATTTTCCTACTGCCATCTGTTCATCTTTACCCAATTATTCTATTTATGATCATCATCATCATTCATTATTCAGAATTTGTTTTGTAATTTTTCATCAATACTTAAATAATGCCATTTTTGCATTGCCAGTATACTCCTCCTCTTCCCTCTTTTTTTTTTTTTTTTTTTTTGTTTTTAATGGTCTTAGCCAGATACACAATGGGGCAGCTGGGTGGTGAAGGGTGAGGCCCAATATATCTGGATGAAGCACCCCAAAAAATTCCTGGGTTTTTTAACTAGTCTACATTTGATCCAATCTCCCAGAGTGGTAGGTCAATATCTTAATTGGCTTGGTCATCCAGCTGACTGATGGATTCAAAGTGTATCTAATTAATAGTGTGAGATCTAGAATTAGGGGAGGAGTCAATTTTAAAGAAATTAGCGAAAAAAAAGATCAATTTTAGTTTTAAATTGAAATTTAATAATTTTCTAAATTTAAAGTATTTATTTGAAAAACGGATGTCAAGTACTTTCGTTATAGAAAAGAAGTTGATTTTCTTTCCTTCGGCCGACTCACAAGATGAGTAAAAAATGCAGCCTTTGCACACGTTACTGGGCCGTCTGAGGAGGCCGATATAAAAGGGATTTTTCCCGCCATTCGGGGCAGTTCATCAGAGGTTTGACGAGACCTGAATTCGCCATACTAATTATAGAAGTTTATCGGAAGCAGTACTGACCATATAACTGATAGCAATTCACCATTCGAATGAGCTCCGTTTCTACTGGAGAGAATTAACCATATGTAGTGCTATACATCCATAGAAGACCCTCCTCTCACATATGAATATATTGGAAAGAGGAAAGAATTATTTAAGGTAGTATAACCTGTAGAAATCTTGTAAACTCTCTTCGCGAGATAGGTAGAAATAAGGTAGAGATAAGGTAGATAGTTCGACCTATCGGAATAGTTCCATGTAATTGCTTCTTCAAAGAAATTGTATTTGATTTGATCATTTATCTATATTTGTACTTATCCATTTATTCGTTATATTAAATGTTATTGTTTGATTTATAATACAATCTCCTTAAAGACTGAATTTTACACCTCTGTCATTCCCATGTACGCTCGATAATACTATTTTACGTGTGTTAATCCACGTATTAAGTAGATTAACTGATGTCGGGAAATCCTGACGAGGAGAAGGGTGATTACGAGAGCATCTCTCTCCAACTTGTTTATTTTAATTCCTAAAAAGTGCTCCGAAGTAAAGTGAGCCAATCTAACGATTGTGTGTCGGTAAGCGACATAGAGTTAATCCATTCTATGCCCTTGGCATCTCACAATAGCATGCTATTAATAAATAATTAATAGCATCTTGAATATACATTTGGGCTTGTATAATGCACAATATAATATAATATAACTCAATATAAAAATTAAAATTGAATTTAATATTCTGTATTTTATTATCATCAAGTATACAGGATTCACAGTGAAGCCCTTATAAACTGACATTTGAATAATGAACAACATATGGCACACAAATGCATCTTTAAAACAAAGAATAACAAGAATTACATGTTATAAATAAATGTTTGAGTAATGAATGGGAACACATGAGAAAGACACATTTTACTGTCTGTGATTAGCATGCACATTAGCATTTCATGCTTTCTATTCGTGCTATTCACATATGGAGGGCGTCCTTTATGGCTTTGTAATTGACTTTTTATCCCGTATCGTGCATTGTTTTTGAGATGGGAACTTTAAGCATACCAGTTCAAAGTTGCAAGCAGTTTTGTCTCATAGCACATAATCACTTTACTATAACTATAAATAATGTCCATAACTGTAGCTATATGCATTTGTCAGTTACATGGGTTTATGAGGACTTTATTATGCACCCTATATGAGAAAATATTTGAGAAAAGAATACTAATTTGTGATTTATTATTTTGGTTTTGAATATCTGTTATTTTTAATCATGATATTTTATAAATAATTAAATTAATTTGATATTTTTTAACTTAGATATATTGACAAGGTATGAAATTTTTTATTTACAGCTGAAATTAGATCAAGATGATTTGTAAATATATATTTTGTTTTGCTGCATTTATTGCTATTCTCTGTAAGTAAATAGTTCTCTTTTTTTTTAATTTTTAAGTATTAAAATAAGTTTTAATTAAACTAGAAAGATATTAAAAGAATACTTGAGGAGATGCTTGCTACATTACTTTGAATTTAAGACATGGCCCACTTTTAAAAAGGGATTTTAAGAAAAAAATTAAACAATTGGAAGTAAATATAATTTAAAAGAATTTAAGGAATTTTAAGGAAAACTGAAGTACCATTTTCCTCTCTTTATGACAGGTTTCTGTTTAATATATAAAATATTTTGGTTTTAAGATCCATCCTTTCTGGCAATGTCATACCCAAGATTACTTTTTCGTGAATTATTTTTCAGTTGAGGAGCCCATGTGCACTTTTCTCTATCTTTGTTTAGCTGCAGATGTGTTTTCTGATATCAAATACAGTCTTTCAAAATGAATACTACCATTTTAAATTACTATAGTTATGTTAATTATTACCTGAGAAGTATGCACCACCAATTACATAAACCAATCAATCGATAGAGTAACTGTTTGAGTTTTGTTCCTGTCTGTGTTCAAATGCATTGTCTACTATCTCTAGGAAGTATCATAAATGCAAATGGTGACTCTGCAAAAGAGAAGGCATTCTGTGTTCTGCAGTTCACAAACTCGGAATAAATTTGTGTTCTCCCGAAACTACCAAAAAATTTTGTCTTACATAGTAGATCACTTTGAAGTTGTCTGTGAACGCATGCTGCACAATGGTGAATAATTCAGAACACAAAATGTCTTTTCTGTTGTGGAGTTGACATTTTCATTTACAGCAATTCCTAGAGATGATAGACAATATATTTGAATAAAGATGGGAGACGAAACTCAGATGGTTACTCTATCAATAGGTGTGTGTTGCATACTTCTCAGGTAATAATTAACCTAATTACAATAATTTAAAATGGTAGCATTCATTTTGGATGACACTGTATATTTTCTTGCATTTCTTTCCCAGAAACAATAGTTTCTAGACTTTAAAAGTAGCAGAGAATACTTCAAATTTAAAGTGCACCCTGTTTTAAGTTCAAGAAACATAAATACAATATGTTAAAATTTAGTGTTATGGTATGTAATGTATAAAAGTAAAATGCATATAAATTTAATTATGCTTTTAATATCTTTTTTCTAGTGCATCCAGCAAATAATTGTGAAGAGAACGAATTGCATCATGGTTGTAGAATACGTGACGGAGAATGTTTCTGCGGTTTAGGATGTGACAAGAAATATCGTTATGAGACTCCAGAAGAATGCCATCTTGCTCTTCGAGGTATTTCTTAACACGATCCCTTTTATCTTGCTTAAGAATTTTTAATTATTTTCTTCTATAAAAAAACTGGTACCAAAACTGCTCACTGTGGCACTTTTGATACTGCAAGCAATGAAAAAGCAATTTGCTCTGCAGAAAAGCAATATGACCACAATTGTTGAATGTTATTCTTATCAGTTATTGCTTTTATGGCCATCACTTTGCTGGAACATGCATTTCTTGTGAAGCTGTTTACAAAAAACAATGGCTGCACTTGGAAATTTTGTCGTCATAAGAATTTATGCCAAGAACTGTTGACTCTGCAAGTTCTTTGGAGAATAATCATCATTCTATTTGAGGAAACTGGGCGTTCACTCATTTGAGAGTGCAAACTTATTTCTTCACAAATTATTGAAATGTTATCATAACCATTGTTGAACAGTCAATGAATAATAACACAGACTCCAGTAGTGCATGTGCAGTGTCATGGCAGTTGGATGTAATCTATGAAACAGTGTGACAGGTGCTGAGTTAGTTGGTACATTATTATATGTATAAGATCAGCCACAACCAGTAGTTGCTTGCTACCAGTGGGGAAATCCGACTGACTTTTGCATTGATCTTCCTTGCCAAAATGGAGATGAATATTTGTGGTCGTGGAAGAACCCGTCGAGTGACATCTCAGTGGAACACTAAACTGGCATATTTGGGCAATAAAAACCCTTGTGTTTTCCAGCAGATTCCACTGCACTTGTCTAAAGTTATAGTCTGAATTGGATTCACAGCCACATTTATCCTTGGATCATTCTTGATTGCATAATCATCATGCATTTCCTACTACCTAGCCACCCATTATCTCGATCTTAATCCTTGTAAAGTTGGTTGCGGGGACACTTTAGTGTGGTTTATCAAGGACATGTTGCAAATTTGTCAGCCTTGAAAGACAGTATCACACTCATGTGAGAAGCATCACAAAAGCTTGATTAAGGTTGGCTGTTCAACGTTGACCTTCAGGTTTTACAACTTCAGAATGGGGACAACATTTAGCAGTATCCTTTACATTACTAAGGTCTGTATACCACAAGTGTCTTGTGCAAATAAAATGTTGCTTGCAGTTTCAAAAAATATCACAATGGCGAGAGTTTTTAGTGCCAGTCTTTTTTATGGAAATATCTTCTGCATGTCCTGAAATGTTACCATGCCAGATTTGGTTGAATTCTAACTGCTAAATATCTCTGTAGAGAGCATTAAATAGGGATATTTTAATTACACTCAACTGGTATATCTATTACAATAGTCCATTTGATGATAATTTGTCAACCAAATCACTGGTGATTTCTAAATGATGCTTTAATATATAAGAAAATTCTTTCTATTTTATAACATTGAATGAAGCCTTTATTATTATTAGAATACTTGAGATTAAACTTCAGCTATTTTGATGTTTTTAAAGGGAAAAAATTCAGAAATACACTAATTTGAGAGGAAGTATCTTTGCATTTGACAAAATTCAATCATTAAGCATTTTTTTTTTTAGGCCAGTTACCTGATCCATGTGTCAAGAACCCCTGTAAAAATAAAGGAATTTGTGCTCAAATTAACGAACGTCCAATGTACCAGTGCTCGTGTGCAGGAACGGGCTATTATGGCTTACACTGCGAAACTCGTAAATATTATTTTGAATACTCTACATTTCATAATTTTAAAATATTTTAAGTGAAAATTATCATTGTCATTATTTCAGCATGCCCCAATTTCCACTCTAGTCCAGAGCTTCAGACATATTATCCTGCTTCATGCATTGTGATATAAGAGAACAGGTGGAATGATCGAATGATCGACATTTAAGCTGCTTCTCATAGTGATAATTAAGTATTAAGAATTTAATTAATGTACAATTAATTTTTGGATTAATATCGTCTAAACAATTTAAATCATCCTTCAATTAAAAATTAAACATGCAATTTTTAAATATATTATAATTTTATATAATATATGTAATTCCTGATCATATAAATTTAGAGTGGACCAAGATATATACTGGTGTGCAAAGCTTAATTAAGCAATGATTGTATTTTTGCCATAACTCTGCAAGAAATCACTGGGAGACATGAAATTCAGAATACAGAGACAGTGTTTTGTACTTAAAAGATAAAGAAAGCATACTAGTGCAAAAATGAATAGAATGCATACAGTATGGAATCAAAGCCATGTTATAATCTTGCACTGCGCACGCTGATTGCATGCCCTCACATCATCTGTGATGTCTTTTTCCTTTATCAAATCACCTTTCTACTGAATTGGGTGTCATTGTACTGATTGTAGCAAGCTCTTTTCTACAATTTCATGGCTGTCTGCTTGAAAATTACATTGTTGCTTAACTTTTGCACGCCAGTGTAGTTTAAGAATGGTTAAAACTGATTTGGAATTGTTACATTTGTGTTCTGGTAACTTCTTACAAAGCCAACAAATTATAAATATCTTTTGACTTGTTTATGATGCCTTGCAAAGAGCGGTTTGATGTCAAACAGACGTCATTTTGTCTCATGCAACTAACTGAAGATGTTACGAGCAACTTAAACATTTTCTGTTAAATCAGATTTATATATTTGTAACTGAAAGTCATCAATCACAAATGTGGCTATTCCAAACCAGTCTTAACCGTGTATATATATATATATTAACTGACTTTAGACTTAACTGACTGTATTAAAATCCATTACATTGCAATCAACCAAATTTTAATGAAAAGCAATAACTTTATGATTTTATACCTTTGAATACATATACATCTTATATTTCAATTTTAGTTTATATTTTTTTATTTGTATATTTAATATTGAGACGATTTTTTCATAATTTGCTTTATAACTTATATATTTATGAGCCCCAATACTTAGAGATTGTCCATAAATTACATAGTGCTATTTTTATATTTTCAACCATCTCATCCTTTGTAATGCTGTCGCACAACCCACCTCCAAAATAATGTAGCACGTGTCACGGGGTACTGAACGTTACATTATTTTATATGTTAATTACATATATAATGTACAAAACAGTGGCATAAAGAGTACAGTTCACTACGCAACACTTTGGATACAAAAATGAATCATTGTGTAATCCGAGTTGAGACCCTGGCATTAGATAACGCTTTCGTAAACATCCCTACCCTCTTGTTACATGTAATGATTATCTGCATACCCACCCAACTGTGCCTGCATTATGTAATTTATGGACAACCTCTTAACAATACAAAATGTCCTTTACACATTATCTAACTCCTCGATTAAGTCTGAGACCAAAACGTTAAATTTAATTTTGTTCAAATTTAAATTGGTTTAAAACAGGAAATAAAATGTATTAAAAAAATATTAAAATTGTCTTTGTGACAATGTTTTTAAATTTCTAAAACTTTTTAAAAGTATTCATTAGTAAGAAGCAATTGCATGCAATCATTCCCTAAAACTGAATTTAAGTTCTTTATAGCATGTTGTAATTATAGTGTTTATCAATGTTGTACAGCAGAACATAATGTCAGTTTATATTCTAGCACAGATTTAGCACCATCTAGTGACAATGTTTTGAAGTATCTTATAAAAATTCCAATATGGCATCGTGCAATGTAGTTTCAGACCAGGATTGGTTTGATGGAAATGCAAATGTACATCGTCTCGTCACGAGAGTCGAATTTCTCCCGAATTGTTTAAGATGCCTCGCAAATTGTTGTCATAGCAACATTATTGCATGCAACTGTTGGAAATTGCTAGTGAGAGATAGAGGAAGAATTCTTATATTGGTTTGAATATATTAAAATCTCATAAATGTCTAACACTTTTGCAGTTCTTAATCTTTGAGCTAATAGCAAAATGTTCTTGTCATTTGAGAAGCATTTGAAAAATTTTTTTAATTGAATTATGCAATATGTGCCATGTTTGTTATAAACATTAAATGTGAGTAAAGGTTAATTTTTAATCTCATTAGTTTTTCCTCGATACGTGCAATAGCGGATATTATTAAGAATTACAGGTTTCGAATACGTTAACAATAGCCTCGTGGTATTTCAGTTATAGAATATAAAATTCTGTACTTATCAAGTGAAATTCTTAAATTTTTTATGATGTGTGTTTATATTTTAAAGATCTATCTACTATTTTTTATTATTTGTAAGCACTTTAAAATGATATGTAAAGTGTTTTTCAGTGCCAAAAAAACAAAGCATTTATTTTTAATATATGTTATGTAATTTGATATATTGTATTAAATAAAAATTTTATTGCTATAGTTTAATGCTATTTTTCTTGAAAAACACTTTATAAAGCTGAGAGAAATGCTTGTGAAATAATCATATTTCAAATTGGTTTTCCTGGAATGACAGCTAGCACTTTATGGCTGTGCACTCATCGTTGACAACCGGCAACAGGACTAGAGAGAAATGCCAGATTATTATTAACAGTAGAGTCTTCTGAAAGGAAAATTACAATAATTTAAAATGGTAGCAATGTTAACTATTGAAGAACATTGTAATGTACATTAAAACATTGGAAAAATGGGCAAATTTTGCATTTGTCCATTACAATTTCTTAATGTGTGTACCTTGCATCACTACTCATAGTGTAGGATATGCTGTAGTGAGCTTAGGATATTCATTCTTCTTCACTCACTATGACATACGTCACTCTCCTTTCACGGCAGCCACAATTCTACATCTCCTGCAGATTACTTGTGCTGCACAATGACGAGTGATTCCTACTTTGCAAACTGCAGAACGTCTTCTCTAAAAAAGTTGCCATTTTTGTTTACACTGCTTCCTAGAGTTAGTAGATGAAGAGATGTTTGAATGCAGATGGGAGATGAAACTCTGACAGTTACTATATTGATTGGAATATGTTGCATACTTTCAGGTAATAATTAACATAATTACACTAATTTAAAATGGTAGCATTCACTTTGGATGACCCTGTACAGAAGTTTATATTTGAATTCCTGTATCCAACATTTTCATATTGGAAAGGATAGATGTTTTTACACCACTAACTGGATAGTTTCTTATTGGATTTATGGTACGCTTGCACTTTGAATGATCTCTTTCTTTCTCGTCTGTCAAATAACTTTTTGAATTTTAATTCCTTATTAGAAATTATCTTTAAAACCATAGATTTAGATCATTAGTAAAAGATTGTGATGTAGAATTCATAAATGGTTTACTATATAAACTTTATTTATATAGTAAACCATAAATGTAAATGTCACAAATTAATGTAAATATGAAATCAAATATGTTCTGCACAACTATTTGGAAAATATAATTTGCTCAGTAATGCCTGCATTATTGTTCTAAAGAACTGTTTATTATGTTATAAAAGGATGAAATGTACAAATGTTTGCAAAAGCCAAACATTTATACACTTCATCCTTTGTAAGTGAGCATTTGGATTTTGTTTAAAGAATGGAGATCTAAGCAAAATAATCCATTAATGTTTCACACTTGCAAGTGTGCTTTTTCTGTTATCAAGGAAGAGGATGTTTTGTTTAATTTTAGTATTCAAAGTCACCCAAAGATGGATGTAAAAGTATCAAATCAATAAATTTTAGGAAAGCGTGCAATCGTTGACTATAAAATTCAAAAATATGTAATCAAAAATTAAAAGAATGACTTTATTCTTAATAAAAACAATGAATTATTAACAGATGAGTGAAAGAAGTATGGTGTTCTTTATGTTTTTAATGTCAGAATAGTTTTATTGATGAGTTTTATCAATTGTGCTGATCTGTTTTTTGTTAATGTTATGCATTTGCAAAGATCTTCGTCGGTGATTGCGCTTCCACCTGTAAACAACAGAGAAATTTATATTATTTAGCATTAAAAATATTTAGCTTTGTAATTTTGTTTTGAGCAAACACAAAATAATTAGAATAAAACTGCATTATAACACATGGAAACTGAAATTTGTCATCTATTTTTCAAATATATTCTAGACTTTATAATATAACTTCTTCTTGTATTATTAGATTTTTAGAGGAGGAGTTTGTGCTCAAATTATTAATGCAAGTAATGAAACAATTTTTTAGCCGTCAATATACTAATCTTTCTTATATTTATACATCAAAAGTCTACTTTTTTGTTCTCAATTGACCAACATTTTAATATAACTTCAGATTTAAATACATGGCCTGACACAAGAAAAAAAGACTAATGCTATAGCTTGGGACCAAGAGTGGGAAGGAAGAGAGAAAAAGGTGATTATAGTGTGTGTTCTAACCTGTCGCTGTGAGACACAGCAGCTCAACTGCATAACTTTACTAAGTACAAGTGAATGCGTGTTCAAATATAGACTTTTCTTACCCTCAGTGGAAAGTGTTTGAGTGCAAAAGTGAATGGTGAGTTAACATCCAATTTCTTATGAAAGTAAAGAAATCTATGACAGAAACTTTTCAGTTATTGACAGGCTTATGGTGACAAGTTTATGTCTAGTATATTTTGAATGTCACAATGTTGAGAAAGCATAGGCCATGTTGATTTTCTCTGATATTTAGGTTATTGTAATGATAGAGTGGATTTCCAGTGGCCAGACAGCAAATCAGCAGTATTATCTTGAATTCTTGATGAAATTACATGAAGGCGTGAGAAGAATTGTGGAGAAATGGAGTTGGATTTTGCATCAAGATGACACACCAGCCCACATCACTTTCGGAAGTGATTTTTAGCTAATTACAGCATGTACTGTGCTTGAGTGCCCACCTTATTCTCCAGACTTGGCTGCCTGTGACTTAATCTCTTCTCAGAGATCAAATTGGTGCTCAAATAAACTCGTATTTAGTTGGTAGAAGATATGAAAGTAAAACTGATAGATCCTCAACAGCCTTTCAGAAAATGACTTTCAGAATTGCTTTGAACACTATTGTTTTGAACACTAAAAATGGCACTATGTCCATATATCTTTTTATTTAACAAACTGAGAAAATCAACAATGATATTCAAAATAGTTCCTTTCTGAGTTGACAAATGACAGCATCATATGCAATATTATATTATATAATATTATATGATGCTGTCATTTGTTAACTCAGAAAGGAACTATTTTGAATATCATTGTTGATTTTCTCAGTTTGTTAAATAAAAAGATATATGGACATAGTGCCATTTTTCTATCAGAACTCATCCTTCAAAGATGCAAAAAAGTTATAAGATTATCATCATTTATAATATGGATTTTTATTAAAAGCTGTATGACTATGTATAAGATCTATAACAAAATATATAGGATAAAATCAATGCGAAGATTCAAGTTCTTTTGTGAATTTTAAAGCTTCAATATTTTTTCCTCATCATTATTTCCCTTCTTCCTTCAATTTTTGCATCACTTTGAGAAGTGACCATTTAAACTTACCAATGGGAAAAGAAAAAACCCACACACTTCGGTGAACGATAAAGCCGATCAAGATGACCACATAAGGAACAATTATTACTAAGGTGCAAACTAATTCTGACCTTAGTCACCTCTAGCAATTAATTCAGTTGTTTGACAGCTGTTATCCAATTTATGAGGTGGAAAGAGTGACAATATCAGATAGAAGTAATAAATCTAAAGAAATGTTTCAATTTCTGACAATTAACATAAACAAATCCTGGACGCAAGTCAACCTTAGATGGGATTGCATCAGACTTGGTTACTAGTCAGCACCTCCGGGACGTGTATAAAAAGGGCTTGGACACAGTCCTCTGGGCAGACATCAGGGAACATCGCCAGACCCATACTGCCACTCTTGCCTTCCCACCATAATCACCATCTGTCTCTCGATGATCCTGACCTGAAGAGAAGGAAGACTACAGGTAAACCACACCGATCAAGGAATGTTGTCACCAACAGCCATACAACGAGATTGGGAACCAATGAGGTAATCACTTAGAAAAATTTTAACCCTCTCTCTCTCTCTGGTCTCTTATATAAGATAGATTAAGAATAGTTTAACTTAGAGAATATTGGACAGATAAGGGTCCAGAACTTGGACAGGCTACCGACAAGAATAGATTAATCATTGTCATGATTTAGAAATTTCAACTATTTCTAGCTTTGTAGCTGTTTGCTTTTGCATTTGGTTTGTGTAATTTTATTAAATGTGTTATTTGTTGAACCAGTGGACTTGTCTGTAATTCTTTATGGACACCTTGTCGACTTACTCACACCTTCCCACTCGATCAAGCCCTCCTAGCCATCACTTGACAACGAAGCCAGTAAGCAGGGACAAGCTCAACGCTCTACCCCCTCGGTTCACATCAATATGTAGCATAGATCCTAGTAAGTTTTGACAGTGAAGTTTACTAATGTTCTACAGAGTTTTTAAAGATAATAAACATGAGAATTGTGAGATGAGGATGAAACAAGAAGACCAGAGAGGAAAACAACAGATAAAATACCCACCAAACAAAGCATATTTTATCATAGCTAAACAATTTAAAAGTTCATTATAACTAAATACATGCAAACCTTTATATTCCACCCTCCCATAGTATCAATGAGTACTTGTGAGTGGACTGTCCCTATAAATGTTAAATAAAAAGTCCTTTGTTATCCATGAACTATTAAATGAATAATTTTAATGCAAACAACATTGATATTACCAAAAAATATGTGATTTTCAAATTTGCATACAATTCTTATTGTTTGAGCTACTTCAATTTAGTGCTGGCTTCAAGGGCAGTGCTAAATTGTGGTTTGACTGTGTTTATAACTGGATTAGGACATTTTGTTATAAAATAGATTAAGCTATCTGAAGATACTTTAATTGTCTAAAATTATGATTTCTGGGAAGACATTTCAAGCTTTCAAAAATTTTACTTAGAAACTCAACTGTAATGAAATCCTTTGATTTATTTTTATTATTAAGATGTCACATTAAATATTATCTTACAGCAATAATCATGTGAAAGTTTATATTTTTGTTGTAAATACCTGGTTTATGAATACCGGCAAGAGATCCGTCTTCTAGAATGACTATATGAAATGTTCCCGAACTCCAAAATTCTTCTTCTTTAGTTGGATCGGCAATGACAGTTTCTCTAAATTAACAAGACAAATTTGATGATTATAAATATAATTTTGCCAACAATATATTAGGGCAGTGCAAAAATAAGGACATAGGATCTTTATTTTTGGAGCCAGTGCACTGATATCATCCTTCTAGAGAGGCTGTGTTTTGCCATAAGGGTGCATGCTGTGCACAAACAATAGTAGTTGGAAGTTATTGCAAATGTGAAGAGTGTGCTTGTTCAATATGCCGAGTAATAAGATGCAAACAGATGTGTTGCAGACAACAATGAAGTGTAAACAGTTGTCCACTATGAATGGGCTGGTACAAAGATCCATATGCAGTTGGTGAAGGTGTATGGACCAGACATAATGTCAAAACAAATGGTGTGGTGAGGTGCAGAGAATTCTATGATGGTCTTGAGACTGTCAGAGAGAAGCAGTGAATTAGGCTGCGGTTAACATCTGCTGGAGAAGATAATGTTACGAGAGTGGAGCCCTTGATTTGTGCCAACAGATGGATGACTATGGAAGATATTCCTGCAGAACTGGGTGAAGGCCATGCCTGAGCATGCTACATGATCTGTGATGTGCCATATTATCACAAAGTGTTGGTTTAGTGAGTGCCTTGACAGCTTAGCACTAATAACAAGACTGCCTGAATGAGCATCAGCCTGCAACATCTCTTGTGGTACAAGTGGGAGGGTAACCAATTTCTCTTCTAAATCATGACAGGAACAAAAGCTCGGTCTACCATCTTGCTCCAGAATCAAAAACATGGAAGCACCCAGGTTATCAGCCAAAAAGAGAAGTTTAAAGTGGCCCAGTCAGCAGGTAAGATTCTCTCAATTTGCTGGGATGCTAAAGGGATGTTAGGCCAGGAACAGACATGCATAAAATCTAGCATAAAACAGAAAGCATAAAAATTTTTCTGAAAAAATAACTGAAAAAAGAGTAGAGCATGTCTACTTTTTACGCCAAAATTCCTTCAATAAAGAGAAGTCTTTTTTTGTGACGTCAAAGTAGACACGCAGTTTTTATTCTAACAATGGCAGCAATGAGGGTTAACCTTACAATTGTGACAATCTCAAAAAAACGAAATAGAGGAGTTTATCAAATCCATTCGACCACATCAGTGTCATGTATAAAGACACTGTATTTAAACAACGTTTATGGATGGCTATAGGTGCTAACTTTCAAATAGCAGGTAGGTCTAGTAGAACCGATATATAGGCCTAGTATTTAGATCACACGTTCTTTATTTGAATTAGGAATACAAGTCTATTTATTTAAATTTTCTATATTATAGCAGAGGAAGCGGAGAAAAAATGGAAGGTACAAAGGGATAGATATATGAGAGAAAAAAATTAATAAAATGTAGCACTGTTAGTGGCAGTGGCATTTCCTATTCGGCCAGAATTTTTACACATGTGCATTCTGGCATAAAAGTGTAAAACAAAGCTGATTTCTGATTCAGTTTTCTGCCACACAATTTTATGCATGTGTGTTCTGGGACTTACAGGATTTTCTAGAAAATGGAATCGAGAATGCTAACAACTGCAACACACTGACGAGACTAAAAGTTACCACACCTTCTCAGTTCAGGGGTCATTCTCAATAACAATGTGAAGCCTCACCCAGCATCCCATGTTGCCAAATTTGGTTGGATATGTCTCAACAACATCCTTTATATTCTGTACCTTGCACCCAGTAACTTCCACTTTGAAGTTTTGCAGCTTTACATAGCTTTGAAGGAGATAGTAGGAGGCCAGTGTTTTATCAGCAAGGAAGAAGTAGAAGTCATTTGAAACTTTGTCCTGAAGCAGCACATAGACTCTAAGAGATGGATTTCTTTAAACTGACAAAACAATGCAACAAATGCATCAATATGAATGTAGAGAAATAAAATGAGAATATCTCTCTTTATCCATAATATACTTGGTCTCTTTGTGGAAAATTATAATTATCATAGTCACATGAGGCTTTAGGCATAGGAAAAGTATATATGAAACTTTAAAAATCAGTTTTCCAATTGAGATATTCCCACTAAATTTCTAGTAGTATTAATTAATAATAATTTACTGTGTAATTAGTATACATTTTAAAAAATTTACTTAAATTTATATATATTTCATGTAAGAAGATATTGAATTTTTTAACTAATCTATTTTGTTAACACTGCTTGATACTGCTACATTTAATAAGATCATTGTCATCGTTGTTTGACAATAACTTTTTAATCAAATTTTTAAACTATTAATACTTACCCGTCGAAGATCGTAAATGATAAAGAAATGGGTAGATGATGGACTTTTAATGATTCCGTATTATGTTCTACTATTGTACGGTTAGTCTCCTCACTTATTTGGACGACCGGTAGTGTTGCTTTCGGAAGAAAATTGTTAATATAAGAAAAAGTATTTAAATATAAAACAAAATCTTAATTCTAAGAATTTTATCATTTATTATCTATTCCTAATGTGACACAATCTTTATTCATTAGTCAAAAATTATTATAGTATTGCCTTATTTAACTTTGTTTTCTCTGATAGCACATGACAATGAGGGACCATATCCAGAGTTATTGGATTTAATCAATGTCCACCAAAATCGAAACATGCAAAAATTCATTCTGGGGCACTGCAAAAAAGTAAATTTTCAACTGTTTTACAGTTAAAAATCTAAAAAGAACTACTTTGATCTGTTTTAATGACTTCCCAATGGAAGATGATGTCCAGAAGGAGGTGGAAAAAAATTAAAAGTCGTGTAAAAAATGTAACTTCATGTGATAAATATTTATAGTTGCATGTAGCAAACACCTGATTCTTCAGGTACCCCTACAAGAAGACTGAAGTGGCCAAATCCAGTGACTTTGCTGGCCAGCAATGTCCCCAAATATAGAAATCAGATTTGGGGACATTTATTGTGGGAGTATCTGAAGAGTCAGTGTTGCTTTCAAACATTGGTGGACTGGTGGACCTGAAAAACCATATACAGTAGACCCCCCTATAACACTGTAGATAATTCATTGTTATATGAATTCCATGTTGTACGAGTCACTTAGATTATACAAATATATGTGCCGGGCTGTAAATGGCTCACGTATTTGTAAAATCTAAGTGACTCGTACAACATGAAATTCATATAACACTGAATTATCTACAGTGTTATGGGGGGTCTACTATATGCAATGCTGTGTTGAACTTTCCCTTTGGCATGTTGTATTGTGTAATGCATGCATTTGTCTGGTACTTGGAAGAATGCATTGCTTAAGATGGGATCATTTACCTGTTGTAATGTAATATTCAGAAAATGACATTTGAAGATCATGATATGCAAATGGATCTTTGGATGCGTACTGATGTTATTTTGAGACATTCATCCAGTGGTTACATTTTGCAACCTCATTTATATCTGGCTATACATTTTGCCCAACCCTGTACAACTAGACTAAAGATATGTATATGTATATGTATCTGCTTGACAGACCAACAGTCTCTCAATTCTTTACTGATAATGGGATTATTTCAATAAATGGAAATTTCAATATCTAATGCCCATTGGGCTAAGATGGTAAAGATAACGATGTAGTAATACTAACAATCTCAAATGTCCCTTTATTCTTCTATTCAATGATCTATACATAGAACTGTTTTATGTTGGTTCTTTTTGTTTTGTAATATTCATCATGTATACACTGGCTTTTTACTTTATTTTATCTTTACTTCTGAAAGCAGTTTCATTAAGACAGGGTGTAATCCTTTTACAGTGACTTGTGTGAACAATGCACAACATACAACACACAGTAATGAAAGCAGCACGAAGACACGGAAAAATGAGAAATATATGAGATATGAATGAGAACGTGTGAGAAATATACATTTTACCATCAACAGTTGATGTGCACATTAGCAATTTTCATACTTTCTATCCTTACTATTCATATATGCAGGATGTCCTTTTGTACTAAATTAGTCTCACTCTAAAACTCATTGATTTTTCTGTATTGTACATTATTTTCAAGATAGGAGAGAAGTGCTAACTTCTGAATTTTATTGCTACAAACACTGCGAGCAGTCTCGTCCTGTAGTGCATAGTCACTTTATAATAACTATATGCCACATTTGTAACTGTAGCTATCTGTGTTCATCAGTTATGTGGGCTTAAAACAACTTTACTATGCACCCTGTATAGTGTATAAAACAGTGCCAGTTTCTAAGGACTTTGTGGCTACTTATTCATTAATTAAAGTAATACTATTTCCTAATTTTTAATGTATGAAATTTAAAAAATTCAATGAAAAATATGTTTGGTAATTAAATGGTCTTTGTTGAAATTTTATAGAAAATCAGTCAGTTTGAATATTTCAAAAAAGAAAATTAAGATTTTACTGATTAAAAAAATGCTTCATAAATTTGATTTACAAACTAAATGTCAATCACCTGATAAATATTAATTATAATTTTGTGACATTTTTTATTTCCATAATTTCTTATGTATAATCCATCTATTAGCTATGTTTTAAATTCAATTTGAAAGCAGACCCAGGGTAAGTGTTCTAGCAATTTTTACAGGTCATACGCAGGAAATAATGGTATTTTATTTTTTTTTAAATTAAAAATTGTCTGTAATGACCATCTAACTTGTAATTTAATCAAAAGTGTTTGCTTCATGCATGAACTATGAGTTGAATCCTGATCCTTTCTTCCAGGATTTTCGAAATTCTACACAAGATGTTGGCACAACTATCTAGCTTTACATCATATTTTTATAATTAATTAATTAATCTTAATATAACCCAAAATAAACTGGCAATTTAGCTATATATTTGGCAAAATATTTTTTTTGTATAAATATAGAAATAAAGTCATTGTTTCTATACATTATTCCATGCAGATTGTTTTGTAATATTTTTCCAACACCGACACAGATTAAAACATAAGTAAGAGGGCCATCATGTAATTTTTATTTCTGATTTCTTTAATGCAAAATATGAGATAAATTAAACAGAAAATAAATTGATTTAGAAAAACTTACTATTTAATAAAGCAGACAGAAGAGCAATCACGCAAGCATCTATGACACTACCATCGTAGTTTAAGCAGATTATATCTATGTATAAGCACCAGACTAACTGAAAATAAATGAAATGTAACAAAGTTTTTAAATTACTGCTTCAATAATAATGATAAATTTGATTAAAAAAAGTTAATTTCAGAATGTGATGATAAAACTAATCCAAAAAATCATTTTGATTAAATTATGCAGTTATATTTAAATATTATTGGCTGACATACTATTGACATGATTTGTATGAATCCAAAGAATGCAACGTAAAACCTAATTTATTTCTTGTACAGTATATAATGTAATTCCACAATATTTCTTTCCAGTAGAGAGCCAATTGGGGATTTCTCTGTGCCGCATATAAAAGTTTTCTCAGAATATGAAATGTAATTAGAAAATACACTAGAACCTCAATTATCCGGACTAATTGGGGATGAAGGTAGTCCGGATAAGGAAAAATCCGGATAATCAAAACAAATACTTTAATTTGTCTTTTAATGATAATACAACACGTTTTCTTTTCGATGACATATCGGTAATATTAAAAGTAAATACTGTATTTAAANAACCCGAACTAAAAATAAAATCATGAATTCAATTTTATAAAAATTTAATTTGCTAACACATAAAAAAAAAAAACAATTTCTAAAGGGAATTATCAATTCGTTATTTACTTTTCAATTAATTCTTGAATTTGTTGACTCAATACTTGAGCTTGTTCGCTCGGTGGACCGGGTTTAAAAAACGACGCGCAGAGCGGAGGTAAGTCGACATTCGGTACTAATAAAAGTTTATTTTAAAAAAGCACAGTTAACACGCTAAATGAAAATTTATTTGGATGAATACAGACTTTTTCCTTCTTACTAACTTACCTATGAAACCTTTCTTAGGTTCTTCTGGAGAAGGGGTTACAAGTTCCTAAAATATCTTTATTTTTAATTTCTTTCAACTTGAATTGAAATAATGATAAATTATAAATCGCATTACAATCAAATAAATATATTACTAATATAGTATTTTTAATTATTTTCAACTTATAAGTTTAAAAATACTATGAACAAAAGATAACTTTATGCAATGAAGGAGCTTAATTAAATATATTCTATTGATTATTCATGAAGTTATCCTTGTGATGAATTTTATCCAAGAGTCGCCCTATAATATGTAAATTGCTGATTCTAACTTTATAGCATTATTTTAACATGTGTACATGATCATGCAATATATGAGAATCTAATTAATACAGATGATGTTTGACATGCAACATTTCTGAGATTTATGACTAAGCCCAATTTTTGCCATTTCAATTGGCTGAGGTATGAAATGGATGAATCAACATCAATGAGAGATGATACAAACTGTCTAGTAATAAATTATGAGATTCAAATCATATTGATAGACTAATGCAGTAATATGAGGCCAAGATTTTATTTTAATTAGTCTAATTATAATAGCTGTTTATAAAAGGCTATAAACAGGTTTAAAATATTTGAGTTAATATAAAGATTCAGAAATAGATAAGAGCAAGAGATTTTTTTTAATGTCAGTTGTACTGTGAGATGGAAAGTGAAGAAACTACTATATTACAGGGTCTTCCAAAATGAATGCTATCATTTTAAATTACTGTAATTATGTTAATTACTACCCGGGAAGTATGCAATATACACCAATCAATAGAGTAACTGTCTGAGTTTCATCTCCCACCTGCATTCAGATGTCTCATCGTCTACTACCTCTATAAAGGGATGTAAGTGAAAATGGCAACTCCAAAACAGAGAGTGTTTTTGTGTATTCACAGTTTGCAAATCACTCATCATTTTGCAACAGGAGTAATCTACAGGAGCTGTAGAATTGTGGTTGCCATGGGAGGAGTGACAATGGATATGCCATAATAAACATTGGAAGTATTTGAATATCAGGAATTTGAGGTCAAATGTGTGCCATATGATGTGAGGTGCAAGCATTGAGAAATTGAAATGGACATTACAACAAAAATAATGGTAAGCCAAATAGTATACACAAAGCAATAAAATTTAAAATAGAGACTGAAGATATAACAAGACAAAACATTAAGTACCTAGACATTACAATAACAAGATTAAAACAACATCTCGAATATAGAACATTCAAGAAACCGAGTTCTAACCAAGTAACAATAAGATATCAATAAAAAATTCCATCATACGTTAAGTATAATATATATAAAATGGAATATGACAAAATCATAAACTGGACAAGCCAAGAAGCACACATAAACAAAGACCTTATGGAATTAAGAAAGAAATTTCTTCTAGCAGGATTTCCGCAGAGATTGCTAAAACAATGGGAAACCAGACTGAATAACCCAGGAAACCCATGTAAAAATAAAAATAAACAAGCAACTAAAACAAAATATATTAAGTTTCCATATATTAAAGGTCTATATGAACAAATCAGCACAGAAATAGAAAGAAACTACAAATTAGCACCATTATATCAAAAAATGGAGAACAGACTGTTAATCTCGAACCTGAAGAAAAATCAGCAAATACCGATTGAAAGCCCAAGGTGTAGTATATAAAATTCCGTGTATCTGTGCAAACAAAAAATATTACTTAGGAGAAACAAAAAGAAAGGTAAAAACTAGATTGAAAGAACACAGCAGACCTAAAATACAATAGAATAAATTCTGCATTTTACGAACGTACTCTAAACAGCTGTAATATAGACAAAGATAATGTAAAAATACTGCATAAAGAAAAATTAACATACAACAGGAAGTTTAAAGAAACCATAGAAATTATAAAAAGTAAAGACAATATAAATAAAAACTTAAGTCTTAAAATAAACAAAAACTGGCTCAATATATTATAAATAAAATTTTTTTTTTTCTGTGAAAAGCAATCTTTTCAAAAAATAATTTTTACAAGACGGATTTTGGTAAAAATCAGACCACAAGGTGGCAAATGTCATACATGGCAACACTAAAGATACCAGCGCAAATGCCAAAAAAGGGGTGGAAAGGAAAAAGGGGATAGAAATAGCTCAATTTTTTACAGTTGTATTGTATCAAAGTCTATCTAAAAGGGAAGATTTTGGAAGACTTCCCCCTTTTTAAATTGTAATGTATACTGGTTTATCCACAAAAGGATTAAAGCAGATTTTACAAGATTTTAAATTATACAAAGTGGTATAGACATACCTTTTGGTTACACCCAAAAGGTACGTCTATATATCGTTTGTGTACTCATTTTTTTTTTTATGTAAGTTCTTTACTGTAATAGATAAAAAATATATATTGTATGATAGTTGACTGAAGAGGGGCAAAGCTCGAAACAAGTACAAAACAATGTACTGTATCGACTCAACTAAATAAAGATATTTGATAGAAAAACTTGCCACATGTTTTTGGAATACAACACAATATTAGTGTTTACTAAGCCATAATTGTAGAACAGGACACGGTTTCAAAAAACAAATAAAAAATAATGGTATTAATGTATTTAATGTAATGTAACAGAAATGTTTTAATATACTTATCTGAGAATCAACATTCACAGATAATAATTAACATAATTACAATAATTTAAAATGATAACATTCTTTTTGAAAGACAATGTGTTATTTATAAGAATACTGTATGATCAGTACAAGCATACACATAATCCCTTCCCTTAAATTAATTACTAAATGTGAATTAGCTGAAATGGATTCTTTGGCAGATATCTCAAATAATAATCAAATCAGACTAAAAAAAACAGGCTTTACTCTAAAAATTCAGAGCATTTTTCTTAATTAAGTAAAGAATATTATTTAGCTTTGAGTTGTTATATATATATATATATATAGAAAAAATTCAAACATTAATTAATTAATTAATTTGAAATTTGTCTGAATAAGCTTATACATTCCAATAATGAAGTTCTAAAAACCACAATTAATTCTATTTTTAGTTAAATTTAACTATTTAAAATACAGAGCTGAAGAGTTAACATACCCCCTTTACACCACACACAACTGTCGTCTCCCCTTGTTTAACCATGGCCGAACCATTTGCACTCGTTATATAACCTAAATTAGTAAATTACATCATTAAGTTTAAATAATAATAATAATAAAATTTTTAAAATTGAATATTTTTGTACATAAAACAATTAATATAAAGACTTATATACATATTCCGTATAGATTACGTTTAAAATTCAATAAATTACATCATTAAGTTTAAATAATAATAATAATAAAATTTTTAAAATTGAATATTTTTGTACATAAAACAATTAAAATGTTATTTCAGCAACCTACTAGTGCTGTTTTGCCAAACTTATCATGACTACTTTGATATATTACAACACTCTTCTCATATTCTTTTTTTTAAGTATCTTTAACAAAATGCATTTCGGACTCGTATCATCCCTCTTCAATTGTTAAAAAATTAAACTGTACAAAACAAAGGTACAAATAAATTCCCAATTTTTAACATTACAAAGGTATGCCATTAAAGTATATATATTAAGGTAACACTTGCATTTGGTGTACATACTAGATTATTAAATACACATTTACTATCCAAAAACTTTTCATCTTCAAAACATAACGTTATTAAAATTAACAAAACACAAGCCATAAGATAAGCACATATTTAAAGTTAAAATTATAAATAAAAAAGCACATAGTAAGGAACTTTTACCTCATTCTTACAGGGTATTTAATGTAGGCCCCCCTGCTGACCCAAAATTAATACCAAGAGGGGTGTACCCTGTTTCCTTGAAAATAAGACAGTGTCTTATATCAATTTTTGCTCTCAAAGATGCACTAGGTCTTATTTTCAGGGGATGTCTTATTTTTACATGAAGAAGAATTCACATTTATTGTTGAACAAAAAAATTCCCAAGTCTAACTTAAACGAGAGTGAGGTAAATCCTGTCGTGTCGAACTGAACTTATGAAGTTCCCATGCTGGAGTGGACTTCCCACTCTCGCTTCAACTTAACCTTTTCACAGCATTGACATCGGGCTCGATGACCAATTAGTGCTTACTGAACTGTAGCACTATGCAAATGTGATGTGGCGTGATTCCCGGCCAACCAATTAGCGATCCCCAGCCGTAATGTTATGCAAATCTGTGATTCCCAAGCCATAGTCTTATGCAAATCATGCCGTGTGGCATGATTGTCTGCTGACCAATTAGTGGCTGTACTTTCAAAAAGCCAATGGCCACTTTCAACTATCTGTCGATGACCGTTACGATTAAAAAAAACTGTCGATGACTGTTACGATTAAAAAAAAAAAACTTTGCTAGGTCTTACTTTCGGGGGAGGTCTTATATTTTGCAATTCAGCAAAACCTCTGCTAGGTCTTATTTTTGGGGAAACACGATAGTTGCATTCCTTCATTATTTCAAAATGTTCATAAATTTTTCTTTTAAAAGTATTAGACTCCTTTTTAATTATTTTAACTGTATTTTATTGAGTTTTGCATCCTTGCATCAAATTAGGAACTAGATTTAAATAGCATATTACAGCAATTAAAGAAAATAATTACACATCAGCAGTTGCCCACCATTGTAATAGCCAAGGATGCAAAATTCAATAAAATATAGTTAAAATAATTAAAAAGGAGTCTAATACTTTTAAAATAAAAATTTATGAACATTTTGAAATAATGAAGGAATGCAACTACACCCCTCTTGTATTAATTTTGAGTCAGCAGGGGGACCTACATTAAATACCCTGTAAGAGTGAAATAAAAGTTCCTTACTATGTGCTTTTTTATTTATAATTTTAACTTTAAATATCTGCTTATCTTATGGTATGTGTTTTGTTGATTTTAATAATGTTATTTTTTGAAGATGAAAAGTTTTTGGATAGTAAATGTGTATTTAATAATCTGGTATGAATACCAAATGTAAGTGTTATACCCCATTCACACTGAGCATTTCGATCTAGATTGTGACCAAGGTCAATGACTATGCTGTGGTGCAACCTCTCTTGACCATTTCAATCTTGACTGAAACAAGGTTCAATCGTGATCGACTGAAGAGAGTTCTTGAAACTAGATCCAGTCATTAGAGAGATCCCACAATCCCACGCGTGCGAGAAAATACAAGATGGCTGCGGAACACGTGTCTGGCTATCAACAGAGAAATAAAAAAGACATCTGGAGAGATGATGACATCTGTCTATTATTAGATTTATGGCAAGAAAAAGTATTTATTTCTAACCAAAACTTCCATTTTGTTTGTTGGCGTTCGTGACTTACCGTGTAGTTATGTCAGTTTTATCATCGTGTGTAATAGCCGAGTTCTTCTCAAGCAGACTGCCTGTGTGAACAGCTGTACATTCATCCTGCATCAGTCACAACCCAGATTGTAGGTAAATTGATATTGAAGTGAGTCGTGGATTGTGTGCGAACATAGTATTACCTTAATATATATACAGTTGTCCCTTGATAATCCGACAGGTATGGGACCAAAGGTGTGTCAGATTACCAAAAGTGTCCGGATTACCGAAAATAATTACATATTTCGCATTGTTTTGCTAGCAGTAACTTACAATATTCTCTACTCCAACTGTTCGAACAGAACTGCTCACATAAAACACACAAAAGTTTCCGGATTACCGAAAATAATTACATATTTCGCATTGTTTTGCTAGCAGTAACTTACAATATTCTCTACTCCAACTGTTCAAACAGAACTGCTCACATAAAACACACGAAATGTATGTCATTGAGTAAGAATTGGATGGGGAGATTCACATTGTGACATGCTTCTGTGCAAGCAGACACGTAACGGGGACGGGTACCTTGACAGGAGGGGCGTCGGACTACTGAGCATGTCGGATTAAAAAACGTTGGACTATAGAGGGACAACTGTACTTTAATGGCATACCTTTGTAATGTTAAAAATTGGGAATTTATTTGTACCTTTGTTTTGTACAGTTTAATTTTTTAACAATTGAAGAGGGGCGATACGAGTCCGAAATTCATTTTGTTAAAGAGATACTTAAAAAAGAATATGAGAAGAGTGTTGTAATATATCAAAGTAGTCATGATAAGTTTGGCAAAACAGCACTAGTAGGTTGCTGAAATAATATTTTAGTACAAGTTACCAAACAAGAAGATAAATGAAGGTAAAATAATTAATTCATAATTTCTGATGATTTTATTCGTTTTCTTTTTTTAATAAATTAAAACCAATCCAAAAGAAGATAATTCTGCTCTTTAAACTGATAAAAAAAAAACTAATAAATTAAATTCAAATGAACCAGAACAATGCTTGTTCTCACATATCCTCTCTATCATAAACCAAAGACTTTATCTGAGACTATATGCAGAGATTGTTAAAGATTTACTACCATAATTTTTCCGTTGGTTTGAAAATCGTTGTCATTATCTTTATTAAACAAGTTTTCATGTTGAGCTCTTGCAAAAATAACATGTCTGTAGCATGTATGCAAGCAGGTTCCAATTAGTACAAGTCTTAATTGACAAGACTATGTCTTGTTTATAAAATCACGATGCCATTATGGGTGTTCACCTTAGAGGTATAATGGAAACATGTCAGGAGTTGCAATTTGGCACAGAGTATTAAGTGTCCAAATCATGAGCACATAAAAAAAATCAGACTTGTAGGTACTCAGAGGACCGAGAACAGGGTCAAAACAAAATACAAAAATGGTGACATCTTCCTACAAACAGGCAAGAATGCAAGATTTGTGCATGTGTATATTGTTGGAAAGTTGGAAATGCGAATGTTGTGAAATTGAATTTTGACAAACGAATCTTTGAAAAAACCCATTTACCTCTCTGGTTGCAACCTTCTGACCTTGACTGGTTGACCTGAGATATCTCATTTCAGCATTGAAATGTTTTTGAAACTAGATGGTGCTAGTCATTATAATTTTATATTAAAAGTAACTTCCAAAATATATTTTTTTTTGTTTTTACATCTATTAATATATTTATTTTGTTTGTGCAAAATAAAAAAAATAATTTTGAATGATACAATAGCTACGATAATTTTTTTCAAAAACTGGAAATTTTTGTTAGGCATCGACAAAAATTCAACTTGGAGCAACACACAATAGACAGAAATTTCGACATTGGATAACTTAATTTCACCAAAAATGCTTCGTGGTCATGGTCATAGCCATGGTCTAGGCTGGTAAAGTTTGAATGATTGCATTAAGCCCCGAGTAGTCTTGTCTCAAAAGTCGGCCTTGCCATTTTAATTGTTCAATTTAGTATGAGTTTTTTGCAACTAAAGGCAAATGTATAAAGGAAAACAGAAAAAATTTCAGAATTTTTTTCAGACAATGCCATTAAAATATTTTAGAAAATAATAAATACATTAATACTATATTTTTGCAGATTGGCCGGAATGTCACATATGACCAGGAGAGATCAGCACACCAGAAACCATGGGGTTACTGGCATGCTGGCTAAAGTGCAACTAAAAAATAAAATTAATCAAATAAAACTAGTTATTAAATAAATATTATTGTATTTGAGTACAATAAAATAACATTGTAATTTGCTGCAATTAACAATCTGTTGTGAAAGTAATAAAGTTTTATCAACACTTCCCTGACCTTGAAAGGTAACCTCTTCCTCTCAAATTTTACACAAAGCAATTGTGTAATGGTGTTAATTGTGTAAGTTGAGATAATTTTCAGTAAATTTCTGAAATCTGGTGTATTTATTTTTGTTTTTGAATCAAATTACAATAAAATACACATTGCACTGATACCATTCCACAGGTATTTTACACCATTAGAAAGAAGACAAAATACAGAACATATAATTGTAGCTTTTGATGTAATGCAAACAGTTTCAAAATTTTAAAATAAAAACTGGCATCTATGAGATGTCATGTAATGTAACTTATTTCAATTTTTTTGTGTGCCCTCTGGAGAGGGATGTATAACCTAGAGTAAACCAGCGTGCTGGCATTCCCCCCTGGATAGACTGACATACTGGACAATCCACAAAAATATGGTACAATAAGTAATAATTTTTACTAAGCATTTTCAATAAGCTGAAACCAATTAGTTTGATGTTTCATGAAACATCACACTGATTGTGAACTGCCTGTACATACATATCTAATTTTTATATTTTAAACCACTTACAATACATCAATATGAATAACAAAATAAAGATAATGCAAATTTCAGTCCATATACTTATTTCATAAAATAAGTAGCACATGATAAACGAAAAATTTCTTACCTATATTAAGAAAAGTTTGTCTACTTTGAAATAATTCTCTTCCATCGGGTCTTTTATTATTTTTCTGTAAGATTTTAAAATAAATTTATTAATTTAGACACTTTTATCTTATGATTTTATTTTACTATTGAGTAAATAAAAGCAGTAAAACACAGAATAAATTAAAAGATTTTAATTTATTCTGTGTTTTATTAGTTCAAATAATTAACACACTTCTTATTTAAATACAGCACATCTCCACTAATTCACTTAAAAATAAAAATCATCATCAAAGAAATAATTCAATATAAATAATCACCAAGTCTGATTTACTATTAATAGTCAAATATTAACTGCTGAATCATTGGGCTAAAATTAGGTTATGATTATATGTGAAATTTTGTACTCCAGAATAAAAGTATAATATTATATTGTGCTATTATTATACTGGGTCCTCCAAAAAGAAGCTACCATTTTAAATTACTATAATTACATTAAAAAAGTTGATTTTATGGTCTGGTCTTTAGTAAAAAATGGTTATAAGAGGCATAACATAAAATTACATGTTATTAGCCAACATAATGTTTTTTAAATAAAAAAGACACAAAGTTTTTTTTATAATTATGTTAATTATTATTTGAGAAGTATGCAATGTATTGTACAGTTCAAGGCCAAAGTGTTAATACCATCAGCACAATTCTGGTATTTTCTCAGGACATTGCAGCTGTCTGTCCAGACGGGCCTCTGACTCTTCACAAGCAGAATACCTCATACCGTCTATCACCTGACAAGTCCTACAAGTAACAGCCAGGAAGGATTACTGCCCAGCAAGTGCAGTTTGTAATTTAGTGCATATAACCAAAGATATTTGAAAATGTGAAATGTGATTTTTCAAACAACATTGGGCATCTTTATCACTGATCCTCAGTACCTAACTAAGGCAGGATCCATGAGCCTTACCTTGTCCTCTACCGAACATCCAGAAGAAGCTAAGTGTCACTGGGTAGTAGCACAAGCAAGGCTGGTCTAAGAGTTTTTGACAGCCCTAAATTTTTGTATTGAAGGCAACTGCCTAGTGTGCCTATAGCTCAGGTTGGTCCTGAGTACAGGAGAATATCAAGGGAGACTTAAACAGAGATATCAATAGTGAGTGGACAATTTTCTTTGATCTTTTACATTGACAGTTAGAATGAGTGTGGGATTAGTACAGATAGCTAAGAAGTGCGAGATTGGTGAATGCTATTCACAAGCAAGGAATGGCCAAACACTAGGTCAGTAGAATGTTACTTAAATAGATTATCACTGTAATGATAGGGTATTTCTTTCTTTTCCAATAAAAATTATTGGAATGACTAACTAGGTTGCTTGTTAAGCATGTGGGATGATTTCTACTGCATCCTGGAAATAATTAGTGTGATAGCATTTGTTGTGTCCTATAAGCTTTTTAGTCACTTCTGTGAAGTGGAAAACAGTCTATTTTTAGCAATGACTTGAGAAATAGTTTTGAAATTTCTCACTTTTATATCCCATTTTTGAGGTCTCCAATATTCCAAGTAAGCAAATTTTGGGGAGTTACATATCACAGAGTCACTCTTGGATCCATAATTCCTTTTAGTTTTTGTTCTCATGGACATGGTCTACAAATATGGCTAAATTTGGCCGGATGGCCAAGCAGTCAAGGTGGCAGCCCACCACTCTGGGGGACCCGGGATCGAATATGGACGAATTGAAAAATCCCCACAAATTTTTTGGGGGGTGATCCGATCAGATATGTCAGGTCCCATCCTTTACCAGCCGGCTGCCTCATTTCAGGCCTGGCCGAACCTATAATGGGATTGCTAAAAGAAGCCCTCTCAGTGCCCACAGGGCGGAAAGAGTAAAACAAAACATGACTTAATGTCAAAGATGCTTGGCAGAGATAAAATCACATCGGTTAGATTTACCTTAGGTAGCCAACATGGCCACGCTCTTGACTGTTCTTGGACTAGACAGACTCCTCCCCAAGGGAAGCCACCGGCAGGCCACCGAATGCCAAATGTCACTAATTATTGATTCATGGTGGTTCTTGAACAAAATAAATAAATAAATAAAAAGGAAACGTCTACTAAAAATGTAGCTTATCTAACGGAAACGAAACGGACCTAACCAAAGTGCCGCCATTTTTTCTACCAATACATCAATCTGTCCGTATTGTAAATGTGTAAGAAATTAATTTTGTCGATATTATATTATATAATTATTTTTTATATCGTACTTCTTTTAATAATTTGTTTAGTGTACAATAGTTTCATCAGCGTACGATATTTATCATTGTAATTACAGTTTAAAATTAAATAATATAGTATTCAAAATAATATCCAAAGATGTAATAATCATTCTATAAAATATATAATAAAAAATTACCAAAAAACTTCTGTAATATTCCAATGGCTGTACAGTCTTAAAAACATCTCTGAAAAATATAAAAAAATTTAATTTAAATATAAACCATTCAATGTCAATTTGTTCATAATCAAATCAACAAGAACCACGTGCTTACGCCGACGAGAACGCCATTTTAAATCAACAACAACGCCACCTAAAATTTTTACACGTAACAGAATAATTTACAATATATATTTAAAACATTCATTTCATTTATTTTATAAAAATAATTACACAAATCATTTTAGAATTGATAATTTCCAATATATTTAAAAATTTTTGATGATAAATCCTATTTGTAAAATTTTTGATGAGAGATTTCAAAATGGCGCCTGATTTGATGACGTTGATGTTAATGTCGTCTGCAATTTTATTAATTATTTTCGTTATTGTAAGTTTTATATTAAATTTCTACGTAAATTTAACTGGTAAAAGCTATGAGAAACTTCAAGGGGAAGTTTATTTTCTTTAATATTAAATATTTAATATATTTTTATTAATTTATAACATAAATTTAGCAGAAGTTACTTTTAGTTAAATCATACCCAGCTATTATATATGACAATTAACTAAAGTTAACCTTTACTAATTTATATTCATTATTTATATATTTGTATTTATGGAAATAAATGACTCAGTATTTCAGTTATCAGATTACATTTACTACATTTTGCTTGCCAAAAATATTAACAGATGAATGACCTCACACATTATTACATCATACAGACTCTGAAATGAAATTTCTGTCATCACTAAGCAGTCTGATGTAAGCATTCTTTATATAAATCGTGATATCGGCAAGTAGTTTACCTTGAGTGTCACGACGTGTGATAATCTACCCAATTCCGTAGAAATTGGATTAATTTATGACTATTTAAACATATTTATCTTTGCTTCGGGTCATAAATAGTCTATGAGGCCGTAGACTGTCTTTATACGACCTTAATACTGAAAGAAACTAGATTCTACGCATCTCAAAAGTTGCCTTTGACAGTGTTGCATGACTCCGAAAATCAAAGAATTTTAATATTATTCTAAAATCTTAATAAAATTTCATGTGTATATAAATGTCCCAAAACCCAATATTTTAGTAGTTTGCCAGCTGACTGTTGGATTAAATCGGGCTACTTTACTGCTATTATTTTTAATTACATTCTAGATAATACTATGTTATTTTGAATTTAATTAAAAATAATAGCGGTAAAGTAGCGATTTAATCTGGTGGTCGTTTGGCACCTTACTAAAATTTTGTACTTATCTCATTACAAAGATAGCTGAAAATGTTTATATGGTGTGGGAGATGTTGCCAATGCTGGACTGTATATACTTATATGTGGTTGAGCACCAATATATATTTAGAGCATGCAGTTGGCAGTATAAATATTCAGAATGTACACATGTACTGAGCAGGAGGATTATAAATAATCAAAGTTATATGATTATTTATAGATCTTCTGAACTATATATGTGTATATGTTATAGTTCTTTTGATTTTTTAAATCTTATTCAAGCTGTTCTTACTGTTTTTCCATTGTATAATAGAATTATGCAGTAATAATCCACGAAAACCTTTCTGTACAAGTGTTATGTTCTTAACTACTCCACAAATGCTTTCGACCTCCACCGAGGTCTGCTTCAGGTGGTGACTGACTGCACATTTTCTAGATGTTAACATACGTCTCAAGGATGGTAAGATAGAAACGAGTGTTTACCATAAACCGAACCAACTACCACTATTCATCCCCGCAAACTCCTCCGACCCCTTTATCTACAAGATTGCGGCCTTCCGTGCCCTTACCAGACGGGCCTTCACTCACCACACAAATGATTGCGACACCCGGTTAGAGCTCCAACACATTGAAAAAATTGCCATTGAGCATGGCTACAGTAAAGGCATGGTGCGCGGTTTAGCTCGTGCCTAAGCCCATCGTCCCCCATGCCGCAGCGATAATATCCCCCTGCCACCGCTGGATGACAACCACCAGCCCGATAAGAACGTTAGCTGCGCGGTCGTCAGATTCAACCAACATTTAGACCCCCTATACAGGGAGATAGCTTGCCGTAACTGCACGAAGATCGTGTACATGAGAACCGGCACTATTTACGACCTGCTGCACAATGCCAAGGACGTGATGGATCTCAGTAGGGCCCCAGGTGTATACACCATTCCCATCAGGGACAACAGGTTCCACAGGGACTTGATTTACATTGGCTCCACCATCTGCTCAACTCAAAATGAATACAAGAACATCAAGCTGATATTAAAAATAACAGGCACACCACTGCCTTATCGACCTACGTCATACACCCTGAAATACAAGCGGACTTCCGGAATACCAGACTAATTAGACAAGCGTTCCGAACCGATCACATCCAACACCTGGAGGCCTGGACGATTCATAAAGCTAACTGTCGGGGCACCTGCATCAACAACAAAGATGGTGAAACAATCGCGCAGGCGTGGAGGTATTTGTTTGAGGAATTCGAACAAATACCTCCACGCCTGTGAGGGACAGTTGGAGGGGTAAAACTCAACGAGCACGATTATTTAATCCCTGGCGACATTGTTATGACGGTCAGGAAGAAACAAGGTCAGTCACCACCTGAAGCAGACCTCAGTGGAGGTCGAAAGCGTTTGTGGAGTAGTTAAGAACATAAACTTGTACAGAAAGGTTTTCGTGGATTATTATTACTCAACGAAGTGTTAAGTTGTTGGAAGTCGTTTTGAATTATGCAGTGTAATGTATATAGATTATTTATAATTTTTTTCTACTTTACTTCTGATGGAATAATAATAGTGTTTGTTCCTGTTCGATTATGTTGATACTTCGATAATTTTTGTCTCTTGCATTTTGGTTGAGATGAATTTCAGATGAGAATAATGGTAGATCACTCAAACAGTTTTAATAAATCTTTATTTTTATGTTAAATGAGTCATTTTTCGAACTGTTCTGTTGAAAATTGCAATTTTTGACCGAATGCTATCGGTATTTAGATTCATTTTCACTTCATAGGATTTAAGATTTTCAGTTTAATATTTAATTATAATAAAAAATGGGTACTTATGGGTTAAGAGGATGCCAGTTCAATGGGGACGCACGTTCTAACCTAACCTAACCTATTCTAATAAATTACCATAATTATTACTAATCAAATTATTAGAATAGGTTAGGTTAGGTTAAAACGTGCATCCCCACTGTTTCCTTTTTTTTGCTGGAATCAGAGGTGAGTCGCCATGACGGTATACGTATCTGGACTTTAACCGGCAAATAGGTGATATCTATCATCCTAATTAATTTTTTTTTTCATTTTTACAACCTTATCAGTAAGTTTTCTTCTTTTTAGATTTAAATTTACTAGTCTATTGTTATTTTGATATTTTCGTTCAAAATTACGACTTTGATCGCTATTTCCGACTGGCATCCTCTTAACCGATAAGTACCAAAAAATGCTTTAATGAAGCAAGATGGTGTACAAAAAGTGTTTAAGTGCTTTTGAGTGCTAGATACTTTGGCATTGATTTACTTTGTTGACCACTAATGATGCGACACAAATTTGATCACGGTGCGTGCCACCATATGATGTGAGGAAGAATGTTGTGCATGCAGTTTAGTTTTCATTACAGTAATACCCCGAACTTACACGATAGGTGGGACCGAGCAATAACCATGTAAGACGAATTCGCATAAGTCGGGGTATAATTTCGCATATAAATACATACAAATAATTTTTAATTGGGACCGGAGACTAAAAAAAGCAATAATTTAGGAAAAAAATGTTTAATAAAATCTTAGATAATACATATGTATAACATATTATATTATTATACAATTTTTCACAATTACTTGATTATCACACCATAATTTTAACATTGTTTCCATCTCAGCGATAATACCGTGACGTTTACGAATGATGCTTGAATTTAAAGATTGAGCATTTTTTACAGCTTCGAGAATTTTTTCTTTACCTTTTATAATTGTTCTGACCGTCGATTCCGGTAGATCAAACTTCTTTGCCAATTCACAAATTTTCGTTTTTGTATCGAAGTCTTTCATAATGTTAACTTTACATTCCAAAGATAAAGTTTTTCTTTTCTTGTTTGATGCAGAAGAATCAGTTCTACTTCATTTGGATGACATAGTACAGTCTCTCAAGTCTCCTTAGATAAAACAAACTCAGAAATAAATAACACAAAATAAATTGTAGCTATGCGTCGATTCCGCGTGACATTTCCGAACATGTAAGCTGAACAATAGTGTGGGGGCATGAGTAATCAAGAGTTGCGTGATGCTCAGAAAAAAGACGAATCGGCTAGATTTGAAAATCGCGTAACTCCGGGTTCGCGTAAGTTGAGGTATTACTGTACTTAACTATACATTGTGTGACACTTGCATCACTAATGGGTAACAAAGTAAACCAGTGCCAATACTTTTTGTCAGTAATGTCTGGTACTACAGTTGCTTATTAAAGCATCTATTATTATTATTATTATTATTTTATCATTACGGAATGTTTATCTTACATAACAATAAGTCTATAAGTCATTTAATAAGTCTATAAAATAAATATGTTTTATTGGTACTTCTCGAATAGAGATGTGTGGATTTTTGGGGGTTTCTCAAACCATTTCTGGTTGATCTGCAATCTGGTTGATTTAGCCATTTTGCAATATACATTTATTTTTCTAAAAGTATACTGATGGAATTATAACAAATTTTCCTACAGAACATTAGTTATTTTCAATATTAATGATTAGTATACAAACAAATCACTTCCGTTGCATGACTTCTCTTTTATTTTTAAATATAATAAAAATAGATTTGTCCGCTGACTTGTGAATGACCCTTACAAGGTTGGTAATTTATCAACCTTTTGGATAAATCATTTGATTCTTTGGGTTACTAGTTTATGTGAATTTTTCATTAAAAAAAAATGATTTTGCTATACTAATTAATTGTCCATTTCGAATAAAGTATAAATCATTAATTTAATTTGGAAGATTTTGTATTATTGTTTACAAATAACAATAACAAAAATAATAATAATAATAAAACATTTAGACTTTCAGGAAGTTTTTTCGTGTATCACAAGAAATTTTCTTAGTCATTTGTCTGGGTAAATGCTATGTAAGCAAAAAATGAAAATATTGTAATATTAAGTAAAGTGATGCTGAAAAATTGCTAGTTCAAAAAGAAAACAGATTATATCAGTTTCTATTAGTGATGTAACGAATATTCGGTTACTATTCGGTATTCGGCTTATTTTTTGCTATTCAGCCGAATACCGAATATTTAATCACTATTCAGCCTAATACCAAATACCTAAAAACAGGAGTAAGAAATAACAAAAACACAATAATTAATCATTTTTCCAATTTCTATCCTGATAGGAGTGTCTTTTATCCTCACTAGAAAATTTGTAATTGTTTACTTGTGTATATACTTTCCATCATATTGTTATATATTATATTTTTCTTAATTATGCATTATGTTATTGATCAAATAAGGTTTCAGTTTTCTCCCATGAAGTTTCAGGTTTGATTCTGATCTGCACCTCTTATTATGGATAATATGGTTTTAAACAACATTCCTCCTCAACCACCCATGCTATATGAACCCATCGTGAGTCAGAGTTATCCAAATGTGCACAAATTTGATCAACCATAGCTTTAATTTGCTAGTATCAAGGAGTAGATTAATTTCTAAATAAAATAATTAATTTTTTTTAATTGAGTGGAGTGTAAGTGGAACTCTGCATAAGTCAGAAAGTTTTTTGTATGTGATCAAAGTTTAAAGCAATCATACTAACACTGAACATGAGTTTTTTTCAAATATGTAAAACTTGGCAAGGCCAATGTCCTAAAGAAGTGGGAATTTTGAAATTTGATCTATGGGTTGAGATATTCGAGGTCAGAGTTTGCCATGTAAAGTTTATGGATTGATTGCATAGTGTAAGCTAATCAATCACAAACTACATGTCAACCGAGTTTCTGATTGTTGTCATTTGCATTGATCTCTATGACAATTTTTTATTTTAGATTTAGATTAGTTTTAAAACTTTTTTTTTCAGTTTTAATTTTCTATGCTGTTGTGCTCAGTCTTGTTTTCCTAGAAAAAAAACCTAGTTTGTTTTATTTATATTATGACTTTTTTTATATTTTAGTTATGCATAACATTACATTTGACGAGTATTCCAATACCAATAATTCAACGTTATGAAGCAGAAAAATATTATGTAGATCCATCTGAACCAAATGAAAAATACAGATTTCCAGATTTAAATGATCCTCCAACTTTAGAATTATCTGTTGTTGTTCCAGCTTATAATGAAGAAAAAAGACGTAAGTAGTTTATTATTCAGTTAAACATTATTTTAATATATTATCATCATTCAAATTTTCTTTTGTTGTAACAATAACAGTTTAATTGAAGCATAAATTAAGAAACATTTAATTGTTGTAAAATATAATTGCATTTAACTAAATTCCTAAAGGAATAAAAGAATAGTGTGTTAAGAGTGATCCAAAAGTCAGTTAATCAAGATATACAGGGTTTTTCAAAATTAATACTACCATTACATTAATTATTACCTGAGAATCATGCAATATACACCAATCAGTAACTGTAACTGTCCAAGTTTCATCTCCTATTTGAATTCAAAAATCTTGTTGTCTAGGAAGTCCCATAAACAAGAATGGAAACTTTTCAACAGAGAAGGCATTTTGTATTCCATGGTTTACAAACTTAGAGTCATTTTGTGTTCTCCTGGAATTGCTAATATTACCAAAAAATATTTGTTTTACATGGTGGATCATTTTGAAATTGTCTGTGAAATTCATGTTTCACAATGATGAATGATTCTGATTTTGTAAACTGTAGAACATAATGTATTCTCTGTTATGGAGTTGCCATTTTCATTTACAGGCTTCCTAGACTTAGTAGATGATAACAGTGATTACAGTAATTTTTTAAAGAAGTGTTTTTTAGTAGTTTCCATGATGAACATTTAGTGCACTTCATGCCAGCATTTAGAAATTAAATATAGGTCACTTCCATGTTGTGGTGTTATTAACAGCGATTTGTTAAATTTCAGATATACTCACAAGTACTTTCAACAGTTTACACCCATCGTCTTCAGGTGAAATTGAATATCTTTATTGTCGAGTTGACAGCTTTAACGGACTTTTCAAATTACGTAATGCACATGGTTGGAATATAGAACAAAACATTAAAATTGAATAATTAATTTTTTAAATGACTGTATTACTGTAAAATGGTAGCATTCACTTTGGAAGACCTGTATGCAATATACACCAATCAATAGAGTATATTATAGAATAATATGGTGCGAGCTGGGGACACATCAAACACCCATGTCCTGTAAACACACTCCTAAAGCACTCAACCAGCCATCGCAAATATCTGATGATGGTTATAACATAATGTTATATATACTGGAAGACGAGATTGGACCGGAGGTCCGGGTAGCATAATTGGCAACACATCTGCACGGTAAACAGGAGTTGCGAGTTTGAGTCCCGCTCCAGGCTGATCCTTTTCTTCCAGTAGTACTAAATTATTTAATTAAAAATTATAATTATTAAATTTATTAAGAGATGGCACCTAATGCCTCCCTCTAGTACCAAATTGTTTCATAATTTATTAGTATTATAGCTGTTATCTAGCACAATGACATAAGGCATTGGTTGGCTTGTAGTTTTGTAATTTATCGGTTTTAGTGATGTTGTTTATTTATTTGCTTCATTGAAGTAAATGAATCGAATACTAAAATGTGTCTGTTTCAAACTAATTTTAAGAATTCTTAAAATTATTTTAAAATGTATCTCAGTTAACAGATGTTTTGTATAATACAATATTATGTAAAATCTCTATTTTTGAGATTTTATGTAATATTGTATTAATGAGTTTTTGCTTAAATGTCAAGTTGTGTAAAGTTTACTGAGAAGAATGAATCAAAATTATTGAATTTGTTAGTTTTATTTCTTTATTGCTTTTCTTTGTGAAAGTTCTAATGACATATTTATTTGAAAAATATTTATACAATATACATATTTTTTTATATAGTAATACCAATGCTTGAAGAATGTCTAGGGTATTTAGAGAAAAGAAATGTAAGTTATATTCCAAATATACTAGATATTAAAAATAGTTTAAAATTTCAAGTATTTTTGCTAAATTTAGAATTGTACGTACTTAAACCAAACACAATTTTTTTTATTTTTTAGTTTGAAATTAAAATAAATAAATTTTTATATGGAAAGTTTTTTAGTGTGATTTAAAAAAATAATTAATTTTTTATAATTTTATATAATGTATATAAAAAAGCATATAGATTTAATAATACAGTATCTAATTATATATTATCTAATTATAGCATTCACAGTTTTTATTTCAGTGTAATTCTCTAAATATTTTTAAATGAAATATATCAAACTAAACATTAAGAATTAATAATTAATATAAAAAAATAGTAACTATAATTATTCTTCTGTAAAATAAACATTATTATTACTTTTTTCAATTTTGTTGTTAAGAACATATACTAGACATACTAGAGAAAGAGGCAGAAGGCATTACCTATTTAGGTATATCCTTAAGAAATGAAGAGAAGTGAGAAGGTTAAGTAGTAGAGAAAGGGATTTGGGAGTGTCCCAAAGGGGTGGAAAGTGTGAAGGGAAAAGAGAAGAGGGAGGAGGGCTCATGAGCCGCACCGGGTCCATTTATTAACCAAAAATAAATACAAATAAAAGAACAATAACAAAATGTAAACAGAATAACCCCGACAAAAGGTTTCGCGGCAAACAAAATTTAGAAAACACAATAAAAACCGACAATCTGCAAGTAGTCCCTGGACTATTGCCACACAGAAAAGGATTACATAACAGAAACAGACATCAAAACGCGAGAAGAGATGCCACCAAGACCCTGGCAGCGATGGGATGCTGTATCCTATGCAGCATGCAGACAAGTGAGAGTAAACAGTTTGTTGACCCGTTATACAAAAGTAATAATTACATAGTGTACCTGAATACATACAAAAGTACAAAAGTTGCACTGAGTGACACCATGGCCAATCCTGCCCCCTGACGATACCGAAAACCAGGTGCAAAAAGGTGGCACCGTCGGTATCGGGGCTTAATCCCAATTAAGATAGAAAGGAATTGACCATGGGTCACCCTTAACGAGGATCCAGTGCGCCCGTACTGTTCACAAAGTTGATAAGTTCTTTGTAAATGGTTTCATTATTCACAAGAATGTTGTGACGACAGGGCCAATTGGCTCCTTCTAGAAGAACAGTCAGCATAAGTTTTTCTCTTTGGCGATCGTAATGTCTACAGTCAAAAATGAGATGTAAAGAGTCTTGTGTTGACGTGTTGTCGCAACTGCAATACTGCGTTTCACTGTGTTTGAAGCGGCACAAATACTGTAAGAAATTTCCGTGGCCAGTAAACAATTGGCTGGTGAGAAAGTTGTTAAGAACATATAGTGATATGAAGATATACAGACAAAATATGTAAAAATCTGTTTAAATAATACACTTTCTTCTCCATCTCTTATCTAACAATTATTCTTACATAATTAAATTGTTATTAACTAGCTTAAATTTTCCTCATAATTAGTATGGTGTTTATAAAAGATTGTCACTGTCTTGTTTTGAAGCAATTCTTTTGTATCTTTGTCTGTTACTTGAGGCCAAAAAATTCTTCATTTTCTTCTATAAATATACTGTTATCATATTCATAAATTCACTCCATATTACTGAGTTTACTTTGTAATGTCTCATACACTTAATTTCTTTTTCATAAAACTGCATTTATCTTAATTTTTTCAAGTACATCAAGTATAGAAATTTAATGTTCATCAATCTCTGAGTGAGTTGTCAATAGTGTTATAGTGTATGATAAGTCCTAACAAGAGCTAATTACAGTGCTCATATAATTAATTAATAATAGTGGGACAAGAAGCATAATATTAATAGAAATTTCTATTCTCTTTAATGCTTATAAAATATAATATAACTTTAATAACTAGTAAATAGTTACTCACATACGTTTTCTTAATTATTTAAAATTACTGAAAGCAAAAAAATACTATTAATACAAAGCTAGGTAAAGTAAAATTGTTTAACAAAACTTATGTGAAATTCTATTTCTGATTATTCACACACTTTTTGTTACATGATTTTATTAAATATGTATTTTCTGCCATATTTTTTATTCTTAAATATTACTTCTACTCTTTCTCTTTCTACTAGAGCATATCTTATAGATTATTATTTGTGTTTTTAGAAATATAATGCATTTTACACAGTTAAAAGTATGCAAATTTTACTTTCTCAGTGAGTTAAAGAAAATCATTTATGATTATTCTTTCCTAAAATATACATTTAAGTTCAAATGTTTGTGTAAATTTAATTACAATAAAATGAAATGACTGCACAGATGACTTATTTATGCAAGGAAATGAAAGAAACTGTTAAATCAATAATAATTTATTATTTAAATAGATTTTCATTAAAAAACAATTAGTGCGATTGAAGAGATGTTTACATTTATGTATATTTATGCTTAACATTCATATAAAATTTAATTTATTTATAAATCAGAATATTAATTACTCTTAATTGTTTAAATTATGTAAATTTTAATGTAATAATATAAATAGTTACTAAAATTAAATTTTAATTTAACAAAGTAAATTGTTTTTCAGAAACAAAATAGTAATTTTACTTATGAAGTAATTATTGTTGATGATGGCAGTAAAGACAAAACATCAAATGTTGCTTTAGAATATGCTAGAAAGTGTGGAATAAATAAATTAAGAGTTTTAACTCTAACAAAAAATAGAGGAAAAGGTGGAGCAGTTAGACTGGTAAGAATTTTATTAGTAATATGTATATAACTTTTTATTAATGCTATATCATGATTGGAAATACAGGGTTGCCCAAAAGTCAGTTAATTGAGATATTTTTGAAGAACAGTTAAAACTTTTTTGGATGGCTGCATGTTATTGTTTGTTATTCAGTTGCTTTATTGAAGTGTCTGAATCATAAATAATGATGCACAGCTGTCCTAAATTAGTTTTAATCGTAATTAAAATATAATTAAAAATATACCTTTGTTAAGTAATTTTGGTTCATCTCATGTTTCAAAAATATAAAAAGTCAGAAGATAAAAGTTTTAATAATTTGTTTCAGTTCTGTTTTATAACAATCATAGTTGTTGTTTGATGTTCAAAAAGACAAAAACAGCAGAAGAAATTTTTATCTTCAGATATTTTAATATTTTCTTGTCTTAAAAATCTTAATCATTGGAAATGTTTTAGAAAATTGAATAACATTATTAATACGCTAAAAATATGCATATTATAATTTAATATAAAATAATGTAATAAATAAATTATGATTTAATAATGCATGCAAGAATAATGCATTGTATTTAAGATAAACAGCTAATAATAGTTTTGACTTCTTGTAGTGTTGCTATGCTACATTTTCATGAATGTGAATGTTCCAAATGAGTTTTATTTGTTTGGTTTGTGAATGAATCACCTCCTGACATTTCTGCCATTAAAACTTTTTGTTCTTTCTTTGTTTTTAATTGACTATTTTCTAATAAAAAAGTTTATTTTGGAAAGTCTTCTAATTATTTGTACTTCATTCATGAATAATAGATTTACTAAATTTAACTTTTTTGTTTCACAGTCAAGGGCAAAGAATCATTTGGAATTATAGGGAAGTAGTATTTTACTTCATTTTTGTTTTATTGTCATATGACTATATAATTTTGAATATTTTCTGTTTTATCTCCAGAAATTTTGACTTTTTTAAAAATTTGGTTCTGTGTTAATTTTTTGTTTAATATATATTAGCAGACAAACACCAAAATTATTTATAATAATCTCTACATTTGTCATTTTTTCATTCATCCATTTTAAAGCTTCAGACCCTTTTTATTATCAAATGATATATATTTGTACATCTGATGCTAAAATAATGAAATTGCATCTGTAAGCATGAAAATGCTGCATGATAAAGCATCATAAACAGAAAAGAATTGATATGCAGACTCACAGTTCATTATTTATACATATATAAATAGCAATGTTTGTTGGCTAGTACTTTTGTATATATTTAGTTCTTTGTCTTCATACTAATTGCTACAAGGTAATGTTCTGAAAGCATGGCATAATTCCATTTCCTTGCTTAACATAAATTTTTTTGGCTAGCATTTAGTTTTCCTTGAATAATTTTTAATTATTTTTTCTGAAAGTTTTCTCTTTAAATTTCTTTGAACAATCAAACGTTTTATAATACAAAATTAAATAGAATAACCAAAAAATTTTAACAGACATACTAACTGTTTTAACAGTAGATTAGCAACTGTGATTTAATTTATATTATTACTAGTTCTATATATACACATACACATAAACACGTACACACACCATTTTTAAATTAATGTCATTATTTACTAATTGAACATATACAGTTTATTTTTTATTAATCGACTAAATTTTTCTTCAATATTGTTATTTAGTAACCAAATGCATACCTGTTTTCAGATTTATACATTTATAATCAACTTACACAACATTTAAAGTACTGTACATAATTGAAATCTTAATTGTACTTATTTTTGTAATTGGGCTGCAGTTTGAAAAAATTGTGGACCTATAAATTTCCACAGTCATTTATCTGTTTGCCTTTAATCTTGAAAACAGAGTTAGATAGGTGGAATATGAGACCAGATATGGAAACCTTAGGGGCAGGATGCCCTGATTAACTATATATGAACTTTGATGCAAACCTGAAGTCATGTTATTTTTCAATTCTAAACTTTTTCCCTGAAAGCAATTAATTCACCCTTTGTCAGAAAAGTTCCAGGACAAAGCTTGTAAAAAATAGAAAATTGCAATTACCAAGTAATGATCCTAGCTCCTGTCAAATTAGTCCCCTCAGCTATCTATACACAATTGCCAATGTTTCTGGAGGTCTTGGAAACAAGCAGAGAAAGCTTTAAGTGTGATGCTTGTTAGCTCATTTGTCACAGTCCGTTTGATATCTGCAATATCTTGATGAAACATCCCTTTCATTTGCCTGTCTTTTCACTTGTGGAAACAAGAAAAAAATCACTTTTCTGCAAAGGGTTGCAACTGAAAGGGGCATTTTGTCAAGCAGCTGAAAGGGATGTTTGCTCAAGAAACGTTGGCAATTGTGTATAGATAGCTGAGGGGACTACTTTCACAGGAGCTAGGATCATTACTTGGTAACTGCAATTTTCTATTTTTTATGAGTTTTGTCCTGGAACTTTTCTGAAAAAGGGTGATGACTCTATTGTTAAAGAAAAAGTATGATGTACAGGGGCAAGCCACTACTAATTTGAGGTGGAGAGTATATATTTTAAATTAAATAAATTAAAAATATGATTAAAAATTGCAGCCCAACATTGTGATAATGTCACAATAAATAATTGCTTGTGTTACTTTTGAGAATGAATTGTAACTCATATTTAACCTATCCCATGTTGAAATTTTTCTTCGTTGCACGTCGCGCCATATTGAATTTTTGTCGATGTTAAGCCTAACAAAAATTACACATTTTTGAAAAAAAAAATTGTGGTTATTGTATTGTCCGAAAACATTTTTTTATTTTTCACAAACAAAATAGATATATTAATAAATGTAAAAACAAAAAAAAATGATATTTTAGAAGTTATTTTTAATATAACAATTGTGGTTATTGTATTGTCCGAAAACATTTTTTTATTTTTCACAAACAAAATAGATATATTAATTAATATAGAAACAAAAAAAAATGATATTTTAAAAGTTTGTTTTAATATAAAAATTGTGATGAATAGCGACATCTATTATCAAAAACATTCCAATGTAAACACAGAAATATTCGGCAACGCCCACGCAGGTCAATGAGGTCAACACGAATATTTTCGGGAACAACGTAGGACAGGTTAATAAATCTATTTGACTAATGACAAATAATAATAGGACTATATGAGATTTAGATTTGAAGAACAACTACTACTTATTTAGGATATTTTTTTATAGTGCAATCTAAAATATAATACTTAAAATATTAAGAACATTCATGAAATAAATAGGAAGTAAAAGTTTATTGTCACATACATGTAATTAATAATTTTTTAATACAAAAAAATNAAAATAGATATATTAATAAATGTAAAAACAAAAAAAAATGATATTTTAGAAGTTATTTTTAATATAACAATTATAACAACTAGCAGTGTCTAGTTTCAAAAACATTTCAATGCTGAAACAAGATATCTTGGGTCAACTGGTTGTAACCAGAGATATGTCGGGAATAACATGAGACAGGCTAAGGCATTAAAAAAATATTTTACATGATATATTTTGTATATGTGTATTATAGCTGAAGTTTTGAAGTAGAAATATTAGAATAGAATGCCTTACAAAGAGTCAAATTTAATATTTATTTACTAGAATAGAAAGTTAAGATGATAAAAATTTGAATACAGTCAGTCAGTCTCAATCAAATTTTTAGAGTTCAAAACTTACTAATGTTATATTAATAAACAATAAGTTGTAATATATTATTAGATATATTTAGATATATGTGAAGATATATGTATTTAGGCAGTGATTTTATCAAACTAAAAAATTTTGTTTTTTAGGTTAGAATTAACTTCATGCAACTTAGTTTTACACTATTGTTGTTTTGTGTAAATACTCAATAAGTATTATGATACATGATTGCAATAATGTTGTATATGTGTGGTTGATACTTTCATATAACACATAATTATATACTGTAAGGTCTCGTTTTATGCGGTGGATACGTTCTACAGAAAAGCGCATATAAAAAATTCGCATAAAAAAAGACTTTACTTGCCTTAAAAAAATAGGGATACGTTCCATAATTTTTGAAAATCACATAAAACCAAAACAACGAGTTAAAATTAACTTAAAACCGCATAAAAAAGTTTGCAGAAATTAAAAGAAATAGGCTGCTTAATAAATTACTTCGAATGTCTGAAAGAAATTCATATAAAAGCTTAAAATAAACTTGTATTCAAACTTAATTCAGTTTATTTTATTGAAAAGTAATACAAGGGGAATTCCCGAATTGCAAAAGCTCACTCTAAAAACAAATCACTGACATCTGGATGTGAAGAGTTAATTAAAACCCCTTTAGTTTCTCGCCCGAGTTAACTCGGGCAGATTACATAGCGTTACATAAAACACGGTCCTTAAGGCCATTTAAAAAAATTTTTTTTTTTGAATTTTTGGAATGTTTTTTAAGTCTCCAAATTTTTAAAAAATATACGGCCAGCTAGCGTTCACCCTACTTTAAACCCTTGTCCTCCCGCAACATCTATGAGAATGCCTTGGGAAATCCAACTCCAGCTGTGTTCAAGGTCATCCAGATGTGTAAACAATGACTCATCCCTGTTAAATTTCATAGAAGGGCGAGACAAAGGAAGTTAAACTTTGAAGCTTTTTCTTCAAAATTAACGCATTTCTTTTGTTTTTTTTTTTTTTCAGTTTTAAGTATTTTCTTATGTTTAATTACATTTATATCAAAAATTGCTAGGAACTAAAGCGATTAAGATAGATCTAGTTGTCCTTTACATCCATAAACATTATATGTCAGTGGAACAAATGGAGTGAGCTTTGAGCGTTCCACGATTTTTGGAGACTGTCTATACGCGGGCTTCCTAAACAAGCCTATATGTATGTTTGTCCAAGAAATTTTTGGATGAAATACAAACCACACAACTTCAAAATCACATAAAAATAATCTGCATAAAAAGAGACCTTACAGTATATAATATAATTACATAAATTTTAAAAAATGTAATCAGGATCAAAGATAAGATTAAGATTATTTTTTTGTTGAAGTTACAAATAAATCTTTTTAATTTAACTGTTTTCTAGTTGCTATAATATTCCATTTAAATACTTCATTCTGTGTATAAAATATAAATCATAATATAGTAGTAATGTTTAAATTGTTATGTTTTATAGGGCATGATGAGCACTAGAGGAAAATTTCTCCTGTTTGCAGATGCTGATGGTGCGACTAAATTTAATGATATAGAAAAGTTAGAAGAAAGCATGAAAGACTTTGGTGATAAGGTAGAATTTTTATATAATATAATTATTTTGTGATGTTATCAATGTATTTATTGAAATAATTTTTAAAAATAACTACATAGTAAAAGAAACATGTTTGAAATAAGGATTTCATTACTGGTAAATCAGTTTATTAATAATCAGTCAAAAGTGCATCACTAAATATACTGGCAATTTGATATTTTTTATTGGTAAATTCAGTAAAAATAGATAGATAGACAATTTTTGAAGCCAAATATTTATTAGACATAAAAAAACTGGCACACTTAAACTGGAACTATATACTAAACCTACAACTTGACACCTAAATATGAATTCCAGCATATCTTTTGAAAATTTCTTTCAAAGTTCAGAAATTTTTAGAAGATAGAACTGCTTTTTGTGTTTCGTGCATTCATTCCTGATGAGGGCCTCTGAAAGACGGCCAAAATCGTTTGAACATTAAATTTTATTTGTTCATTATTATTTTACATTTCTTTACAATTTTTAAAATATAATATTATGTTGGACTGTTTGACAATTTGTTTCTTTACTTGTAATGCTTAGAGTGCAATGGTAGTTTTAGTTGACAAATTGGAACACACTTATTTAAATGTAAGCACTTGCACTGGTCACTTTTAAAACACAATGACTAAAAATTTACAGTATGCTTTATTTTTCATGCAACAGAACTGTTGTTTTTCAAAATAGAAGAAAGGGAATTCAATTGGACATAGTGTATTAATGATTGTTTAGTTACTGACTCACTAATGAGTAGGCAATTAAAAGCTGGATTTGAAAAGTTGAAATTTAAAAGTTACTTGTAACTTACCAGTAACAAAAAAGTTGTGTCCTTAAATTTAAAATAACATATTTTCTGTTGATACATAAATGATGAAATTGTTTTGTAGATGAATGGAAACAGGTCAAAGATTAATGCAACAATATAATGCATTGCAATGTTTAGTTAAGAGAAGGGGGATTGACAATTATATAACTCAATATATTATTATTAGTTTTTAATAATAAAACTAGTGTCAGTTCACGAAATCTAAATATTATTCTTTTTGTGTGATTACTGAAAAATATATTTTAGTAGAAACAATGAAAAAATGGATTAAAAATTTAAATTTATAATCATTAAGACAATTTTTCATTATTTATTTGAATTCATTATAGTCTATGTATTATCATTACTTAATGATGTGTTAATGAAAATAATCTGAATTATTTCATTCTTATACATTTTTTGTTATATTAAATCTGAATGTAGCACTCATTTTCATTAGTTTATAGTAGAATTTATAGTTTATCATTTTTTTTAATATTTTTTTTAGACTGATAAAATAATCGCAATTGGTTCTAGAGCTCATTTAGAAAAAGAATCTATAGCAAAGGTAAACTTGTCATTTTATTAATTTAAAATAAATAAAATCTCCCCAAGTTAAATGCTAATACAGTAGAGTCCCGAAAACTCGGTCTAATGTGGACCAAAGGGTGGCCAAGTTTGTGAAAATGCCGGGTTATCGGGAATGTGGTTAAAAAAGAATAAGTACGAGTATTTCCTCAGAAAATACTGTATTGTACTTGTATGTATTGTTTGCTTGAGAATACAACAGAGAATAAACTGCGCAAATACCCTTAAACAAAAGAAAAGTACGTACTTTATGAAGGCATAGAGCCTTTACTACATGAAAATGAAAATTAATGAATATACAGTATACAGTAATTTACCGGATAAGACAGACCTCAGAAAAATACTTCATGAGGCATAAAGCTGTCTATAATGAAAATTAACTAGCTGACTTTGCAAAAACTGGCTACTTTTTTTTAAAGAAATGCATAATGTCCTGTTGTCATCTGCAATGCACTCTGTGTTTTGCTGCTTCATCACGAAGATGACGAAGGAACAGTAAGTCCATTACCGATGCACCTTGTTCAAAATACTGAAGGGCAGTTTCGACAGCCTTTAGTCCAACGGTTCCCAACCTTTTTCGGGTGGCGACCCCTTTTTATAAAATCCAAGTGTCCCGCGACCCCGATACAATTGAAAAAGGCATTTTTAATAAGATAATTAAAAAACAACGAAGTTAGTTTTTTTACTATAATTTTATTTTAAATTGTTTAATAATTTAATGCGATGGTTGAAATTGCATGTTATTACCAGTTTCAAAATTCACGGGAGAGTTTTGTTAACGCCAATCTCATGTCATTCTCAACATTTAATTTATTTCTCTCAAACTCTCAACATATGTTTCAACCAACTATGACAGAATAGCGTACCTAGATTACACTTATTTTAATTTTTAAAAAAAATATATGAAATTATTCAAACTTCAAGACACCATTAAAAACAAAAATTGCATTATAGTGAATATTTTTTTTAGTTTACTGTATAAGTTGGCGACCCCACAGAAAACCCGTCGCGGCCCCCTTCTGGGTTGCGACCCATAGGTTGGGAACCCGTGCTTTAGTCCCTCACTATGTGATATTTTAAGAGCTTGTACGGTGGAGTCCTCAATGTCAACATCATCATCATTTTTCGGCATTTTTTCATTAACTGTGACAGCAGCAATAATTTCTGTATCGGACATAATGTCTTGCTCGGTATCATTCTGGAACCACTGTTTGACGTCATTTTCATCGGCTTCTGCACATCCAAGAACTCTTTTCAGGAGGTCGAGTAAGTTTACATTTTCTGTATCATCATGTTCAACGAACTCATTTCCCTTGTGATCAAGGAGTTTTCACCAGGAACGAACTAGCGTTAATGACTCTAACTTGTTTCAGGCATCTGCCACCCAGCCAACAACATCCAATAGGTTAATTTTCTTTAAGTTCTGGATAAGACCTTGACCATCGTTTGCAGAAAGAAGGGAGGATAACAGCTTGCGCCGTGTTATCTGGACTGCCGGGTTATCGAGTACTGAGTTTTTGGGACTCTACTGTATATTTATTTTGATTTTAGAATTATACACCAACCAAAGCCAAATATTATCGAGCTACAAATGGCTATAATACTAATCTTTTAAATTTTTATGACTTTTAAACTAAAGACAATTTGGCATTAGAGTTAGACGTTAGGCACCATCTCTTGATAAATTTAATAATTATAATTTAATTAAATAATTTAGAGTTACTGGAAGAAAAGAATCATCACAAAGCAGGGCTCAAACCCTCAACTCCTGCTTACCTTGCAGATGCATTGCCAATTACACTACCTGGACGTTTGGTCCAATCTCCTCTTCAAGCATATATAAGCTAATGATATAACCATCGACGGTTATTACAATGCCAGCTGGGGACATTGGCATTGTAATAACCATCATGGGTTATATCATTAGCTTATATATTCTGGAAGATGAGGTTGGACCAGAGGTCCGGGTAGCATAATTGGCAACACATCTGCAAGGTAAGCAGGAGTTGAGGGTTTGAGCCCCGCTTCGTGATGATTCTTTTCTTCCAGTAACTCTAAATTATTTAATTAAATTATAATTATTAAATTTATCACGAGATGGCGCCTAACGCCTAACTCTAATGCGAAATTGTCTTTTAAATTATTAGTATTATAGCCATTTCTAGCCTGATAATATTTGGCTTTGGTTGGTGTATAGCTTTAAACGTATCGAGTGTAGTAATGATGTTTGATGATTTTAGAATTGCTAATGTTGACACAGATTATTTATATACAGTTATTATATAAAAAATACAAATTGATAAAATTAATTTTTTTTAATCAGAGATCTGTTTTTCGAACATTCCTCATGTATGGATTTCATTTTTTGGTCTGGTTGTTTGGAGTTAAAGGAGTTAGAGATACACAGTGTGGTTTTAAAATGCTAACAAGAGAAGCTGCTCAGATTTTATTTCCTGCATTACATGTAGAAAGATGGTAAATTGTAAATCAGTTTTTAATAATGAATTTAATATAATAACTTTACATTGAACTTGCTGTTATTCTTTTATAAATAATCATAAAATCCAGTATGTTAATTTAATTATCTACAATGATAAGCTATTATTACATTAATTAATACTAATTAATAGCTAAAATTCTAATACACTAAGATGCTAATTAATGATTAAAGTCATATTAATAAGTTACTAAAGAAATATAATGGTATATAAATGAAGTATTGTACTAAAATTGTTTGTACATGATATAGATGTATTTTTATTATATCATGTGAATGACACTCAAATTCTTCATAACCAGCTTCTTTTGATTTCATAAAAATTCGTGTTTTCTTTTCCAAATACATATTTTTATAAATGTTTTTATTAATAATTTATTAGTCAGATGATGTGCTGAATTATCAAGCTATGAGTAGGCTAAATGAATAATTAGATACAATGTAATTTGTTTAGAAGTAGGTGGTCAAGCTGCCATCTCATGGCATCTCGATTCTAAATTAAAAATTAATTTATTATAATTATTAAAATTATCATGAGATTGTGGCTTAACTGCCTACCTCTAGACAAATTACTTTATATCTCTAGACAAATTTACTTTATATCTTTATATTTAATTTTGCCAGATCATAGTCCAATAATTTGGCAGATTGTCTGGTTTTAATCAAAAATTGGGTTTCTTGAGTTGTTATTTATATTAATAGTTATATCCAGTATTTCTGTAAAATATATATATATTAAATAAGAAAAAAAATAGCATATATTTGTAATTCAGTTATATTAATAGAAAATTTACTGCTATGGTTATTATTATTGTAATAAAAAATATTTTTTTATAATATCAATGTCATTTTCCTTTAGGAATTTGTTAAGTTTAAAAAATCTTTGATTAGGAAAGTCAAGTAGATTTTGAATTTAACTAAATTGTATATAGTGTATTTTATTCTCATAAATAATTTTTTAAAATAACTTTTTAAGATATTGCTTAATTTTCAGGGCTTTCGATGTAGAACTTTTACACTTAGCACGAGAAATGAAGATTCCAATCAGTGAAGTAGCTGTCAATTGGACAGAGATAGAAGGTATCTATTATTAAGTACATAAACAAGAAAAAATATTATAAAAATTGTTTTTAAACAGAAATATATCATATTTTTAACTATATTGTGCAAATTTAAGAAAAATTTTATCAGACTCAGTATTTAATATTAAAACAAATGTAAAGTTTTATGATATTTTCACACTTTAAAAGAAATAATGTTGGTATTCACAAATTACGTTGATCAAAATATAAATCATAACATATATATTTTTTCAATAGACAAAATTCTTATAGATTAATAATATTGAATTGCAAGAAATTAGAAATCATGCTATTAAAGTATATAATTTGTATTATTTCTCTCTTATTACTGACATTGTCTATACAAAATAATTTGATAAAACTGGAGACAAACAAAAGAAGCAGTACATCTTTTATAACTCCAGCTATACAAGGTGTATTTAACTAGCAGATAAGCCCAGTGTTGCCTGAACAAAAAATAAGAACAGCAAATATTAAAATGAATTAAACAGCCCCATATCAGGAACATTATGTGAATTGGTGGTCAGGCACCTCGAACAACAAGTCTTACCTGACTTTAACGATGACATTATATTATACGCTAGATACGTGGATGACGTATTCATTGTTTGGAAGAGAAAACCGGACTTGGTGGCATTCACTGAAACTTTCAATAGTAACGCTTATGGCCTCTTGTTGAGGGCTGAACAGCAGAGCTCCACCAACGTGCATTTTCTTGATATTGATATTAGCTTGCAACAGGGTCGAATAACAACTAAAGTATACCGTAAGAGCTCGTATGCGCCTCTTTTTATACATGCTCAATCACATGATCTGGTTGGTTACAAGATCTCCGCTTTTAAGACCCTAGTAAGAAGAGCTTTCACCCATTGTTCAAGCGCGAAAGATAGAAAAATGGAATTGGAATCTATTTCGAATGTGGCTAGACTACATGGTTACCCTACGCGCCTAATTAAAACACTTATAGCACGCCACCAACAACCTAGGAGTACGGCACTTCGGAATAACCAGCCCTTCGTTCCTATTACTTACAACAAGATCCTTCATAGCACCTACAAACAAATCGCTCGGTATGCTGGTAAAAATATCGCTTACAGAAGATTCGCAGACCATTTTCTCCTGTTTACGAAATGATAAGGACTGTCTTGATAGGAACTGTGTTCCGGGAATATATTCTATCCCTATTTACGATCATAGGGTGAATCGTCCTGGCGAATATATTGGTGCTACTGCACGCTGCCTTAAAACAAGGGTCAAGGAACACAAGTACTCAATTCAAAAACGCCTTTCCAATACAGCTTTGGCCGCTTTCACGCTTGATGATGACGTCACGGTGGAATTTGATAATGCACGTTTAATACAACGGTGTGAACACCAGGCCAGCCTGAAATATCTAGAACAGCTGGAAATTTTTAAAGCGTTCAGAAAGGGAACAGCCATCAATTTCAAGGAAACAAACTCTTTGGCGACGGCGTGGAGGGCGTATTATGACGTATAATAGATGCGCGCCATATATGTCTACACTATAATATAAAGCATCGGATTTTTGAAGCAGGAAATCCATTTCCACGAATAGTTTTATTAAGGCCCTGCATCGGACATGCGCATAATTGCGATGTTCGATTTTTTGAAATCTTGGAATCGAACCTGAGGATGACCGGTGAAGACGGTAGAAAACGTTTGTTTTTAAATTGAATTTTGCTGGTATATTGGTAATTTTGTGGTTAGGTTCTTAATTCTCACACCAGTATGATGAATGATTGGTTGAGGACTGACTGTAATTTATCAATACATTACTTTATAAGCATTTTTTTTTTTTTTTTTGCTATCGTGATTTTGGTAAATTTTAAACTTTTGGAGATCACCTGGTATTTTTTGTTCTGTAGTCCAGAAGACCTGGAAAGGTCACAGAAATTTAAAATCCAGTTTTGCCAGACATTCTATATATAGAAATCTGTATTATTTTTCATTAGTTTGGAATTTATATTATTAATTTTCTTTATCCAAGAAAAACATTTTTTTTAATCATTTCTAGTTTTATGTGTCATAAACATGATTCATTTCCCATCATTAGTTTTGTCATAAAATTGTTTATATATAAAAGATTACCATGTTCTGAGAGCAAATCGTATTGAGAATATTTTTCATTACGATCGTACTAATTAACAGACCAAAAATTTTGTTGGGCAAATTTTATACTTTATTCTATTCTATTTCAAAACTTAAACATTAAAAAAAGTACATGTGGCTACAAATTTCTCATATTCATTATTATCTTAAGGGATCCGTCACTAAATGGCACGTATCAAGTACAGTGGTACCTCAGGATACGAACGCCCCAGCATACGAAATTTTCAGGATACGACACGAAATTCGAACATATTTTTGTTCCACGATACGAACAAAAACTCACCATACGACGTTACATTAGTTCGCAGCGTAACTTTTTATTCACTTCTGCTCATCGGTCTCAGTTTGCATGTTTGCTTCGTCGTGGAAGGATCTCGCTCGATAAAGGAAATCTCGAGGTATTATCAGAAAGTGACTGATTTTATTGAAAAGAAACATTCCAAAAAGGTTCACACTGGCCGTATTGCTGCTCGGTGTAATGACATTTGCCTAAGTCATTTTAAAAACAATTTAAAAAGTAGGAAAAGCCAAACGTCTATGGATAGATATTTTACCAAGCGACCTCTATCCAGTGAAAGTGCTGGTGGAAGTGAAGGAAAGAAAACAAAAAGCAGTGAATAAAAAAAATAATAATAATAATAAAAAAATTAGTGTTGTTTTATAAGTTATTTTTAAGTTATTGTTACGTTAAGTTTTTAGTATCATTTCCCCAGCGGCGGCCTTATCCATTGCGAGGCTCTGGGCGGCAGATCTTTGCGAGGCCCTTGTCCTTTGTGCAAAGTATGTGAATTGAAATAGTAGGCACTTATTAATATTAATATATACTGTACTATAAATTAAATTTATTTTATTGTTATAACTAATAGCCAAGGATAAAATAAAAAGTTTTAAATATCAACTTTTTTTTACTTGGTTGTTGTGCAAGGCCCCTCCAAGAGCGAGGCCCCGGGCGATTGCCCTGCTCGTCACCCCCTAAGGCCGCCACTGCATTTCCCTTCTCCCTGTCTTCCGCCACCTGTTTACACCTCCACCGTCTTCTATCCTCAGAGGTTAAGTGCAAATAAAACTACATTTTTTTAATCATTTATTATTCTATTATGGTTATTTATATATTTAGAACTACAAAATGCATTTTTTAGTGTTTTCCTTACTATACATATATTTTTTTAATGCACTGCTTAGCTTTAATTTGAGTATGTTTTGGTGTTGGAACGAATTATTTGGTTTTACATGTAATCGTATGGGGAAAAATTATTCACCTTACGACATTTTCATGATACGATCTCAGTTTCGGAATGAATTAATTTCATATCCTGAGGTACCACTGTATTTGTCAATGTTACCGATAAATTATTTTTAATCTTATTTAATGAATTAACCTCAAAAAAGCCATTGATTGATTTAATCAAGAAGAATAATTAGAATTATTTTTTTTTTATTAAAGTATGTTCAAAAATATGGAATTTTATTTATACAATATTATTTTTAAACATTTAAATAAAACCAATATACACATTTTTGTTTAATATATACATTTTTTTTTATATAACTATCCCATACAAAATATAACTCTATGATTTGTATGACTCTATATATTACAGATCAAACAACTGATATTGAATAAGTTTAAGTTAGACATTTAATTTCATTTATTATTATTTTTCTTTAATTTTTTTAAAAATAAAAAGAATAATAGTTGAAGGAAATGATTGTCTGCTATGAGAAATTTTAACTTTTTGATTTCTTATTTACAATAAAAATAATATTTACATAGTTACCACTTATTTTTCATTGTATAGTCATCAACACAAAAGTCAAAGGAATTTTACACTATATATATATATATATAAAGTTGCATATATAAACAATTTGACTTATTAAAACACTGTATAACAGTATTGCCCAAACTGTAATTAAATTTATGTAAGCGGGCCACAAAAATTATATATATTCTGTATTAAAAATAGGCTAATTTCAATCATTTAAAGGGCTGCATCAAATAGATTAACTTGTTTCACGGGCCAGATTTGGCTAGGAATCATAGTTTGGACAACTCCGCCATACAAGATAGCACATTAATCATTGTATACTCTAAGAATAGGCATTATTAGTAGAATAATATAATTATGGACGATTTCCTTCTATTAGAGTTTATCATCTTTTGATCGGTACGGAATTTTTGCTCTAAGTGGATATTTACTCCCTTCAAATATCTATGATATAATTGCACAAAAACAGTAAATAGATCAAGTTTTTTGTCTGAGCAATAATTGTTATTCATCAATATTTATACCCAGCCTTTAAAGGTCTTAAATGTCACAAATCTTTCAATTAGCAAAATACTTCAGTCAACGTAATTGCTTTGTTAATGAAACATTGTTCGTGTCTTCATATCTATCTCTTTCTCTTTTGTTTTTATATAAAATTATAAATATTCTGGATAATTTTTTCATTTCAATGTTTGGTTAAATTTTACATTTAGACAAAGAATTTGTTAATGCCATTTAAACTTTAGAAAAACTGCATAATCTTGCAGTAATGGCTGTATAAATGATAGAAAATATCCAGTCATTGCAATTGTATATCTTTATTTTTTGAGCTGTTATAATTAAAAATAATAAAAATTGCTTCAAGAACAATATATTTATTTGTGCAATTTAATTTAATTTTTTATTTTATTTTACTTCGTTCAAGATTAATTTATAAGATTTAGATTTCATTCTGATTTATTATATATACAGATAACATAAAACTCTGATCAGAATGAAATGAAATCATTTATAAATAAATAGATTCTTTAAAGTTGTTTTTATCATCAATTTTCACTTGCAATTGATTTCGTTGCCCTTCAACTTTCTTTTTTATTGGTTTTGATTACTTGTTGATATTCTACAGTAGAATAAATACTGCTTGCAAAATTGAGTTTATTTACAAATCATCATCATATGGTAGTGCATAGCAAGAGACTATAACTGTGTAGACATTAATGTTCTGCCTTGCCAATTTGGAAATAAAACTCCCCTCTTGATGATCTTTAGCTCATTGCTTACATGCCAAATAAAGTAAATAAGTTATGATTATGCTTTCACATGTTTGTGACCAATTTTTCACTGTAAATAATAGATGGTTAAAGTGGAAAATGACACATGGTTTTACTTTCTTTAGCTTAAAATATCAGTATGGTCGATACAGGTTTCTGTAAAAGATTATTAACACACAAAATGGTTACAATGCATTCTAGCTGGATTGTATTAAATCTGGATTACTAAAATATGTACATTTGGACTCAAGTTGTGGACCAAATGCATTTGGGAAAACGGCTCGTTTGGAGTTTGGTTGCATAAGGTTATAATTAGCCAGATTGCATTGTTTGTTAAATAATGCATCTGTAAATACTGGGTGATCATGTGAAAAGATCACTTGCAAGGAGTAGATACGGCAACACCGAGTCAACTATATTTGTAATCATCACGCTGAATGTCACGAGAATGATTTATTTATTATGGAATTGAGGCATAATATTTGAAATTGATCATTGGCATCGTGAAGTTTGTTCCTTGTAAATAAACTTTTCATTTTATCACTATATCTGCTAAATTAACCCCATGACAATTGTAATTGATTTGATATTAACTGAGAAGTTGATATCACACCAGTTACATAGAATGACATTTTGTAACCGATATGAGATGCAATTAATTAAAAATTAACATAACAAAAAATCACTCTTGGTTTTATTTAATTAACAAAGTGATTCCATATTATGAACAAACTAACATAACAAAAATAAATAGTAAAAATAGCACTTGAAAATTTCGTAAGGTATTTACATAACCATTTTATAATTTGTTTTCATGACGACGTTAACAAATTTCATATTATTAGCCGACACGCTAATAATTTGATTTGACTTTTTAACATTTCTATCAAAAAATTTTACAAAAAGTATTTATTTATTTACATTTTTATAAATTACTTGATATTGTGTAATTTTTTCATACATTACATTTTTAAAAAATTTATAATTTAACTTTTTTTTTTCAGGTTCAAAATTGGTTCCCGTTTTAAGCTGGTTACAAATGGGAATTGATTTAATATTAATATGGCTAAAGTACAGAATAGGTGCTTGGAAAGTCAAGAATTTATCGAAACACTGACATATTCTTTTTTATATTCTTATGTGACGGCATGCCACACATTGCCAACGTTGCATTATCCTACAGGCTTGTAAATTTATATTTTGTTTTTATTCTCTGTGATAAAAACTATTTTTTAGGGAAGTGAGTCGGCAATTACATTGTATTTCTATTACAGGTGATTGAATCTGTATTCGGTTGAAATATTTGTAACCATTTTTGCGGGCATTAAATTCGGCTGTTTATAAAACTGACATTTTATGCATTCGACGTGACACGGTAAAAATGTTTTTTGATTAAAAAATATCCATATTGTTTCTTATACAAAAAACAAAGTTGTGCCTTAATATGCATTCCAATTTTGCTGTATTATAAAAGTACTTCTGAACCGACATAATACTTTTTGTTAGATAATTATGCAAATTCCTGCATTTTCTGCTTTTTTTCCTGTCAAATAATTTTGTTTTTTGTTAATTTTATTTGATACATTTACATGTAAATCAGGATTTAAGAATTTGTTGAAAATGCCATTTATATTAAAGGTAATTTTTAATTATCTTAAAAGATTTCTTTATAGTCTCTCTTTAAAATTAATCGTCATATCCAAAATAACAGTACAACATATCGATGCCATTAAATATAACTACGGTATCGAAATTGTATCAAATATTCACGTATATATTCATAATCAACAAACAAATAATTTATGCATAATGTTTGATCCCTCAAAGTCATAAAAAAATAATGCACGTATGATAAAATTACACTTCAGTGTGTTCCGACGCTATTATTTCCCAGCGTTTCCACCTCTCCTGCTGATAATGAACCGCCGAAGAATGATTGTGATTCGTATTTCTTTGATTACCTGATTGTGGATTAGTATCGTAGTTTGGATTCACGATAAGCGATACCATTTTGGACAAAGTGTTTGCTCCAGTTTGTTTAGAATTAACTTTAGACGAATGTTTGGTTATTTTGTGTGATTTTTCTCGTTTCTCGTGTATTTTGTTACTAGCAATTGACGAAGTGGATGCACTTTTCTCAATGGAGAATTTATCTTCAGGTTTTTTCAGATACCTTCTTCCTCTCTGAGACTGTTCTTCAGTTTGAATGTTACCGGGAGACAAAGTTAAATATTCTTCTTTGCTCGTTTTAGTAATTTTGTAATAATCTAAAGTTTCCTGTTTTGAATCGTCCACTGAAATACATTCATTACTCCTGCTAAGACAATTATCTTGGTCAACAAAGAATGTAAATGTCGGTGGTTTGACTTGAGAATTAACGTCTAGTAATGAAGACCTATCAATGATCTGATCAGGAAAACTTTTCCTTCTCAACGATGGAGAATCGTCTCTCAATCCCGGTGGAACTAGAGTATTATTACTATCATCTTCAAGTAACTGAGTGCTACTTTTGGTATTTTTATTATCGCTGCTGATAGTAATAATGGGTAAAACAACTGTTTTCTTATCTCTTTGCCTCGATCTTTCTATTTTTACTTCTTGAACAAATGTTTGTCTTCCATCTGAATATGAATTTTGATTTCCTCTTCCAGATCTTTATCAAAAATAATATATATTAATTTTACTATAAACTAAATTAGCTATAAATTAAATAACAACAAAATTCATACTTAAAAATTAAAGAAATATGCAAAAAAAGATATAAATTACATTTATTGAATACATCTTAAAACTAAAAATTTTGAGAAAACTGATTGGTATAAAAGGTTAATTATTTAATTTGAATGGTTCTCAAACTTGCATACAATCCCAAAATGGATATGAAAGGGTCACAAAAAAGATACAGTAAGTTATTTTAAAATTTCTGCTCTTTCCAATTTCTTGATTCATGAATGCTGATAAAAACATAAAAATTATTATAGAAATATTTAGTTTGATTTTGTTAATGAAAAGCAAAGCATGCTAAGACTGTGGGCATGTTTTAAACTTTGGTGATTTGGCCAAAATTTTCTCCTTTACTGGATGGATTTGATTTGTAGTGAAATGGCTAGTATAGCTGAGGCATAAAGTGCTATCTGAATATAAACTGCCCATAATTATGCCCATCTAGACTAATGCTACTTAAAGTGGTAGTTTGCAGACTGGTGCTACTCCTTGAGGAATTTTGACGAAAGAAAATGTGGTGGTAAATAACACGTTCTTTTATAAAAATGTGACATTACTGTTATAATTATTATCATATAACAGTATCTTTCTATTTACAGCTATGTGGTCATCCAAACATTTAAATGGATAACACAAACAATCAGCTGGAATATATGAGCTATAATATGACTACCATTTAACCTGTTCATCACTTGCAAAACGTTTGCCTCCAAGCTACTTTTTTAGTGGCCAGAACAGGTAGAAGTTGCTTGGGGCTAAGTTGGAGTCACAAAGTATTGAATGTTTAAAAAGTATCCAGCCTAGTTTAGTTTTTTCTGGGCCAATCGAGCCAAATAAGGTTTGATATTATTGTGATGAAACAATAATCCTCCAGTTGGTTAGGTCAGGTTGGTTAGGCCATTGCATATTTTGCAATCATAGTCTGAAGCTTTGCTGAATTCTATTATTGAGTCATTTACATTTTGACCTTGCTTCTAGAAATGGGCAGTACTCCTTGAGGTTTCCAAAACACTGTAAGCATAACTTTCTTTGCTTAATTTCTTTATTGAAGGTGAAAAAGGATGTTTCCATTGCATTGAGGCATGCCTTTATTTGAGTTGATAGTGGTGGGTCCATGATTCATTTCCAGTAATAATCCTGTTAAGTGTGTCTTATCATTCATCTTTGTACTAGATAAGAATACACCAAATAGACTTTGCAACATCTTTAAGTTTTCTGGCCCCACTATGCATTTTCCAGAAATTGAAATGATCATACATTATGATATAGGTTAAACCTTGAGACCCACCAGTGGCCAAGTGGATAAAACCACTGAAGACTGGTTGTTCGTGAGTTTGTGCCTCATCAATGGGCTGGCCACATGAAGTTTTCCAGGTTTTCTTCACATTTGTAACACCTAAATAGGGGTCAGTTTCCCTTAGAAAGTCATCTTAGAAGGTATCCCACCTTTAACAGATCACCCACATGTCATGTTGCTGTATACAAATAAACTAAACCTAACCTTGAAAATACTCTCTAGTGCAGTTGCTACACTGTTTACAATTACTTGCCTACCAGCTCAAATCATTTCCATTCACTGCACAGTTGTTTCTGTTACAGTTTCAACAGAGTGACCAGGTCAGTCTTCATCAGCAATTTTTGAATATCCTCAAAATAATTTACAAGTTGTATACTGCTTTATGCAAAAAATACTTCTCACTGTAAATAGGAAGCATTTCCTAGTGCAGAGGTGACGAACCTATGGCACGCATGCCCAAAGTGGCACGTCAAAGAAATCATCTGGCACGTAACAAATTATATGATTTCGATTTACCATCTTTTTCAATCAGGTTCTTTACATTTACTCTAATTACAGCATATTATTTTATTTATTTAAATATAGTTTTTAAAATTCTTTTTGCCTTGTGGGTACTAAGAGGGCTTTTTTATTTAACAAGTCCACAATAGGACAACCGGGTGGTGAAGAATGGATACCCACCTGAAAATTTTCTGGGGTTTTGACCTTGGGTCTACAAGAGCGATAGCTACCACTTTGACCACTCGGTCATTCGGCCAAATTTAAATATAGTTACTCGAAGTCTAAAACTTCTGCATGCATAAACATTTTTAAAGAAAAGTATGCTTAATATGCTTACTGTGTGGCACGCAGACTTAAAAAGGTTCACCATCCCTGTCCTAGTGAATATCCTTACCAGGAAATCCTTTTTCCCACAAAAATGCACAACAGCACACTGCTCTTCAACTGTACTCTCAAGCATTGTTACCTTTTGAAACTGAGCTGGACATGTACAAGTCCAGAATCAACGTCTAGAGTCTACTACCTGAATTAATCATCAAAGTGGATTGTGCTGCCATCTAATAACACTTTAGAAATTATGAACTGACATTTTTAGCTATTATATATTAGTCTGTGATCAATTTACTGACTTTCCTTTGTAAAAGTATCATTACAAAATTCTTTATACAAGATGTGGCTGATTAACCTGATGGTTTTTAAATTAAAATAATATACATTATGCAATTATGCTAAACTAAATTTATCATCATCCTGCACTTAATCTCAAAGCATTTAACCAAGGATTTATAAATAATAACTTTTTGAATATTGCATCCATAAGAAGGTGTCTATTGTTGTCTGCACATTCTTGCAATCATTCCCTAAAACTTCACATGACTTTTTAGAACATTTAAGAGGAAATTGTTGCCACTTCATCCCTGATGCTCTGTTTCAACTCTGCCACAGTCTCACAGCTGTATTTAAAAGTTGTCAGGTTAATATGCTGCTTCCCATATAATAATGTTAGTGTTGTCACAAAGTATTTTGTTAAATTTTATAGATTCAGTACATTATCTAACAAAATGATTAGTAGATATTCTAGCAACATAACTGAAATTACAAAATACATATGTATTTTATGAAAATCCTATGGAAATAATATGTTGTTTAAAATTTATATAAGAGATACAATATTTTTCTATCATCATCAAAGGTACTATTATGAATAGTTTGAGAACCACTAGCTTAACAAAGGTTAATTCAATAGTATACTGAAATATAAGGAATGGTTAAATAAGAACTAAAATAAAAAAAGTAGAAACTATTAACAAAAATTATGAAGACGTTATTTTAAATATCTCTAAATTGGTTTTTTCTGCACATTTAAAAAATTTCATATTCCTATTAGAATTATTTTGTTGAAAATGAATGTTCTATGAACATTCAAACACTTGTCTCAGTGTTCTACTAGTTGCATAAAACTGTTGATTATGGTGTCACTGCAATCTTTGTTGATCATGGATTTGTACAGAATTACTATAAAATTATTATTAGGGCCTGGTTATTGGGCTGCAATTTTCAAAAATTGTAGACCTGTAAATTCCCACTGGCATCCATCTGTTTGTCTCTGTCTGCCTATCCTTTCTTAATCTTGAGAATGGAGTTAGATTGATGAAAGTCCAGATGGAATATAGTCCAGATATAGAAAGCTTACGGGCAAGAAGCCCTGATTAACTATCACACAGAAATCACATTATTTCAATTAAAAAATTTTCTCCCAAATGGAGTTAGATGACCGGCACGACTCAATCGTTAATAGGAAAAGTACAATGTACAGGGCAAGACACTATTAAAATTGGGAGCTTTGTGATGAAAAATTGCAGCTAAACATTGTGGCAATGTCAATAAATAATTGCTCATTTGATATAGTTTCCACTTTTTACTTGTGATAAAAATATCACTTGCATATAACTATAAGGAAGTTATTGTAAAATTTTACTACATTCTTTCCATAAACAGTTATTTTGAAGTCCGACACAAGAAAAAACATTTCACAATAACAAATGACATATGTACAATTTTTAAGCTTGCCATATTTAAAAAAACTTTAAAATTTAGTTAATGTATTGCATCACATTCTTCAAAATTGTTTTCTCATATTTTAATTGTTTAAAATTAATAAAATGTCCATAAAGTTTAAAAAATTTTAAGTGCATTTTTAGATATAAATTTAATGTGTCAAAAACTTTCATTCAGATTTATCACAAGTCATTTATGTAAAATTATTTGTTTTAAAAAAAAATCAGTTGAGTACATAAATTAAAGTAAATTATTAATGTCAAAATTTACAAAATTTTCATCATTTGCTGAATTACATTGTTTGGCATGACGGAATATTATTATTTTGTAGCAAAGGAAAAATCTTATCTGATAAAGAATTTGCTTTTTCATTTATCTCTGCCAACAAAGTCTAATATTGCATAAATTGTACAAATTTTGTACAACTTTGCAGTAAAGTTTTATACCAATAGTTAGAATTGTTTTTATCATCATAAAAATTAGAATACTATAATTGATCAGTGTTATACTGTATTGAGTTTCTTTTGTAAATAATAATTCTATTTTTACAATAATGAAAGTTTTCTCATGATAAAGTTTATAAATAGACTTAAATAAACTTACTCTAATTTATGGATGTAGAGTTTATTTAATATATTCTGTAGAGCATCCGGATCCTCTAGAAGAAGACGACGATAAGTACTGTCCAAATCGTCTGCCTTCACCTATTGAAAGTTCAAATAATTTTAAAACATCTTAGATAAAAGTCATAGAAATTATTTGCATCATCAATATGTATGTAAAAATATTGAAATACGTAGTTTATCTTAACTTAAAATATTTTCATACCATTCGTAGCATATGTATGTATTCATACGTACATAAGTTAATGTAGAAATTTTTACCGTAAATAGTCTCCTGTAGTTATCTATGAGTTTCTGAACCACATTGATCACGTCGCAGCATTCTTCGGGTTTGTATGCCCTCTCTACAACATATTCGTAATCTTTTCCTTTTTTCTGTGACGTGTGCAAGATGTTTGGACCAAATAAAGTGGCAAGATTTGACGAATCCATTCTGTTTCCCAGTTGCTGGAATATGGATACACATAATTAAAATAAGTTACCTTTATCAAAATTTCTTTAGAAAATTTACAATGTATTCTCCTAGTACAAAAACACGATCCCTGTACCAATAAAACTTTCATGTTTTAATAAATTTAATTATCCAAAATATAATTTAACTAATTTTGAGCTATAACGTCTGTGTGTTTATATGCTTTTGTATTTGTTTATCTATGTGTGCTTCTATATTTTTACTTGTTATCAATAAACTATAATCTATCTAACCCAATTCAAATCTTCATAATTCATCATGGATAGTATTGTTTAGGGCATTTTTCACATACCTCATCTATGTGGCCAGTTCCATTGTAGATTTGATCTTCCCACAATGGACATAATTGTGACTGCTAAGTAGCCTAAATTTGTTGGTGCTTCACATTAATAAATTAATCAATCAATCATTGAAACCAAAGATAAACTCTAGAAAGTTAGACAAATTCATTTGGTTTCACAAAGAAACAATTCCACACCTTTAAGAGTTATTTTATTTCTACAAAACAATTTCCTGTAATAATAATAGGATAATTCATGCCACATGACTTATTCAGGTGATTTTTAGGACTTTTGATATCAATTTTCATAAGATCATAGCTTTGCATATAATTGTTCTACTTTTGACTCACTTTGACTTGCAGGTTCTAAGACAGCATTTTTTTTTTTTTTCTCATATCGATCATGGGTTCCATGGGTTCAGCCAAATGCACAATGGAAATTAGCTAGATAGTGAGGGGCGGCCCCAAAATATATGGGACAGACTAAACCCAAGAAAAAATTCCTGGAGTTGTTCACCTGGATTTGATTCTGGGTTCCCAGAATGGTAGTCTGATGCTTTCACCACCTTGACTATCTAGCCATCACATAGAATATTTAATATTGGGAGCTTACCTAATATTTAATACTCTGCTCAGACGTGGGCTTAGAGTCAAGTCAGGCTTGAATTTTCAAGAAGATTGTATTTAATTCTTGTTTCAATTTAGTTTTTCATTCTAATTGATATTTTTATAATCCAAAATCAGAATTTTTTGATGATAAATATGTACACCAATCTTTTTGTTTTCTCAATAAAACACTGCTGAAGCAGTAAAGGCATCGGCTTACCACTCGGGAGGATCCAGATTCAATTCCGGCTCGGGCTGGTGAACCCAGGAATTATTCACAGATATATCAATCCCCATTCCTCACAATCCGGTCACCCCATTGCTAGCAAGGACAAATCCACGATGAATATGATTAAAAAGCTTGTGTTAGTGTGTTTTAGGGACATAGTCAAAAATGAAAAACTATATAGATTCGTTTTTCAGAATAGAATAGAACAAATCCTTAATAATTTATTATTTCGTGATATGTACTCATAGAAGTAACATCTGTTTCTGTCCAAATGCCTTTTATTTTATGTACATTACTTTGGCATTATCAACTTAATGAATCCATAAATAAAATTAATATATACAGGATACTCGTGAACATTTATCCAGGTGCAGGAATATGTGGTATGGTGCATTAGTTCCACTGCAATGCCAGATCTTTCTCATGCCTGTATATTGTGTACAAGGTAGCAAGATAGGAAATAAATAACCACTGAAATTTAAATTTTTAAATATGAAAGATAACTTCTGTAAAAAAAACCATTGTCCATAAGTCGTGTAACCTGGAAATGCAGGTAATTGTTACCATACCTTACTAAGGACGAATGGGTAGTTACAAAAACGTTATGGAATGCTAGGGTCTCAACCCTTGGGTTACAGAACGATTCATTTTTGTTTCCAAAGTGTTGCATGGTGAAATGTACCGTTTACGCCACTGATTTGTACATTACACATAATTAGTATTTGTAAATAATAAAATAATGTAACATTCGGTACCGTGCCAAGTATTATTCCTTAGTAAAATCAAGGGAGTCATCGAGAATACGAGTTACGTAACTTTAGGAGTGGGTACGTGTGGCCGTTACGTACCGTTACAGGTTGGGATGGCAGTTTAAAGTAAAGTTACGCAATTTATGGACGATCCCGGAATGGTAAATTCGAATTTTATTTAACAGTGACGAGGCAATAGATTTTATGTTTGTTAAAATGCGTTCTGTCAGTATGGATTATTAATTCAAAGGAAGATTAAAACAAATGTACTTACTCTGACGCCATTTGTGCTGCAAGTATCGACGGCATTCTGCGCTACAATTGATAAAAAGTGCAACAACGTCCATAGAGTATCTCTATTTTGAACTGGTAGCAAATATATTAAATAGCGGATTATATCCAATTGTTTGTTTTCGTCTTTCTGTCCTAGAAAAATACATAAAACAATTAGTGTTAATGGATTTCCAATATGGCGGCTCTCGTTTAGTAACGGGTACAAACGTAACATTTAGGATACTTTCCCGTTAACTTCTTGTTTGAAACAATTTTTTAAATTTATTTAAATGATAAGTAATGTAACAAACAAACAAAGTTTTTCAAAATGGCGGAATTTGCACTTTCTTACATGCGCATTGCTTTAGCAAGGAAAGATCGCCTGCTTTCCCGACGTCAAGACAGTTTGCGTGGTTTTTCGAATTTTAAAACTTCAATTTTTTTTAAAATAAAATTTTAGTTTTAGTATAATTTTATTTTTTAAAATTTTATATGATGATAATCCGACTAAAATCTAGGATATAATTCTATCCGATAGGCTTACTTTGGGCGGCCACAAAACACGAATAGAGATCCCTGGTCAAAAGTGGTTCGGGAAGATCGCGAAAATATTCTTTCAGTAATTGGGCAACGTCGTGAGGATGGTGATTTTCATTCAGGTTCACTATCGATCCACTTTCTAAATCTTCTCGCAACTGCAAATCGATAAAAGCTTATCGTGTAAAAATTACAAATTTCCTTCCGCGTTGCTGAACTATCGCGAAATCTTTGACATTTACGCGAACAAAAATGTCTGGATGCGCGGCACGCGTGACTTTATTCAAAATTCAAATTACCTGTCTAACTCTTCTCTTGGAACTGGTGACTCTGAATAATCCCAAAGTGTGCAGTCCTGAAATGCGTGAATTAACAAAGTTAATTTGATTTTATCGTAAGCTAAATTTATAGTCGCAAAATGACAGAAAAATTACAAATTGTAATAATACAGAAGCATCGTATGATGTCGTCGATGATGCGGAAGCTAATCTAGGCAAAGAATCCAGATCGAATTCGAACTCGGACCCTCAGTTCTATAGGAGTGTATCATACTATGTAATCTGGATATATAAATTGTAATGAAATTTAATAGTGGGGGCGGTACTGTAATTGTTAATAAGATGAGATGATAAATATTTTTGAAATATTGTTATAAATGATTTCACATTGAGCATTGCTTATAAATTTACTTATTGTAGTATTTCATTGTCATTACGATCCGTTATGAAGTTTCCCGATGGTTAAGAATAAAAACGAAACTCCGAATTTTATATTTAGTGTAATCTATGGTGATGTGCCGCTATATTAATGGCACTCTTATAGATAGTAAATATATGCAAAATATCTGGCAACATTGCCGTTACAACTATGAGAGACAATGTTGCCAGATCTTTATTATTTTAGTAAATCTTAAAACTTTTATTTTATTGCAAAGTTATGTTCGATGTTTCGGTATTTCGAAATAAAACAAAATGGCGGCCGCTTAACTTTCTCAATTTAAATTTTTTATTTTAAATGGAAACATTTGTGCAGATAATAAGAATATTAACTGGATAAATTTTTTAAATCTTTGATAATTTTAAACAAAGAGGACATATAAAAAGCCACCCAAGTGAGATAAGCACCTGTTGGCACTCAACCAAAAATGTCTCATTTTAAAAGGGATAGCCATGTTTCGGAGGAGAATTTGTCCATAATAACTAAAAAATCAATAATAATAATTTTAAATATGGCTTCTCGATCACTTATTTACGTATTAAATTTTTAAATTTAATCAAATTTTCTGCACGAAAATTAAATCTACCTTTTCGATTTTGGTTAACAGATAAATACTTGTTAACCCAACGATAACCAAAATTTACAAATTTCTGTGGTCCATTTTTATGCTATTAAATTAATTAATCAATAAAAGAATTTGGCATTAAATACAGGACTTTCTGTAGATAAAAAAAAGGTTTCTGATCATGGGCAGAAGATGCCGAGTACGTTTTTCTCTCTGTGAAGCGTAGATATTCACTTTTATACGGATTTTTTTGAGTTTTTAAATAATTTCGTGAGAAATTTAGTGTGATTTTATTGATAGGTAACATATATAACTCTCAATTCTTTATTTTTATTAGGTTATCGGCATGTTTTGATGCGGTGATTATAAGAAAACCCCACAATTTGCTGGATATTTAAACTTATTTTTATTTTAAAAAAGAACATTAATTATAAGAAAATTATTAATTAAAGTTATTTACCGTATTCTTCCAAATGTCGAACACACGAATTCACAACATTTGGTATCTGGGGATCGGAAGATTCCATGTTACTCAGGTAGCCATCATTATCATCCGTTTGGGCTTCGATATTATCCTAGCGTGATATATATCTGTCTTTAATGTTGAATTTTCTTCTTAATTGAGGTTTTTAATTACAGTTTACCTTACCGGACACAAGCTGTTTCTCTTGGAAGTGGCACCTAAACGAGCGTCATCGAGAAAATTTGGGTAATTCGTGACGTCATCGACTGCGAGTAAAGGTTGCACCGAACCTCTATGACGTGACAGCCGTTCTTTCTGTATGCATTGCTGTAAAGGTATTCCAAATAATGAATTTTCTGAAGGAATGTCTAAGAAAAGAAAATGGCTTAACATCAATTAAGTGAGTATAAAATAAATAAATAATTAATTAATTAAAATAAAATTTATACCTTTGCCATCCAAAGTAGCTGTTTTGGCCTTGGTTCTTAGTAAAGCTGTTCGTCGCTTCATTTTTAAAGCTGAGCTATCAGCTAAAATTAAAAGATTGTATATTTTATACTAACGATTTAATTAGGTTTATTTTTAAAAAAAATTGAATAATTAATTAGAACGTGATAGACAGATTGTAATCTTTATGCCCTTATATCTCAAGAACTAATAATGACAGGAAAAAGCCGCTAGTGGAATTCTGTTTCTGTTTAAGAGAAAATTATGGAAATGTAATTTCATGGTCCTTCGCTATATTTTGCCAAAATTACAGCCTCTTAAAAATGCATGCGAAGCGGCGCGACGTCGCTCGCATCTTCGATTGTTTTAGGATAGGAAATGGAGGAAAATAAATTATATTCATATAAAACCAAAGAAAATGATCGAATAAATAATAATTTTTAACTTTTTATACGCAAAATTTAAAAATTTTCAATACGAAATCGCCGACGTGACGGCGATATTTAAAGAATTTGTAGATAAAATCTCGTTTGGATACATTGCACCAAGACAACTTTTGTCTTATTTACTATTTTCAAAAGGTATTTTAGCTATTTAAATGGTACGCGCCAAGACGCGACGCAACATCGCGTCACTTCGCCATCGAATTAAGGAAGACAAATAATATAAAAATGATGATAAACTTGCCTTTAGGTATATCGACTTTACAGTTCAAATTCATGGCTCTCAATTTAGTTAGAGCCATTTGTTGTAAAGCTAACCTTTCTACTTCACTCAGTGTCAAAAGATTGCAAGCTGAGAGGGTCACTTTGTATCCATTTTCGGTCTTCCAACAACAGTTACCCTTTAAAAAATTTAATAAATATAAAGAAAAAAATTAACTTAAATATTATTAAATCAAGTGAGTCATTTATTCTATAATTAAATTTAATGTATATACATTTCTTATGATGTTGACAACAATTTTTGCCAGTTAGATTTGGCACAGTTTATTATGTCGTCACGGTTTATCCCCCGCTCAATTCCATTTTCTTACGCAAATTTCGAATTTTCGATAGCTGTTAAATGTTAAAAATAGCTAAAATTTCTTCTTTTTTATATTTATAACTCTAAATATTCAAGAAAATTTAATTTATAAATGTTTAACGACGTCAAAAATGCTCAATTTGCTATCAAAGCTCTATTAAAAAGTGGAGTCGATGACCTACTTTACAGCAAATTTTTAATAAATATTAATTAATAAAATTAATTTTAAAATGTTTAAATACTTCTTTATTCTATAAATTATAAATTTAAATAAATTTTAAAGTTTATAAATATTAATAAATGAGAAAAACTTCAGTCTAATTGTAGGTTCGACGATACATTTTTTAAATGCAATTTTCGAGGATTTAGGAACAAGTTTTAATATTTTAAATATAAATAAGCGTTTAAAATATTTTTAAAATTAATTTTATAAGCATATATTAAGCAGTTTGACATTTATAAAAGCATATTAAGGTATCAAAAAGTGTAAGAAATATGGAGTCGATGACCCATTACAGAAGTACAAAGAATGTTTATATAATTTCCCATATCACTCGTCTCGTATATATATAAAGAAAATCGTAAATCTACCATCCAAAAATAAATAAATTTTTATATATTTAAAGTTATATGTCTCACCTCAGGCATCCAAGCGCAAGTAGTAGTTGCAGGTACTCTTGTCTGCGACTTGGCTCTTGATTTCCACAATTTTTTCGGGACGATCGTCAGTCTGTTAGAGCTATTAGTTTGATTCTTATTCTTCTGCATGTCAGACACTGCAAAAGAAGAGTCACTAGTGAAGTTGTATCACTTTTCAATATTTCGTGCAGTCCAAAGAAATTTTAGTAAGCGTGACGCATCGTGATTTCCCCCCTCTCGGCGTATACGTAGGCGCGTTAAACCAGCTCGATATTCTAGAGACGTAAACGAAGCGGCGACTTTCGGAACACCATAATTAATCGATTAATCGATTAGTAGTTTAGAAAATACAATAAATCGTTTCGGCAACGTCACACTACTTAACGTACTTACCTTCACAAAAGACGGATACAGGAAACAAAAAGAGTTAAAGAGCCAAGTTCGGCCGAAACCTTGGATCTATTTAACTCTGCATTACACATAGATAAGTTTGCAAACTATTTTTAAGCGGGTCGATTCTTCTTTAACCACTCATCTATAATACAATGTTTTTGGATATTTAAAAAAACCAGCGCAAAATCTCGGGACGAGAGCGAGAGATTTATGATTTGATTTACGCCATGTTTAATCTCTGTTTAAAAAAAAATACGCTTTTAAATCTTTAATCGGATGTTATTAAAGAAATTTATATTTATTTTTTTATAAATTTAAACCGTAAAAATTTAAATATTTATTTTTTTTAATCAGCTCATCCATCAACATCAGTATTTTTAGTGAGCAAATCGGCTTTTATTTTTTTAAAATGCAATTTTAATACAAAATATCGATCGGTATTTTTTGTAAAAATAAATTTATACTCATACTCATTTCAATTGCGTTTTTTGCGGTGTTTTTTATTATTAAAAAGTATTGCAAGAGCCGGAGAAATGTATGGAAAAGCAACGATGAGTCAACGCTTAGTATTGGTTCATCGCTAATTTAGCTTTAATTTATTTTTTATTTTGTAAATTTAATAAATTGAAATAATTATTGTGGAAATTAATGTATATATATTTAAAGAAAAATATTTTAAAATATAATAAAAATGAAAGATTTATACTCAGAGTGAATGATTTTCGAGTGAAAATTAAACTGTATTATTATTTTTTTTCTTTTAGTTGGCAACATTTAAACAATTTTTTTTTCGTTTGGCAACATGTGGAATGTTTTCATTTTAATTCAAATATTCAAAATAAATAAATAAGGAAATGAAAAATTTTTAATCATAGAGATGAAAAATATGTGAATAAATATTAATAATAATAAAAGTTTTTAAATTGGCAACATTGAAAAACATAATTTCAAATTTGGCAACAAGAGACATTTTGATTTTAATTCAAATATTAAAAAGGAAAAATAATTTAATAAACGAAATGGTAGATTTATAATTGTAGAACAAGAAGAATTGTTGAATTAATATTAAAAAGTTTTTTTTTTTATTGGTAACGTTGAAATAATTTTAATTTCGTGTGGCAACACTTGAGATGTTTTCATTTAATTCAAATATTGGGTCTTCTGTCCCTAATGGGCGTCTCTGCCGCATATTATATGTTATGCGCCATATTTAATCAAGAAAATTGAATTATCAACTGTTACATCTCTAATTCGGTGGGTTTTTTAAAGGTAATAGTTTAGATATTGTTCATAAATGATAAAAAATAATTTGTTATGAACAAAATACAATATGATATTTAATTACAGGAAGTTTCTAGGAATGTCACATGAACTTGTAAATATGAATCTTCATTAAGTATTAATATAATTATGAATCTATGAATGAAAGTATGTAATTAACTCTGAACATAATTAACTAAACACGAAGGGACTGCCAGAAAATCATAAACGAAGCAATAATATTAATAGGAATATATGAAAATATCAATTAAGGAGGAATTAATTATGATATATATATGTAACAAATAAGTACCGGTAAGTATAGTATTATCAGTTAATTAAAATAACAAATCCAAATAATAGAATTTAATGCCATATTTGTATGTACAGTACATACATGCCTTTATTCTTAGGTAAATATTTGAATTAAACTATGTATATTTACCTAAATGATAATGGCATACAACACAATAGCAACTTATGATGACATATAGGCTTATGCCATGATAAGTTGCAATATTATAGATTTATAATATGGCTTTATATTCTATTAAATATTAACAATTCGTTTTATGTATGTAAGTCTATACAGTATACCATTATCAGTTAGATGAATATATGAATGATATAATTATAATTATTCATGTATTTACCTGGATGTTAATGGCATACAATACACAGCGTGGCAACTGACAGACTTACAAATAAGCCATTATATTTTATTAAATATTAAAAATTTATGTCAAATAAAGACATGTTTGTAGACGTTAATCAGGAAATATATAATTATTTAACTGATATAATAGCCAACTGCATACAATAATGATATGTGATAGTGGAATTGACTTGCAAATGTGGTATTATATTACTTTAAATATTAAAAATTAAAGTTACTAGAATGAAATGCTATATTTATTAGTCAAAATAAGTAGAAATATTGAAATAAACTTCACGTTTTCACTTTAAAACATCCTTTTGGAGATGTTACAAAATGAGTAATGAGGAGTAATTTAGAATATTTTAAACTTTGCTGTACAAAGTTAACATAGTTTACTGCTAATTTATATGATTTTAAACACAGTGTAAGCATAAATGTAGGCTAAATATTAAAGGAGATTCTACAATACGCTAATTATATTAGTAATAAAAACTTTTTAAAAATAAATTTAACTCGTAACACAATTCTCGGTTTAATAACCCGAACAAAATTCATTATATTGGCTTATATAATGGAAACCTTATCTTTAGAAGTTCTCGATATCGGCGTGAGACGAAAATATATCGAATTTCCTCCACATTAATTTTGTCTGGCTACTTTTCAATTCCAAAAAAGAAAAATCAAAATTTTATTAAAACAAGAAAAAAAGGTCGATTTATTTAAAGAAATCGTTTAGAATGATAATATCCAATTTATTACAGAAAAAAATGGAAGCGAAGTTACCATAATAGCAAGAAAAATCGAAATGTCAGAGGTACAGCTTACTAACAAGGTATGTCATTTGTATCCTTTCCTTCCGGATGAATGAGAATTTCTACTCTAACGATCATATGACGATTAATGAACACCTAGCCATAACAATCTTAAGGTTTTTTTTCTTTTATATTCTAAGAATATTATCCGTTACACCATTGATAACTAGGTGACAACGTAACGAGTAACGAATTTTGTGTCAGATTTTGTTTTTTCGCCTCATTGATAACAGATTCGGGGTTCAGATTTATATATAAACTACAGCTTAGGGCCTGAGGCGTTAAAAGTTTGTTATTTTGAGGACCTCATATGGCGGTAATTTAGGTCGACAAGTCCAGTAATACTTATAATTACTATTAAAAAATATGGATTTTAATAGTAAAATAACTTGATATTGATGCTGGTAGGCTTATAATGCTAAGTAGTCTTAAATTTTATATAAATTGTGGCAATTTATGTTAATTTTGTAAGGAGTGGGTTGCGTTTTTAATGAGTAGAAGTGTTTTTCTTAAGAGAATACCGCTACAGAAACAAGTTTTTATAGTTTAAAAAATATATTTTAATGGTTAGATCTGTTTCTTCTGGCAAAAGTTGCTTGGAAACACAAGGAACGAATTTGTCTAGATCTGTCATTAAATAAACAGAAGGTATCTATATTTAGCTCCGAAATAGTTCTTGAACCTCTTTAGCTATATTTCATTGTTCTAGACTTTGCCTTGAAAAACTTCGAAATGTTTATCTTGTTCGAATTCGGAACAATATTTAATGTTTCTGCCACTCGAGTGCACTCCACATTTGTTTTGGAGAGGAGGAAAGTTATTAAAATCTCGTTTATAAGAACGTTATAAGAGGAAATATCGATCGAAATACTCATTAATAAAGAGAAATCTCGAAAAAAATTCACATTATATCAATATTAGATGATGTGGAACACGATTATTAAATGGTGGAGTCGTTGCTGTATATATAAAACATGATTTTTCTCGAAGTACAGATGCACTAGAGCAGTTTGCCAATATCTATTTTAAGAGAGGACATATCGAGCATAGTTAATCATTGATGACTTTCTCATCTCCGTTATCCTTTGCTCTGTATCAAGAATTTGTAAACTTGACCACCGTCTGTGTCTAAACTTAAGTATTTTTATAGCTTTCTAGTTGTTTTAAATGTCAAAAAACTCATAATTTACTTCGAAAGAAACGACATTTTATTCTACACTGAATAATTCACGCACATTTTTATAGATTTTTCCACAAACATCTGCTCTCAATTTCCTCTTCCTATTACACCAAGTTAAGAGATGATGTGTTATTCTCTTGTTTAGTCCTCCTTTAAAACTGTTCAAAAGTTAGTAAATTATAAAATAAAATTATGTACGTATTTTTTTAAGAATAATCGAAGTTGAAGGAGCGGATAAAAGTACTAATTAGAAAGTTTCGATGCTCATCTATTAAACCCCGTTTGAAGGTCAATGCGAATGACGCTAAATGTCAAGGTTTATTTCTAGCTAAGTGACATCACAGCGAAAGTTGGACAACAGCTAAAGAATTCTATGTCAAAGGAATGTGTTCAATTATCGACTCGTTCACCCCCCTTATTAAACAATTAACGAAAGGAGCCGAGTCCAACCTCGAAAATAATTAAAACCATTATCAAAAAATAGCATTCATATCGTTTATATCAATAACAACCGAGTTAATTATATTCCTACTTCATATACCTCAATTCACGTACGTTCATGCTTGAGTACCTATGTACTGGTTTATAAACACTCAAATGGAGAATGTACACGGCCAGTTAAGTAAAATTATATAACTGCTTTATACAGTTTTATCGATAATTTATTTGTAGGCTATCCTTAAAAAAGAAAAAATTCTAAAAATATAAAATTTTTGGAACAAATCTGCGGAAGTAATTATTAAAATTAATCGCGCAACCGTTCTATTGTCAAGTTCTTACTTGTTTTTGTTTCGGACGTTACGCGAAATTAACATAATTTATGCGGAATTTGTAGAAAATTTACATAATTTATGCGTTATTATATTAAATCAATATAATTTTTCGCTAAATTTTCTGTTTTTATACCTTAATATCTTAGTTTCAATAAATTATATGTAAGTATACACGTAATTACATACATAAGAGGAAATATAGGTTTTAAAGGGTATAAAAATGAAATTATTATTATTATTTTTTAAGTTTAGTTCGGATGTCCTAATTCGTATAGGTACACTTAATCTTACTAATGTCCCTCATACGAGAACTGACTATAGAATTAGTCTACATATTACTGCTTACGCTATTCCCTAGATAAAGAAAATGTAACTGTAATTTACTAGATAACACATTAAGAATATTGCACTGTATAAACCTACATTAAACCGTATATTTTTATGTATATATTATATAAAAATATAAGTTATTTTACGACGTGGTAACGAATTGCTTACCATCTTGTTCGTTATCCAAGCCAAATACTCCCATACTTCTGATCGATCTACATCAGTGACTGCACCACTCTCATCCACCAAACTAAAGTCCCGTCCACGTGGGGGGGTGTTTGCAATCGGTAGCGATGCTGATTGGTCAGAAAATGGCAATTTTCCTCGCACGACAGAGAGATTCTGGTGTTTTAGTGTCAAAGGCTTTTTATCGAGCTATTAAGTTAGTGAGTGAGAGCGTGTGTAGATACACAACAGACAATTTGCCAGTGGTTAAAGGGATCTAAAAATAAATCTTCTACTTCTCTTAAACTTTGAATTTATTATTAGAACACGGACGAAACTTAACTTTTAACGTTTATCTAGTGTTTATTCGGGAATATAAACTTTACATTTTAATTTATATGCGCTGTAAGTGATTAGAAGAGCGGTTTAATCGATGCTAATTTTATGTTAATTTTGTAGATGCCAACTGATTTATTTGTTTTTTATTTTTTTGGTCGTTTAATCGGCCTGCAGATCCCATTTATAATCGTACATGTATACACTCTCCCAAGTTGGATACTCGAACGGGTATCGCGGTTGATGTATACGAACAGCTGCAAAAAATAAATAAAATAAAAATTGATAATATTAATGCATAATTTAATAAGATGGCTGATATTTTTATCAAATTAATTAAGTTTTGAGTGTTTGTATTGGCGTTTTTGTACCTTTATCTTCATTCTTTCTTGGAATTTTTTCCAATTCTCCTCTGCACCATATGGGTGCTCTGAAAGAACTTTGGCAAATTTCTGGCGATGGCAAGGATTTAAACGCATCTTTCTCTATCGGAGGAAGTGTTAAATGATCTAAAATACCCAAAAATTCATTTAAAATTAATTAAATTAAGATGTTTATTAATATTATCCACCATAAATGCAATCGTACGTCGCACTCTTCTCGAGTGTTCTTCGTAACGCGCGGGGATGTAGTCGTCATCTTTTCCTAAATTATCCAAGGATTTCGATATCAAATGCCCTCCTGTATGCTGTTACGAGAGACAAATTATAAAAATAATCTATATTTAAAGAGCTCGTTTAATTTTAGAAGTAATTATTGTATGTTAATGACACGTAATTTTCGAAGCGTCTGTCCGTCACGCTCTATATCTCGGGAACAATTTAATATGGAAAATATAGTCGATAACATTGTTTTTTTCTATATGCGGAGATATCTTCAGGCGATTGTTTAGCGTTGTTACGCTATTTTGGTTTAAAAGTGAGATCGAAGCGCCGCGACGTCGCTGCGCGCGGCTCTTCTTTGTCGCCACGTCGCTTCGCGTATGAAATTAACTAAAACGATTATCGTCAATTTATAAAAAATACAATGTTAAATATGTTATGTTATAAATATGATTATATATATAAGATTAGTAGACCCTCATTTATTATAAGTATTCATAAGCGACGACAAGTCAGCGCGCGCGATAACGTAAATGCGTTATTAAAAAAATTATAAATAAATTTTAAAAAATAATTTCGCTTTTATGTGTTGTTAAAACTATTTCCGGATGTTTATTTTAGTTTTCAAGAAGATAATTATTTTTTTAAAGGATCTGCGCCACTTCGCGACGTCGCGAAGCGCCGCGGCGCGCATACCTTACTTTTTTTTGCATGCATGGCAGTTGCGCCGTCATGCATACATTTTATACAAGGTCTTTACCGCTACTTACGTTTAGCTCTTTATTACGAGTCTATTGTAAATAATTAACAACTCGTGTAACATTTTCCCGCTTGAAAAAGCACAAAAATAGGCTATACTAACTCTATATTAATCGTACGAATGGAGGAGTTAGCTCATCCAATTTGCGATATAAGCGTATGCAAACGTAATTTGCGATTTAACAGTGCTAACCCCGCTATAACGCGGGTCTTTTTGTTGGAATATTCTTCGGAATTGAATTTATTCATTTCGAAAAAAGTTCGACGGAAGTTTTTGATAATAAGTAGCACAGTTGGGGATAATAAATCATGAATGATTAAATTACACGACGTTAAAATAACGAGTTTAATTATAAAATTGAATAGTTGAGAACTAAATTGATGTAACCTACTTAGGAAAATGTCTACAGTTTGAAAAATGTCGATAAAAGCGAAGAGATAATTGGATACACGGCCATCCAGAGGGGGAACAGGACACTTAACGGGGGCACGTGGAAAGGTTTAATGGTGGAGATTAGCAACTAAATACAAGAATAAGGGCCTACCTCTCTTCGACATGTTAGCAAACAAATGTAGCAGAAAGGTCTATTTCGCCTCGAAAGATGTGTCTAAAAATGTTACGTTTCAACGTCTAAAGTTTGAGAGGGGGACGGGGATCAAAATTTGTCAGAGGGATCCTTAATTCTTACGCGCGACTCAGTTGTACACAAGATAGAAATTTCTCTCAAACCTTTCTATCTCGAGGATGCTCGTGAACTTCTTCGATAGTAAAAAGATGGGGCCAACGTGGAAGAATACCCCACGGTTGATACTGTCGCGTGAACTCGGTTTGTCCGACTTTTGGGTAATAACGCCACGGACACTTGGACCAAACTAATCTTCTTTCGTACTCGTTACGTGGCCTGCAACCAAAAAGTAAAATTCTTTTAAGTAGAATGGCGATAAAATTTACCTTCTAAATCCTATTTTTTAAAGTTCAGACGCTCGATTAGACTTTAATAAATAAATCTTCTCTTACGTTTCACGTTCACACTCTTGCCAATAATAGTCCTGTTGGTAGGATGTTAAATAGGGAGAAGCCATAATATGTTTTTAAAGGCTCTACGCTGATTTAAACGGCTTCTAGAACGGACTGCGGTCGAAATAATTTAAAATTTAAAAAGCAGAAAGCGCGCGATGATATTTTAAAATATTTTCCCGCGGTGTAATGAATATATTTTAATTATTTTAAATTATTTTATACCATTTTAAGGCTTGTAAAATTTTTAAAAAATGGCGTCAAAGTGACGCACGACGGTTCTCGAAATTGTCCAACGTTACGGTACGAAACTCGATTGAGCCATCTGTTACGTTGTTTTTCTCCGAATTACATAATAATAGAGAATTTCTAAAGCAGAATTAAATAAATCCGATCATTTTATTAAGTAGAATTGAATAAATTGTTCGATAATTGCTAAATTATACGTCGAGAAATTAGCCTAACGAAGTTAAATTAGCCATTTAAAAACTAAAAACCCTTAAAAATATATTTAAAAAATAAATAAATTTAATGAATAATTTTACTTTTAATACTTCGATAAATATAAAAATAAAAATAATAATAAAAAATAAAATGGCGGAATTTCTCCACCAGATGACCAACGTTAATTGGAACGTGACTTCGGTTACCTAGCAACAAACTAAAAACAAGGTTACGATAACAAAACGAAGGGAGGAAGGAGAATTCATTCAGTCGATGGTCAATTTAAATCCTTCGTTGGTGCAGGATGCCTCGAAAACTCGTCACCCTCGAGGTTGCAGACTTCGACGATTTAGAACGTCTCAAGTTAGAAATATACGACGAAAAAAGGAAAAAGTGAGTACAATTAGCACCAGTTACTTTTGGTAAAATGACCAATAAGTTTTGTATGGGTCAATTAGCTAAAAGTAACTTACACTGAGTAAAGTATACTTTCTTATATACATTTATAAATCATATAAACTAGGAAAGTATTAGAAGAATCTATAGCAGAACTGCAACAAGCTGTCTCAGTTTTAGAGGAACAAACTGAAAATATGGATATTAGCGAAGGTAATACTATTATTATTTATAAGCTGATTTATGCTTATTATAAACTATATAAACTAATTAAAGTGTTTGTGTAGATGATGAATGGAAGATTCGCTATTATACTCAAGTAGAAGTTAATCAACAGTTAGAAGGTCAAAGAGATTGGCTTCAGGATAGGGTTTACAGTGCAAGAAATCAGACTCAAGATGGTGAGTGTTACATCTAAAAACTTTAATAATTATCAAAATCACGTAGAACAGGATGTATATATCAATTATATAGAAGTTACATGACATTAGAGAAGATTCGCTATTGATTTTGAATAAATATATACAGAGTTTAACCCAGAATATAGGTGATCAATCAAACATTTTTATTGAGGAAAACATCGATAATTTCATAAAGAAATCTCTTAGAATATTTTAATTATAAACAGCATAAATCATGTAGAGAAATAATAAATACAGTAGATATATGTAGAATTTTATAGACACGAAATATTTANTCTCGTATATATATAAAGAAAATCGTAAATCTACCATCCAAAAATAAATAAATTTTTATATATTTAAAGTTATATGTCTCACCTCAGGCATCCAAGCGCAAGTAGTAGTTGCAGGTACTCTTGTCTGCGACTTGGCTCTTGATTTCCACAATTTTTTCGGGACGATCGTCAGTCTGTTAGAGCTATTAGTTTGATTCTTATTCTTCTGCATGTCAGACACTGCAAAAGAAGAGTCACTAGTGAAGTTGTATCACTTTTCAATATTTCGTGCAGTCCAAAGAAATTTTAGTAAGCGTGACGCATCGTGATTTCCCCCCTCTCGGCGTATACGTAGGCGCGTTAAACCAGCTCGATATTCTAGAGACGTAAACGAAGCGGCGACTTTCGGAACACCATAATTAATCGATTAATCGATTAGTAGTTTAGAAAATACAATAAATCGTTTCGGCAACGTCACACTACTTAACGTACTTACCTTCACAAAAGACGGATACAGGAAACAAAAAGAGTTAAAGAGCCAAGTTCGGCCGAAACCTTGGATCTATTTAACTCTGCATTACACATAGATAAGTTTGCAAACTATTTTTAAGCGGGTCGATTCTTCTTTAACCACTCATCTATAATACAATGTTTTTGGATATTTAAAAAAACCAGCGCAAAATCTCGGGACGAGAGCGAGAGATTTATGATTTGATTTACGCCATGTTTAATCTCTGTTTAAAAAAAAATACGCTTTTAAATCTTTAATCGGATGTTATTAAAGAAATTTATATTTATTTTTTTATAAATTTAAACCGTAAAAATTTAAATATTTATTTTTTTTAATCAGCTCATCCATCAACATCAGTATTTTTAGTGAGCAAATCGGCTTTTATTTTTTTAAAATGCAATTTTAATACAAAATATCGATCGGTATTTTTTGTAAAAATAAATTTATACTCATACTCATTTCAATTGCGTTTTTTGCGGTGTTTTTTATTATTAAAAAGTATTGCAAGAGCCGGAGAAATGTATGGAAAAGCAACGATGAGTCAACGCTTAGTATTGGTTCATCGCTAATTTAGCTTAAGCACCTGTTGGCACTCAACCAAAAATGTCTCATNTAGAACAGGATGTATATATCAATTATATAGAAGTTACATGACATTAGAGAAGATTCGCTATTGATTTTGAATAAATATATACAGAGTTTAACCCAGAATATAGGTGATCAATCAAACATTTTTATTGAGGAAAACATCGATAATTTCATAAAGAAATCTCTTAGAATATTTTAATTATAAACAGCATAAATCATGTAGAGAAATAATAAATACAGTAGATATATGTAGAATTTTATAGACACGAAATATTTAAATTTTGTTTTTTTTATTAATAATTTTTAAATTTCTCAAGATGGAAATAAAACAATTAAATATTTATCAACCCAAGTTTTCTTGTACGCAGTTGCATCAACCAGGATCACAAGGAGTAACAAATTGATAGGTATTGATGTGATTTTATATTATATTTTATTTAGAAGAATATTTTATTTAAATTAAAAAAGTACACCTCGACAATTATACTATTTATATAAAAAAATATTTATTAAATTAATGAAACGGTGTAACAGAATGGAACATTTTCTATTGGAACGATAATACATTAAAGTATAGATTACAGTTTAAATTAATATATTTTATATTTAAATATTAAAACTAATTATTATTCAGTATCTTGTTAAGTAAATATTGCTAATTATTAATTAAATCTAACGTGGCCCTGCTAAATCTGTAAAGAGATTCCTATAAGTTTTATTTTTTTTACAAAATAGTAAATAAAAGCTACAAATGATTCATAATATGACCAACTCGTGTAAACAATATTACTTTAGCTATATATTTATATAAAATAATAATCTGGTTATTATTATTTTCGCATATTTATATGCGTGACGCGTCGCTGTTCAGCGGAGATACAGCGATAAATTTTACTCTTGTAAATATACTTGCGTGTTATACTAAAAAGACTACAAATATACATATTTTTAAACTAATACTTCAATTATTTTAAATCAAAATAGTTTAAGTTTAGTCGATTTTTATATTTAAATGACTGTTTTATAGCTAAAACATTCGCCATTTAGTAAAATAAAACGATAAGAACAGCACGAAAGTACTTTTATCGGATGCCTTTGAGGTATAAAAATAAAATGACATTAGCCAAGTTATCCTATACTAAATAAATCTTTTAATATAAAGCGTGAAGGACAGACACGTCGGAAATTATGACCTACCATTAGATAACAATCAAATAAAACTCATATATCATCATTTACACGTATATAATTTTATAAAAAGTTCAAATAAGGTAAATAATAAACGTTTAACACCTTAACTCTAAGATTATTTTATAAATATTGGATTTATTATGGCAACTAAACTGCCTTACTGTACTTGGATTTGACATCTTATATATAAAACTTGTCATCTGTATGGCAGTTTACGGGCTTTAAATCGTTTTAGATCTTTAAAATGCCTATAAAAAGTGCACGTCAGTCATTTTGAATGACGTTTATACACACACACATATATATTTTTTTCGTTCAGGAATTTCTGTGATCGAATTTCAAATCAAAGAACGTGATCGAGTTGTTCACACTCTTGCCAATAATAGTCCTGTTGGTAGGATGTTAAATAGGGAGAAGCCATAATATGTTTTTAAAGGCTCTACGCTGATTTAAACGGCNTTAGATCTTTAAAATGCCTATAAAAAGTGCACGTCAGTCATTTTGAATGACGTTTACACACACATATATATTTTTTTCGTTCAGGAATTTCTGTGATCGAATTTCAAATCAAAGAACGTGATCGAGTTTACAATATTAAAATATATAAATATATATATATTAAAAAAAGAGAAAAATCTGTTCCATGATTGATGCCAGTGTCATTTTTACAGGCATACAGGCCATGTTAGCAGAATTGGATCTTGACAGTTTGACAGAAGTAAGTCATCCATCTCTTTGCGTGTTCTTTTCCCTCTCCTGGCTTATATTTTCGATTAAAATGTACTTTTTTATATTAAAAAACTTAAATAATTTCTTTAGCGAGTAGATGCTACGTCTATGGCCCACTTTTCGTGTTCAATTTATCGAAAATTGATAGAACAAACGTTAATTCAATAAAGTCTAGTCTACTTTTCTCTAAAGACTATTAACGTTAAACCCTTTTCTAGAATAATATATTATTATTAATTCTTTCTTTTTCAATCAATTTTCATTAGTTTAATGGAAAAATTAAGGAATTTTGGCCTTCTTCTTTGAAGAAAACTTTCTTCGTATTGCAGTTCAGCTTAATTCGTATTTCTTGAAAAAAAATTGCTTAAAATAGCTTAGGATAAAAATATTAAAGTGTTTTAAACGATCGATAAGAAGAAAAATGCAAATAATTTAGTAGAAACTTTAATAGCATTGTCGATAAATTCCATTTTATTGTTAGAATGCAATGGTTAGGAACTACGGGAAAATTCAGCTTTACGCCTTTTTTTTTTTTCTATAGGGGAAATTGGCCGTTGCTTAGACAGATTTTTCATAGATTTTTGATGTTTTTTTAGTGGAAAACAAAGCATTTTCGCTGTGTTTATCCGTCCAAAATTCTAATTCTTTTAGCATCAGCTTCAACGTTACTTAAAACAATTAGAAAAAGAAAGGAATGGCCTCTACAACGAGCTTAGAGATACGGAATGGAAGTTGGATCAAGAATCAAAAGTAAAGAATTGAACTATGCATAATTTAAGGAACTGAATGAATGCTTTTGTTTACAAAATTGATTTTTTTTTTCTTCCAGTCTTTTCATAAATTTAACGATACGCGCAAGGCATACATGACAGAGATAACTGATGCTGTTTTAAATTTAGAAGCAATGAAATCTAGAATGAAATATATGGAATTAAGCGACGAGGGGTCTGTTGTAAAGTGTCCTCGACATCTTAAATATCTGTGAGTAATTCTACATTTTTTAAAGTCTTTTACGGAATGTTTTCTTTAATGATTTTTTTCCTTGTATTTATTACTAGAAACATTTCACCCGATCAAAGAGTTATAGATCCTAAAAAAGGACCCATACGTAAAACAGCGGGTGTGAGAAGTTTACCAAAAATAGAAACTGAAGAGAAGGAAGACAAGGATGAAGTATCCGAAGAGGTCGTGGCCTAGATGCAATCTCTAAGCAAGTTGGCCATGTTTTATTTTATTTTTTTCTAACAACAATACAAAACGATCCTCTAACACGCTCTTTAAATTTATTAACTCGTTAATACTGCCAAAGTTTATATATTTTACTATGTTCTGTGCCATCTCTAATTTAAGAAACCGTTTAATTAATCGTGCAAATCGCGATTGTTAATGCTTGAAACCGTTGTTGTTGTTGTTGATGTTGGCGTGTACTTGGATGAATAGCAATAATATTTGTAAATAAATGGATAAAAATTACATCGTACGATTAAAACAAATAACGTATTCGAAATTCTTTTTTCATACAAGATAGCTGGGTAAATATTTTGTTACTATAATTCACTGTACCCAACATGTTATAATTTTATTCTCTGCATAACTTTAAGTAACATGAAAACGTAGATAAAACATCTTCATCTCTGTTCATTCTGGTTTTAGTGATGGATATAAGACAGTGTGATTGAATTATCATTACTTTACACGAACGAAATGTCATAAAGATTACTCAATAACGCTCCATTACACGTTAACGATGGTAAAAAATTCTTTAAGCGATGTTAAATAACTCATATTAAATTCGTAATTTGTGTTCTGGCTTTAAAAAATGTTTACATATTCTATTATTTGTTTAGAAACTGTTTTTTCCTTGAAAAAAATTATTTTTCTTTCTAAAACACACGATAAATGGCAAGGAAACATTTCCTTAATCTGTTCAAAATCGCATCACAACGTTATTATCCTTCAACAAGATATTAATCTGTCAAAGAAGAGATGTTAAACCGTTGCTAGATCTTCCATAGAGTTCTGTTTTATCACTAGAAAAAATTTAATTCATGATTTGAGAAGGAAACCTTAAAAGGAGATAAAAATAAAATATACTCAGAAATAAAAAAAAATTGACTGACTAAAGCTCGAAAAATAACGATCCAGGGGGCTTTTATTTGTATAAATCATAAAATAAATAATAGTAAAAACATAAAAATTATAATTTATAGCACATATATTATTTTAATAATAATTTCACATAAGAATATTGAAACACGACACGAAACAAACACACTATATCATAGGCTGTGGCGCCGTAGATCCTCTTGCCGCATTTTTTTTTATATTAAGCAATTATTTATGCCTTATATTTTTAATATTAACAGATAAAAATTTTTTATTAACTTTTTTTATATAAAACTCTTGTGTAAAGTTATTACTTTCACGGCTGTTATATATAACAGAGGGAAAATATGGCAATCGATTAAGAAATGACCCCGAAAGTTTTTACATTTTTGGACGCAGGACACCTTTAAACGTCGAGAAATGAAAAAAAAAAAAACTAAAAAATTCGGTGGGGGCAATTTCTATGTATGTATGTATGTATGGATGGATGGATGGATGGATGGATGTTAAGTGTGTGTGGGGGGCACAATTCTGTTCACCCTGTTTGAAGCTTAAATTAATAATTCTCATGCTTTTTGTCGAAAATTTTTGAAATTTTGCAACGAGGTTTGTTTGTTAGGGGATCGATGCTATTAAATTTTGGTGATTAAAGGTCGCGGGGGTGGGGAGATAAATGGGGTTGTGTGTATCTCCAGTAAGGTTGGACTTAATGACGATTTTACTCGTTATTAGCATTTACAATATTAACCCATCCCTATCCTAAAAATTAAGCTTTTTGCTATTTTATAATAGTTAAAAATATATACAGTTTTTTTTTTTTTACAGTGTTTGTGGCATTCGTGCCATAAAGACCTTTATTGCACGGATGCCACAAACACTGTGTTTATACATGATTTNATCCTAAAAATTAAGCTTTTTGCTATTTTATAATAGTTAAAAATATATACAGTTTTTTTTTTTTTACAGTGTTTGTGGCATTCGTGCCATAAAGACCTTTATTGCACGGATGCCACAAACACTGTGTTTATACATGATTTTGAGTTTCGTAAGTATAGGTGTAGTCAACCATAAAATACCGTATGACAATTCGTTTATAATTAGCGATTATGGCATTCATGGAAATTGGCCCACTCTCTCTACTCGTGTGTCAAACTTCCATTCGTGCCATAATCGCCTATATTATAAACTAATTGCATAATATACTATTATTAAAATATGATAACAGATGGCTCCACCCAAAATTTTAAATGTTGCCGGGAAAGTTGAGCAACTCGTTGCTGGTTTGTTTTTATTTTACTTTATAACACACGTTTTCTTGTGTTGCAATTGAAAGCAAAACTGAACTGCGTTGTGTTGTATGTGTGTTTGTGTGTATTGTACTGTAGTTCTGTATTTTATTATAATACTACTTTAACAACAAAAAAAACTTTAGAATGTTAATTGTGTACAGTATTTTTTAGATCTATAATTAGCTGTTTGGTGACAGAAAGTTATTGTTATCGAGCTACACGACAACGAAATTTGTCTACACAAGCCAAGGAAGCCAAAGAATTTCGTTAGTAATTTTGTTTGCCAGATTAAATTTTACATAAACGTATTTAGTTTTTTTACAATTATAAATCAAATAATACCTTTCTACTCATTTTTCTCAACTAAAAGACAATATTTAGACCAGCGAATTGAAATCACTTGAATAACATAGTTTGGCAATTTTTGAAGTTATTTTTATAAGTAAATACAGTTTTAATTCTTAAGATAATCGTTTTAAACAATTACTAAGAATAATTTAGAAAACTAATGCTTACGAGCGTGGCCCAAAAGTGAATTAACCGTTGTCAATAGTAAGTTACTATCTCGTTTGGTAATAAATTTTAATTTTATGTTACGTTTAATTTTAATTTTATGTTATATTTCCCTGTTAAAAAAGTATAATAATTACGTCATTCTACGGTGAAAGTGTTTACTACTTTGATTAAATGAATATTTCTTAAGATTCCACATTGATTATCAAAATACTTTATAATAAATATCTTCGATGTCATAACAAACGAGCAATTATTTATTGTGACATGGTCACAATGCCGGACTTCAATTTTTAATCATATTTTTAACTTATTTAGTTTAAAATATATGGCTCTTCACCTCAAATTAGTAGTGGCTTGCCCCTGCACATCACACTTTCCCTTTAACAATAGATTCGTGCCAGTCATCTATTAACTGCTTTCGGGGGAAGTTTTTGAATTGAAATAACGTGACTTCCGATGCAAACCGGAAGTTTGTATATAGTCAATCGGGGCCTCCTTCCCCTAAGCTTTCCATATATGGTTTCGGATTTCATCTATTTAACTTCGTTCTCGAGATTAAGGAAAGACGGACGGACGACATTTATAGGTCTAGAATTTTTTTCAAATTGTAACCCGACAAGTATAATCCTTTAATTCTGCATATAAAATACGATAAAATAGTTCTTCAAAATAAATTATTTAAAATTAGTTTTCACTTACTTTACCACATCCACATTTTTAATTTTTTATCGTGGAATTTAGAATAACGAAATTGCGAGGTTGCGGCCGAAGTTTTCATCTCTGAAACGTGAACGTCGAACGTCGAGCACCGCTATCTTGTAAGAGGCACCGACGTTCGACGTTCACGTTTCAGAGATGAAAACTTCGGCCGCAACCTCGCTAATTTTTAGTAACTTAAACTGCAAGTTACTCATTTAGTTAACAGTCGCAAATAGTTGTCTTCTGAGGAAACAATTACAAGAAAACTAAAATTCGTAGAGCTGTGGGTTTTTCGATCGTCTTCAATTGGGCACGGGAAACGATTTTGGGTAAAAATATGAGCCCAATAAGTGAATTAGTTGAAGAAAAATAGCGTACTATATGCATTGTGGGGAATTATCTTTTAAAACTGATAAAAATTTAAAGTATAATTAAGAAAACCCGAATCCTATTTTTTTTTATTTTTTTGTTTCTAGAAAATAATTGGAAAAATTGGCTTCTGTAATTTTGCTAATATTCCACTGTTATTAATTCATAAAGTAGTACAAAATATTCACAAATATCATAGAATTAAGTCTGATGCAAAATTTTCAGAGTTTTGCGTAGTTTCTTCTACAGACTTGTATTTTTTAATTTATTTTCGTCAATTGTACTAAAAAAATCGTAAAATGATGACACGAGATAATGCCACCTTTGGAATATCTTATTCAAAGTAAAGACTATGATTATCGAGAAATGCTTAATTATAGGAGTCTTGACTCGTAATTATTTTTCAAGTAGGTGAAATTTTAATTAGTAAATTGTCACAAAACACTTGTGTCCTTAAGACAAAAGTAGAGCCATAATAAGCCATAGCTGTAAGAAAACCGGTTTTAGGAATCTAAAATTAATTTAAAATATACGAGTTTCTATACTTTCCCTCGCTAAAAAACTAAATTATGATCAGTTGCATCGAGATGACAGTTTATTAAAATATAATAAAACCTGGAAAACTCTACGTGACCAGTGCGTTGGTAAGTCGCGAACCCACGATCAACTATCGGTGTTCAGTGGTTTTCTTTTATTCATTTGCTACCGGTGGGCTCCTGTTAAAAGTTCAAAATCAATTGTCTCGGCCCACCAGTGGCCGTGCGTTCGTGGCTTACCAAGGGCTGGCCACGTGGAACTTTCCGGGTTTTCTCCACCTCTGTAACGCCTAAATAGGGGCCAGTTTCCCTTAAAAAGACCTCCCGGAAGGCATCCACCCTAGGCAGATTGCCCAAGTGTTGCGTTGCCATGACTTAACCAACAAACAAACAATCCTCTATCAATGGTGAGTATTCAAAATACCGCCGTTTCTTGAAGACGGATGAACGGCTATGAAGGTTTTCTTAACTGGATTAAATTTAAATAAAGAAGATTATTGTGATTAGTAAACGACTTTAATTAACGATACACTAAAGAGTTAAAAAAACGGAAATGACGTCAAAAACAATTAAATACTTATTAATTTTCTAATTAAGTTTCGGATCAAGAACGATCGTCGAGTTTTTATTCGGCATTTCTGGCTTCCTTAGATTACGTGGTTTTAGTGGTAGGAGTTCAAAATTTTCAAAATATTGGGCTATGTGGTTTGTAAACCTTCGTTTAACGCTTCTCGCTACTGGCGCTTTCGAGCGAAACTACGCCATATTTAGTCCGCTTGTTACCGTTTATGTCGCAGCGTATGGTAAGTTACTCTATTTCATATTTAAAAAAATTCCGGTGTCGTACGGTATCGAATAAAATACGCAAGTAAATGGGCATTCTGAAATGGAAAAATCTGAATTTTATAATAAAAAGGATCAAACATGGCGGCTGTAGAAGCAAATGAAGTTCGCCCAAATTGAAAAAATATTTTTAAATTTTTTTATAATTTTCATTTACGTAAAAATTGACTTAAATAAAAAATTATCTAAAATGTTAAGTAAATTATTTTATGCACTATATATATTCGTAAAGAATTAAAATTGCATTTAAATACATTTATTTAAGAAATTATTTTTATTGTTAAGATCTGGCAACACTGACTCAATTATGTTTTGACTGTTTTGAACACGTGTGGAAAATTAATGATGGCAAATCGAGAAATTTATGCAGCTAATTGTGAAAAAGAATTCATAAACAATTTAATTAACGATGGAAAAGTAAGTGAAGTTGTTACTTATTGTACATTTAACGAGATGTGACAAATGTCTCCGATAGAATTTAATAATTAATAGAACTTGAATTTATACAGAAAAATTGTTTAAACCAAAGATGTAACTCGTGTGTATTTTCTGTGGTCTATTGTCGTATTTTAGAATATATCGGTTATCCTTTGAAAATCGCGTGATTTATACTTTAGAACAATGGTACAATTACACATCTGAATGAGACGGTTGAGACCTTATCGAAGCCGTAGACCATATTCATAGGAGGAAAAAAGTCCACAAAAAGGGAACCACACCTCTATATGTGATCCTTTGCGGGATATGGTTCCTTGAAATCGGTCTACTTCCGAAATTGGAAGTTATGTTGTTCAACTAAGACTATTGTGTTTATTTAGCCCATGTGACTATGCCATCTTTGAGAAGCCCACTCGACTGTTTGTGGAGTACAGTATTTGATGCTATACAATTTTAGGGGTGTGGGGGTCTCCCCAAACGGGCACCCCGCATTTCTTTATGCAGCGCTCGAGAAGTGCTTTACAGCGAACACACTGAAACTGGTTTCTAATTGGCAAACACTGCTCGTGACGTCATTTTGCTACACTCTCGCTGCATAAAGAAACGCAGGGGCACTGAGGTGCTTGCTGTCATTTGTGCTGAAACACAATTACATGCAGTCTCGGTTGAGGTGAGGATAGTGAGCCTGACTAATACGGAGAATAAGCGATATACTGGTTTACGATAAAAACTGACCGTTACAGATAAATACCTTACAAAGCATCGTGTGCACAAGTATTATTCCATTGACTTTTTTGCTCATACGGAGGGGCAAATCCCTCATTCAGAGTTCACGTCTTATCCAGATAATCTCTTGGTTGGGCACGAACTTGTAACCAATTAGCAATGTCTGTTGGCTTTATCCACTGGCTACTGGTGGACCTAAATAAAATACCGCAAAGTAAAAAAGGCAGAAAGAATCTTGTTTCAGAGTTACTTTAAAAATAAAAAGAAAAAGAAACATTATTATTAGAACTAGCTAGTTGCCAGTACCAAACAATCTATAGTTATGATAGAATTAGTCATTTACAAAATACAAAGTTCAATAAATACAACTAGTTTAAACCTGGATCATGTCCAGTAAGGCAGAATTTAAGTCCAACCTAGTTTAAAATCAATTCTTGGTTCTTCTTGTAGCAAGAATTTTAAGTATTTAAGTTGAACTTAGCATACTTTTTATGTTGCTCTTGTAAATTGACTATGAATGCTGACATAAATGTATAGGCTATAAAAGCAGAACAACTCTGGCAGAAGAAACCAACACCTCAACTTACAATGCAGTTTTAAGATATTACTTATAACTGACCAGTACTACTAAAGTCATATTTTGTCAGTTTTGCAATTCCTTATACACATTAATGACATTGTATTAATTTAAATAATTTTTATGATACAGTAAAGCATCGATTATCTGACTCAATTGGGGACTCAAGTTGGTCGGATAACTGAAAAAATCGAATAACCGAAAAGAATGAAAAAATACATTATCAGTATAGTATATTAATATATCCCATGTAATTAGTATATTGCTATTAACCAACTTTGCATTGATTTTTCATTGATGTTAAGTTTAACAAATTTTTTTTTAAAATAATAATCGTCGCTATTGTATCGTTAAAAATTATTTTAAAATTATTTTATTGCTTACAAAACAAACAACCACTCAAAATTAGAAAATTAAGTCTCGTTTAAATACTGGCCTCCCTTTCATGGTTGAGTCGGAGTTGCCAGCTAAAACACACAAAAATTTAACAAAAATAATATTAAAGTAGCCAAGACATAGCCAAATATTGTAGTGCCACATCACTAGCGGACATTTGAAATTTGCAGACTAGAACGGTCGGTTACCCAATGTGACAGTTAATCGGGGATCGGATAATCGATGCTCTACTGTATTGATATTTTTGTAAAATGCAATTCCAATTAACTACAAATCTGGGAATCATTGCAATTCAATTAAACAATTTCCAAAATTTAAGATAATGGAAATAAAAAGCAGATAATGTGAGCTACTAAATGTAACTATAAATAAAAATGCTCATGATATTTCATGCTTTCAGTTTATATATAATCTTTTGGAGTAAAATTTGTAGAAGAAAAAGAAATAAAGGTATCCTATGTCATATGAGACTGTGGTTTGAATTTGGGATGGATCCTTAGAAATGTCCATGACTGATTTGACTCATATGCAGGTCACATCTCTCATCATTTGATTAAAAAAGAATATACCATGAGACATGAAAGATGATGATAAAGCTGGTAAGGGTTCTTGCACAACTTTCCTAGGAGGTTAAGGGGTAAGTTATGTGTGGTGCCATCTGTTATGAGATTTTATTAGAAAATAAACTTTTATAATATTAATTACAGTCGACCCCCCTATAAGATCATAGATACGTTCCATTTTTTAGGAATCCGATTTCTTAAGAGTCGTTCCAATCACAGCCCGACACGTGTGAAGTTTATGGACTACGGCTGATTGAAAGGTTTTCTTCCATAAAATTAATCGATTCTAGACTAATCTGACTCAACATTTCCAAAATACGTATATTTTTTTTGGAAATAATCCGTATAAACTACGCTATAAACAAAAAATTGTAGGATTACTTACCGAGTGTGCACTATTAGACATCCCCATTGCTAAAGCTTGTTTTCGTTGCGGAACAGCTCAGCAAATAGCGGCCGATTTCTAACAACTTATTTTTCTGTGAAAACTTCGTAAAACTTCGAAGACATCATTAATATAAATAATTTTAATCGCCGTTGAATAAGAAATGTTTCTTTCACAAGAAATGTATAAAATTACAGTACTGTATTAGACTTACGGTACCTAATTTACATACTGTACAGACGATAGTTAGCGTAAAATCTCCGTAGCGTGGCGCCACGCGGCGGAAAAAATATATATAATTATAATAAAGTTACAATATATAATTAATATATAATTATATGTACAGTACCTAATTTATATATAATTAATATATAATTATATGTACAGTACCTAATTTATATATAATTTATATATAATACTGTACAGACGATAGTAATCTCTCCGTAGCGTGGCGCTACGGACGGCGGAAAAGTAGTTTGGCTGCCCGATGACGTTTTATGTAATTATAGGAGTTTTTTATGGGTTTTTACGGATACCGTTGCAATTTTTTCACAGTTTTATAGGAATCGTAATTATAGGGGGAGTCTACTGTATTGTAAAATGTAAAAGCCTTATTTTTGGAATAGAGTGAGTTTTAAAAAAAACTGTAAATGTTAATAACAAGTAAAATCTTGTCTGATTCCACTCAAGATATGACTCCTCACACACCTCTATCTCTCCCTTGACTTTCTTGAAAGTGTAAATCGTCAATGTCCCATTCATGGAAGCATTCCTGCCAAATTTAAAAATTTTTGGTCCATAGGATTCTTAGATATAAAACAAAATACAGGCCAACACACACGCAATTTTGTTTCTGTTTTTCGAAACGGGATCTTCGAAATGCAAAAATTACCAACAATATATGAAAGATATCTTAAATTTATGACTATTAATTCTGTTTGAATACAATACCATATCAAATATCCAGATGACCCACCAGTGGCCAAGCGGTTCCATTCCCTGAACGCTGGGAGTTCAGTCATGGGTTTGCACCTCGCCTGGATGGGCTTTCTGGGTTTTCTCCACATCTGTAATGCCTAAATAGGGGCCAGTTACCCTTAAAAAGGCATCTCACCTAGGCAGATCGCCCAAGTGTTGCATTGCCATAACTTAATAATAATAATAATAAAAAAATCCAGCCAGCTTGGGCATGTAAGAAGTCCAAATTTCTGGATTTTCCAATTGGACATTGGCTAAATGATGGCCAGGTGGCCAAGAAACAGCTGGCAGCCAACAACTCTGGGGATCCAGAATCGAATCTGGAAAAGACAAACAAACCTCAGAAATTTTCAGGGTTGGTTTGTCCAGATATGTCAGACCCCATCCCTCACCATCCAGCTGCCTCAATGTGGGCCTTGCCAAACCCATAATGGGCCTGCTAAAAAGACCCTCTTAGTGATTACAGAGTAGAAAGAATTAACTTAAAAAAAAAATTCAAGCTAAATATACACTAAAAATATAAAATAAACAATAGAAAGTAAAGAACAAAACAGTTGTTAACACTGTATGCCAGCAGTCACACTGGAACTGGCATTGTTCAATGCACATGCCACAGAGAACAAAGCAAAGTGATCATGTGGTGAACAACAGCTCACCAAATTCAAAACTTGCCAGTTTCAAAAATAACCAGATATCTGGAAGCTGTACATTTGGTCTGATATTGTATTATCATTGAAGAATCAGGTGTGGCTCTCTATGATTTATAAGAATGTCAGGTTATATAGTTAGATTTAAAATTTTTATTCTAAATGTTAAATAATGTGGAACAGGATGTTTATTATTAATAAATCTCTTTTAGCCATGCTGTTTAACTATCTCTTGTACATAATTATATTTATGGTCAAAATGTTAATTAAATTGCAGAGACTGGATGGACGAGATCATCACCACAGCAGGAGGTTGTCGATAGTATTCGGTTTAGATGACGGCTGTTGTATTACTACACTGGGAAATACTAGGTATGTTGTATTACCATAATATTTAATTGCTTAATTACTATTTTCTAAGTAAGTAAGATTGTTTAGTAAATAGTAAAACTAGTTTCATTATTATATTTTTTAAAATATACTCCTTAATAAAGCAACACTTTTTCATCTTAAAAATCTGTGTACATGAACTGAATAGTTTAATGACACAGTAATAGTGTGTGTCCAAACAGTTACTGTGCAGTGAGAAATTTATAATGACAAGTTATACTTACAGCATTGCATATGTAAGGGTACTGCGATGGTGTGCTAATTCTGACACCATTGTGAGGGTTCTGCTACAGTCTCTCTTTCTGACATCAAGTAGGTTATGCATACTAGACAAAGTTTTGAGCTTTTTTATAGATGGCAATAATGTGGTCTCATATGTGAGACTAGGGATGAGAGGGTGGAGTAGGAAATGATGAGATTCAATTGGAATTGAGTCACTCAATACAATTTATTACACTTAAACATTTATTAGACAGCAAAAAAGTTTGTTACAACAGGGTATTTTCATTTCGTGGAGAGAGAGAGATTACAAATTTTTGGTACCTCACAAATTGTAACTGGAATTCCTGTTGAGGATCTTTGGAATGCACTTAGCAGTTTGGGAGAGAAGCAGCAAGTAGAGGGATGATGAGGAATCTGAGGGCATAGAAGAATACTAATCCAAAAAGACACACAAACACACTAAACTAAACAGTTGAAAGAACAGGTGACGACTGACTGAAATCAACTGTTCCTTGTTATATTCAAAGCAGCAAATACCTTAGAGGTGACTAAAAGTCACTGGAAAGGCGTCACTACCGACTCTGTGAAAGCGTAAGCTGACACTCTCTCGGGTCAGAAAGTTGACATATACTAGCTTCTGATGAGGTCATCCTTGAGTTGTTTTCCTTTTATTTGTTCAATTTTCACACATATCCGTAAGTTGTAAACCCCATGTTTTCACTTTTGCAGTAAATGGTATTACTGATTGATCACAGATATTCTGGTTTTGGACTGAGTTTTTGAAAGACTTTTTTGGTAATTGCATTGATCTCCCATGAAATCTGGCCTGCTAAGTCTGTGTTTCACTCCTTAGATTTTGGGTTTTTCAGGGTCATTTCCAGCATTAGCTGTAGGAGAAACTGCAGTATTGTACATAAAACTTCACTTAAACCTTTTCCACTGCACGGTAATTTCACACACACTGTAGTGTGTATACACATAGAAAAACTTCACACACAGCCAATCAGAATCAAAGTTCTTCTATGCCACATGGGTTAAAGTGTCAGCCTATCACACCCTGGGGACCTGGAATGAAATTGGTTGGACAGGTTGAAAAGCATTGAGGAATTTTTTGATAGGTCGAATCTTTTCCCTCATACCTTGTCACCCCATTGTGAGACTGGTCAAACCATATTGCACTTGCTAAAAAGAGGCCATCTTAGTGATCACAAGGTGGAAATAGTTTTAAAAATATATATATGTATTCTGCTGATCATAAAGTCCAACTTTGCACTCCACCAAACCAAAAAGTATTGCCATTATTTCTCTTTTGCTTCAAAGATTTAATTGATGATTTCAAGTACTTACAGCACCCTTTGATTTAAAAGTTTGTCATAATCTGCATATATTTTGGTAGTAGTTACATATTTATTAAAATACTTCCTTAATTAGTTTTGTGTTTATAGTTATTTGGGAGTAAATCAATTCTTATTTTGGATGATGATAAGTGGAGCACATCAGGTTCTGTTTTACCGTTTAAAATTTACTTTCTTAATTTTTTAAAATAATAATAAATTAATTAAATTTTTACATTATATAAAATTTTCCCTAAATATCACATCTTGTACATAGCCTAATTGGCTATGCACAATTAATTTAAAATAATTGTTTTATTAACACATATGAGGATATTTAGGAATCTGTATAACTATAACAAAAACAAATACGATTTACGTTGCAACATGAAAGGAATTTAATAGACTGTATACTGTATCGTGTATGTATTAGCAGTGTGACTCTGCCTAGTGTCTACTGGCTTACTAGTATACACAGTCACTGAGACAACTCCATTTTTACTCCCTTGTAGAAGCTAGAGGTAGGCAATCCAGTTATACTTCTGGAATTGGAACTTTTCTGACAAAATTGTTCATTGGATTATCCCAGAAAGAATGTTACCATTTTAAATTACTATAATTACATTAATTATTATCTGAGAAGTATGCAACGTACACTATGTAAAGTATCAATCCGTAGAATAACTATCTGAATTTCATCTCCCATTTGCATTCAAACATCTTATCATCTACTAACTCTTGAAAGCACCATAAGTGTGAATAGTGATTCAACAGAGAAGGTATTTTGTGTTTTGCAGAATTGTTGCTGTGGGAGGAGTGATGGAGATGCCGTAGTGAGTTTAGGAATAATTTGAGTATTGGTCAGATTTGTGCAGTGTGATACGAGATGCACACGTTGAGAAATTGTAATGGGCAAATGCAAAACTTGGATGTTTTTTCCAATGTTTTGATGTACATTATGATGTTTTGGATAATAATTAATATAGTTACAATAATTTAAGATGGTAGCATTCCTTTCATAAGATCCTGTTATATGATAGAAGGCTTGCATTACACACTAAATTTCTTTACACTCTATACACACTAAATTTTTTGACCAATCTGCACCAAATTTTTCACACTTATTCTGCAGGACCCTACAAAAAATACGGGCTACCATAAAACCTCGATGCCTCCTCCTTCCCTGATTTTATCCCCTTGGCACTTCATAAACATGACAGTGGAAGGCTAAAACAACCAAACTTTTAGTATGATTTTCATTTTGTTTGTCCTTGCTTTTTGCCCAGGCAGCATTAGGCATATCTGCTAGTTGATCATCCAATATTTTAATTTATTTTATAAAACAAAAATATAACCCAAAGAATAGCATGAAGAGTTTGGTAGCGTTGCAAGTTGGACTTTCCAATGCCACAAGCCAGCCGGCTATGCTCGCCGAACGGCAGGCCCAAGACGTCACAAAGTTGGATTCAAAACATTTGCAAATTCTTTCATTTCATCTATTTGTATATTAAATAACTCATTTAACTGTTTCTTGTTACTATTAATAGAAATTGTCGTGTTTTTCTTTTCTAGAGTTTTGGCCCAAGTTTCAAGCGAAATTGTGGTTCCTAAGCCAGCTCGACCGTCAGAAGGTATCTTCCAAATTAATGTGGAATTGTCGCCCATGGCTTCTTCACAGTTTGAAGCGGGAAGGTAATTTGTATTTATTAGAGATAATTAGAATTTAAATTGCCAAAGTTTTTTGGCATAGCAAAACATTTCAAAAACCATTCATAATTTTTGATGAAGAATTCAAAAGAATTCTTCATCAAATGTGTAGACTTGTTAATAACTGGAATTGGTGTTCTCTCCAGAAACCTTTACTAACTGGATGGAATGAATTAGTAGCAGGATGGACCTAACAAAAAATATTGTGCTCTATTATAAAATTCTCTATTACTTGTAAATGCAATCCCTCTTTTACTACTAATGAACACACAGTGCAAGTGAAATCTTGAATCTTGCAGTCAAATACTGAAATTATTGATATAATGATAAATCCCTTCATAATGATATTGTAGTTCCCTATAAGCTTAATGTAAAATTTCTCCCAAATTGAATGACACCTACTCCAATTAATCTCTGCTTAGTGATATATTTTTTATCATACTTGTAAAGTACACAATATTTTCCTTTCTCTAAAATAATAATAATGCAGTAAATTAAATTTTAATTAATATTTATCTAGTGCTTGTTTTTGAATCAAAATGTGGTACTCAATATGGCGATTCTACCACAGACATTATCTGCAGTCAATAGGCATCCATTTCAGCTATATTTAGAATGCTGTTTTTGATATTAGAGAGGTTGTGGCTGACGTTTTCAGCCCAAAACGTGAATGTTGGACGTTGAGCGTCACCATCTGGCAATTCTAGAAGGTTGATAATGGCATTTGCTATGTCTAGCATGGCGAGTAGAAGTTTGGCTTAAACTACTTCATTTTTGTGTGTTTGGATTTAAAGTTATGATGTATTTTATTAAAATAATGATCAGTTAAACATTTATGAATAATATTGTAAAGAAACAGACGATTTTAATCCATAAATTATTTAATTATTCAATTTTTTTCCAAGTGATGTGAAGTGCCTATAGAATTTACATATATTTCTGTTCATAATAACTTATCATAATTCTGTAGGAGTAGGTTTGTCTTTCACAGCATCTTGTACCATCAACAGCGTAATACGTTCATAGACTTTCTAAAAATAATTTTCTGAGCTGCTTTCGGATTTACATGTGAGATATGCAGTGGGTCACTGGTTAAGTCCCAATTGACCACTTACTCTGCACAGGCTGGTAAAACTTGATCTCGGGGTCGTTGGATGGCTAGGAGGGCAAATCGAGTGGGGAGTGCATCGGTAAGTCGGCAGGCGTCCTTAAGTGACAGGAGACAGGTTTAACAAAATAACAAAGCATTTATTGAATCAACAAATCTAAACTCTACAAGAGGCAAACTTACTACTAAGGTTAAATGTGGTTATATTAAAATATTTACAGAAATTGGCGACAAATTTCGTAGCTATGTGGCTGACCTAATTTCTAGTTCGAGAGAGAGCGCTTTTACAAATTCTAACCCCTAAATACCTCTCGGTGGAAGGGAGAGTTGGCGAACGTCGTCTGTATGGAAGGGTGTGGTGTCTTCCGTGTCTTCTTGCCGATGTCCTCTCTCTGTAGCTGGATCAAGTCCGCTGTATGGAGGTTCAGGAATCGAGGTGGGCACTATCACAAAGTATAACTTCCTATGACGAATCACCCTGAGCTTCCAGAGATTCAAGCTTTTATATCTTTAGCGTGGGAAAGCTGTCACGTGATTGACTTTTGTTGACAATGACGGTGCATTCTTCACACCTAACTGTAAACTTCCTCAGCTAGTCGTTATACAATCGGTGAAATCCGATCTAGTTCAAATTCTTCGGGTTTTTTCCGAAGATAATTAACAGAAAATTTGGATTTTTAAAAAGTCCGTAAAAATCCGCGAGCTCATATACATAAGCCACCACTTCCCTCAACAAAAGTATGAGGTAGTCCTATTGTCCTATCATACAGTAGGAGACATGATGCTAATTAAAAATAATTATTTAGTGTTATTAAATATCCTATAAATACTTTAAAATAGTTTAATTTGTTTATTACTGCTGGTTAAACAACTACTATTTATCCAGACTATGTAAGATTCACAGTGGTGACTGATTTTTTTCCTTTCTCTCCTATCTGCGGCATACCTCAAGGATCTGTACTAAGCATGCCTTTTTTCTCAGCTTATATAGATAAATTACTAATCAACCCCCACTCTAAAGTAATTGCCTATGCCGATGACATCAAAATTTTATCCAATGATCCCTCCTCTCTTCAGATCACTGTCAATTCTTTATGTTCTAATCTTGCCAGTTATAATCTAAAAACCAACATCCATAAAACTGTCGTTATGTTTTTCTCTACTTCGCAATCCCTACCACCCTTCCATATTTATTGATTCCTCTAAAATAAACTATGTCCAGTCTCCTTGTGACATTGGTATCATATTTGATGAAAAATTAATATTCCATGATCATATCTCTTACATTATTAAATCTCTTGCAATTAGACGTGGCTTTATCTGGCGTTTTTGCAAAAATATCTCTTCAAAAACTGTACTCAGAACAATTTTCTTTACTAATTTTCAATCAATAGTCGATTATTGTTTACCAGTCTGGGCCATGGCCTCCCTTTATCTGATTCAAAAAATACAATCTGAATTAAATAAAGTTTATTTTCTGATACACAAGCTCTGCAATTTATCCTTTACTGACAACCACAATGTGGCAAGAGTTCGCCTTGGTCTTCCAAATCTTTCTGATCGCTTAAAATATTTTGACCACATTCTCTGCTTTAAATACTTCAATGATCTAATTTTAAATTACTGGCTAGGTCTCTGCATCCCTACTGTAAGAACCCGTAATACATCATGCTTCTTCATCCCATTTTTTCACCTTTCTCTTTCACAAAGATCTTTTTTTTACTGTATAGCATCTCACATACAGCCTGTTGAACCTTACCTATATCGTGATTTTAATTTTTTTAAAAATAAATGTAAATCTATTTTATATAATACTAGCTGCAAGGACCCGCTTTGCTGGGTTTTTATTTGTATGTAATATAGTTTTTTTTATATTTAAAAGACTGTTTTTCTAAGTATCTAGAATTAGCTTCAAGGACCCGCTTTGCTGGGCAAAAAGTAATGATAGTGAAGATTAAGATAATTACATTATAGCCAATCTTACCCGTTTTCACAGAATGCAAGAATTAGATCCCCCATTTCCAGACTAATTTGAGAATTTTTACGTCCAGTCAAATGAACTATTTTCAATTTGATCAATTTTCTGGAACATTTACAATTGTTCTATAATTGAACCAATTCGAATTCGAATACAAATTTGAATTTAAAACGGTTCGAACATTTTTAAAATCGAAATAGAAAATTTTCGAAGTCAACCACATTAAGCCCCCATATCTCCCTCAGCCTTATAGCTATCGAGACGCAACCACCATAGTGCACAAATGGAGACTTGGGGCTACTACCACATACAAACACCATTTATGTGCAATGTGTAATTTTGGCTGAAAAGTGAAATATAGGGACACACACGTCCATTTTTATATATAGATATAGATATAATGTAACTGTTGTTTTACTTTATTTATAATTTTTTTTTTGTCTGTTATATCTTTTATATTTTGTAATAATTTTATTGGGGATCTTTTTTTTTTGTTATTAGGGGGGTGGAATACAATCATCTGTGACGTTTCCAATTAAATGTAAATAAATAAATAAATAAATAATAAATTTATTTGCTGGTAACATTCATCATTGTTAAATGTTTCTGCCATTTTTCAGTAATATCCCTTGAGTCAGTGTGTGATGTGAACATGTGTTTTACTTTGAGTTCAAATGTCAAACGTATACTTCTGCTTGCCGTACAAGTTTAACATTTGAACTTCGGCTGAAACCTCTCTATTTCCTACGTTTTAGCTCCGGTATTAAATCAGCAACAGAATCATCAATTATGAGAATGGTATGGTAGTTGATGATTTTGTTTTTGATTTAATATCTTTGCTACCATGCTTATTATTTCCTCCTTAATTTAAACTAATTGAAGATTGTCATTTTTTGGCTGAACTTTATAGTTTAATAAATACAAATTTCTATTTGTATGTCAATTCTACCGAAAATTTAGAATGACCAGAGTAACAACTACTATTGACACTATTGAAGTGATATTAGTTTCCGACTCATGACAGAATTCAATCATAAGTAGAATGTAAAAATAATGGCGTGATTGGATATGGTTTCAAATGTGCCTTAGCTTATATATTTTATTCTGTAATATCCTCTATAAGCCAAACTCTACATGCCTGCAAGATCTCTCTGGTCACTCAAAAAAGTCCAGTTACAACTAATCAAATAAAGATAATTGATCATTTTATAGAAAATATTACACATTAATATTGCAGTTTCCCATTGAGAAGCTTATATATTTTAATTTGTTACTATGCATAATTTAAGTACTGTAATAAATACGACAGTGGTGTTTTAAGTGTATTAAACTTCAGACTGACATTTGATATTTTCATTCATTAATTGGTATTTCTATTTATAAAGATTTATGGACAAGTACTGTACAAAGTCAACATCTTTCATAGGAACCAAAAATCCTACCAAGGGAGTGTTGTAATATTCATGTGGAATTTATTTTTATTCTTAACTTATTTATTTTGTTTTGTTTTGTTAATTTCTTTTAACCTCATTATAAAATTAGAGTGATTATATGAACAGAAAAGAAAGCGAGTTCTATTTTTGGTTTTAAGAAAATCAAAAATGTAACTCGCTTTCTTGTTCTTGAGATGATGCAAACCCGAGCAATAGCGAAACACAAATATGCCAGTTATTGTTATGTACAGTGTGCTTATTGTCCATTTATTATATTATTACTGTCCAAATGTTATATTTAACATATAATAATTATACTATATCATTAGCGAGTGCAATTGATTGTTTTGGTGCAAAAATAACATTTTTTTACTGCACTCATTTTGGATGTCTTAAGTATGAGTGATCGAGTTAAGTCATATACTTTTTAATGCTCGACAGTTTGGGATTCCCGCTCTTTTGTGTATATTTTCAAAAATTAAATATTGACAAATATATTTGCTTAATAACAAATGTGATAGTGTGTGTTCTATTGAAGACTTTCAAAACAGATAGATAATCAAGTGATTGAGTATCAGTCTGGACACTGTAGTGTCCCAATCAATGTAATGAAAAATAATGCCACAGTTTTTTTTTTTACCGTATTGTATTATTCATTAGTACATGGAAAACTGCTAGTTTTCCATTTGTTTCTGACTTTTGGAGGCTTAATAAATCCCGAGTCTGTAGACTGGTATAAAAATTAAGAAAAAGGTAAACAGGTTTTTAATACCACAGTTTTACTATATGCACATATCATTCTATGAATAGGTTTCTTAGTAAAATATTGACTGTTTTATGTTTATTTTTGGTAGTAAATAATGTACTTTTTGTGAAAGAATCAAGATGTTTCATTATGTTTAATGAAAAATTTGTCTTACCCAAGGTAGAAAATGTACACACAACCTATGCACAATGGTCATAAATGGTAAGAAAAGCAGAATTGTTTGATGTTTATAAGGAAATGTTTTTCTAAACAAAGTATTCAATTTGAGCTGTGATCTCCAACAAAAATTGGTATGCACGCACATATCAATATCAGGTTGTCTTAACAGGCATCCTGATATTGATATGTTCCAGAAACATCATTCTGCTCAAAATTTGTGTGTATTCTGCACTCGTGCACAGTCATCAATTTGTGGTTCTTCCTTTTGCATCATATGAGTTAGCAACTTGGTTAGGTATTAATGGGACGTAAGCATGAGAGACGTGCTTATGTCCCATTAGGCCTGTAGGTCTTGCGGAATATTGGCTTGTGCTTCTTGAAGTACCGTCTTTGGCTAATCTTTTGTTTTAGGCTTGTGTTTTTGGACCTCTTTCTGAAGCATGTGCCACAGTTTCCCAATTTGGTTCAGATTGAACAAATTTGGGACCCACTCTGGGATCAGACATGATTTTGGTGATGGAGTATGCAGTAGGCAATTAGTTGAGATCTTGATGAAGATTGCATCTTCCTGCCAATGTAGGCAGGTTATAGAAGGCAGGAAATGATGGTGCAAAATTGTCTGATAGCATTGTGTATTGACTTTCTCATCATAAGGACCTAAACCATCTTTGCTATAATATGCAAAATGCCCCCACACTTGTAATATGGGTAGAAACTTGACTTATTGCTTCATGCAGTTTTGGGTGAGTTCTCCATTGGGCTGTCTAATGTTCTCTACGTGATATTTCATGTCAGACTGGAAAGGGCAACCTATTGGACCAAATCACTCTTCAGCATTGAGTTTCTCTCTGGGACAAGTGGCCTCTGGATCAAACTGTTTCCTAAGCCAAACTAGCATCAACATGGACTTCCTCTTACTCTCGTATGTGTAATAGCCCATGTCATGTAACCTGTTTCTAGCAGTTTATCAAGATACAAGATGGTCTGTGAATCTGTTCCACAATGTTGCTGCCTGCATTAATGTACCAAGTCAATATTTTGTGGAAAACAGAGACAAAATTTGATCTTCCCTGAGAGTAGTCATTGCTGGTCTGTCGTTGACACATCCAGGTACAATGGAACCAGATTCCTTGTGACCAAGGAACATTCTGACAATTGACCTGTTCAAATACAATTCCTGGGGGGGATCTGCTCACTCTGTTATCAGCCATCGTAACCTCTTTCTTGCTGTTGTTTCATATATACTGTCCTTTGTCTACTTATTGTGACCGTGCAAGATACAAAGCAGCAAAAATTTACATATCCAATCAATCAATGGCTACAACTGCAGGGTCTATGTAAATTTATTTTCTTTTTATTTTAAATAGAGTGGTGTTTACAGGCAAATGTTGAAATTCCCATTGCACATATACTCCAATTTTTGTTGTAGAGCTTAGCTCAAATGTAGTACTTTGTCCAGTAAAAAGTTTCCTTACAAATTGCAAATGCTTCCACTTTCCTTACCATTTATGACATCTGTGCATGGGGTGCACTTACGTTTATTGTTACAGGTATATTGAATAAAACATAATTGCTTAGATATGCTACATGATCAAATGAAAGTAGAATTTTAACATTAAGTAGTCAACATAGAAATAGATAAATAAATAAAACTCACGCCAAAATTGTATAGCCTTCTTGATAAAAAGCACTGAGTTCAGCGTTAATATGATTTTTCTTGTATCGCAAGTACTTTCGACGAGTATTATATCGTCGTCTTCAGGCGAAAAAAAGAACAAAATTTGAATTAGAACGTGCAGAATGTTCCAAGTAGAAAACGGAAAATTTTTCTTGTCAATTTCTAAATTATAGCGTTCGGTAATTCCGTTGGTCACGTGCAACAAGCTTTTGCTGGAGTTCGAAATATTTTAAATCCACACGACTAGCAGCGCATGCGTTGAGGAGCGATCGTACTAATTGTGCGACTCTTGGCGCTTTTTGCTATTTAAACGCTGGTATAAAGTAACCCATATTTCGGGCAAGTCGAGTGTGGGGACGTTGCATGCGTCTGTGGTCATTGTAAGGAGCGCTTCCCAAATAAATGTAATTCTTCTGTTGTTACAGCTCCTGAGCAACGCTGTTTTTGACCATAACGGGTTATAGCCCTGCTGTAGAACTTTTCTGGCGAGCTCTGTGGTCTGTCTTCCTTTGTTTATATCATCTTGATGTTCCGCGATACGGCAAGCGAGCATTCTTGTCGTTGCCCCTATATACTTCTCAATTGTCCCCGTTATTGGATTTTCCAGTTGCACTGCGTATATTCCCGATTTTTCTAAAACGTCGACTTTATCCCGATCATTGCATATACTCCTGCGTAGGTTGGGTAGGGTAGTTAAAGGAAGAGTAAAGCTGTATCGCCGGAAAATACGGCTAATAAGTATGGACGGTGCTCCTAGGTACGGCAGTGCTGATTGTACTCTAGACATTTCTTTTTTGCTATGTAGTGTGGTAAACGGGAAAAGGGAATCTTTTACCCTACGTAGTACATGCGTAAATTTGGCACTTGTGAATCCAGCGTGATGTACTGCCGTTCTTACGATTTCCAGTTCGACTTTTATTAGAGCTTGCGATGAGGGAAGTAGCATCGCTCTTCTGATGAGAGCCGCTATGGCGGAATTGACATACCGCGATGGTTGAAATGCATCAGCTGGAATGATATAGGGGACTATGTTAGACTTATGATGCACCGTAAACTGCGGCCCTTCTATTGATTTCTGTATCCGCATATCCAAAAATGTTATAGATCGATCTTGCTCCTTTTCCCATGTGAAATTGATGGTGGAATGCACGCTTGAAAGTTGCTGCATAAATTGGATAAACTCCTCTTCTGAATTTTCCCATATTAGTAGAATGTCATCTACATAGCGCAAGTATAGTGATGGGTAGCACATAGCAAGCGGAACTTTGAAAATTTTTTGTTCCACGTCCCTCATAATGAGCTCGGCTAATACTGCTGAGAGAGGAGAGCCCATGGGGACTCCTTGCTTCTGTAAATATATTTTCTGGTTGAAGCGGAAATAGTTGTTTTCAGTGATAAAGATCAACGCTTCACGAATGTCTAGCACTTGTTGAACCGTAAAACCTTTTTCGAGGAGCATAGCGTTGGCTAGCATTACAGCTTCAAATACAGGAACGGATGGGTACAGGGATATCACGTCCATTTTGTAGAACATGCTGCTATTGCCATGTGCTTTTGCCATGTTGGAACTAATGATTGTTTTGGCATCCATAGAGGAAGGAGTGACATGCGGTGATTCTGGAAGTAGGTCTCGTAGAAACTTTGCAAGGGCTTTTTCTAGGTGGTAAGTGGGTATTAACGTTGAACTCAGTGCTTTTTATCAAGAAGGCTAAGTAGTCAACATATTTGACATTGCTAATGCCTGCCTCTTTACTGTCTTATAAAGATATTGCTCGGTAACTGTAATTTAATTTTGAATTACTGATGATGATATATCTAATATGTAAATAGAAAGTGGCCCAAAACTTACGAAAATAAAAATATTTCCATTTAGATCTAGCGATCTCGGAGTAGAAATTTCGAGGCTGATAGAAAGGTGCATAAGAGAATCTAAGTGCATCGATCTTGAATCTTTATGTATAGTGGCCAAAGAAAAGGTAAGTGACAAAATATAGTTACATTTAATAATAATATCAGGTATAATGTTGAGTTCAGTTTGTTTACAGTCGACCCCCCTATAATTACGGTCCCTATAATTATGATTCCTATAAAACTACAAAAAAATATACGTATTTTGGAAATGTTGAGTCGGATTAGTGTAGAATTGATTAATTTTATGGAAGAAAACCTTTCAATCAGCCGTAGTCCGTAAACTTGACACGTGTCGGGCTGTGATTGGAACGACTTGTAAGAAATCGGATTCCTAATAAATTGGAACGTATCTATATCTTATAGGGGGGTCGACTGTATTTTAATATAATAGCAGCAATATTGATTCTAGTGATGTGCTGGGTATCCATATCCGCAGATATACGAGGGGGAAAAAAGATCCATATCCATTATTTTTTAGCGGATCTTTAATGGATCTTTTATCTTAATGAATTTCATTACTTATATGAAATTTTAAAGATAGATAGCAATAAAATACTAATAACTTCAATTCAAATCACTTTTTATTTCTTAAAATCACATATTTGGCACATTCATATTGCAAAACTTTTATCATGTAAAATTCATTTACTATCGTAAAATATTTTCATATTACACTACTAGACTTTTTTGTTGACATTGTTTTTATTTTAATTTAACTCGACACTCTCCAAAAATACAAACGTAATCTACGCTATCCCGTGTTACACTAAACTATAAACAAAAACACGTGCAGTGTAAGTCAAAATACGTCGCGTTACTATCGCAAAGCGTCAACTATTGGTCCAAGGTCATACGCACCGGCGCTGACTGAGTACGAAAGTTGAGATCCGTATCCACGGATCTAGACACTAATGATCCGTATCTAGACACTAAATATCCGTATCCAATGCCATAGATGTTTTCTTTCCTTCCATCCTTACCACTTGGGGCCATTATAGGCCACTTGTGTCCTATATCCACCTGTATCCACGGATATACATTTTTAACGATCCTGCACATAACTAATTGATTACACGTGAAGTGAATTTTTGTCCTCTGGACCTTTAGTGTAGTCTTCTCTCTTTGGATAATCTTTTTAAAAAGTACTTCCATTCAAACACTTCTATTTGATGTCCTTCTAGAGATTTTTTTTATCTAGAACAATGGAAAATATGTGAAATTTCACAGAGTGCTTTTAATACACAATTGTCTTGGACAGTAAACTGTCCAAGACAATTGATACAGGACAAATTAGCATGCAATAACCGGTCAGTACATCCAAGTGTCAAATTAATGTATTAAATATGGTGTTTAATTTCCAAATTGTGCTTTAAATGGTCTAGATTCCCTTTCGAGTACAATTTTGTTTGAGTTTGTTTTAGTCTAGAATGAATATACATGCTGCAAAGTGTTGCATTCAAATTTGAATTATTTAATATTAAATAGAATCATATTTATTTTTAGAAATAAAATTGAAGATAAAGTCTGTTAAAAAAGAAATCATCATTTATTTACTTCCAGTGCTCTGGAATACAAACTTTTGATGACCGACTTTTCTCTATAAGCTACTTGGCTGTCAAAATTAAAATTTCCTTTAAAAACTCAAAAAAAAATTATCCAATTACAAAGACAAGTTTAAAAATTGGAACTGGCAATGCCATAGATGTTTTCTTTCCTTCCATCCTTACCACTTGGGGCCATTATAGGCCACTTGACGGCCAAGTAGCCTACAGTAATACCCCGAACTTACGCGATAGGTGGGACCGAGCAGTAACCGCGTTAGTCGAATTCGCGTAAGTTGGGGTATAATTTCGCATATAAATACATACAAATAATTTTTAATTGGGGCCGGAGACTAAAGAAAACAATAATTTAGAAAAAAATGTTTAATAAAATCTTAGATAATACATATGTATAACAAATTAGGCCTATATTATTTTACAATTTTTCACATTTACTTGATTATTACACCATAATTTTAACATTGTTTCCATCTCAGCGATAATACTGTGACGTTTACGAATGATGCTTGAATTTAAAGATTGAGCATTTTTCACAGCTTCGAGAATTTTTTCTTTGCCTTTTATAATTGTTCTGACCGACAATTCCGGTAGATCAAACTTCTTTGCCAATTCACAAATTTTCATTTTTGTATCGAAGTCTTTAATAATGGGTACGTTCGTAAAGTCAAACGAGTTAAACGCGTTAGTAACGAATCGTTCGAAAAGTCTAACGAAATAGGAATAACGATGACTTCATTCTCGCTTAACTCGTTCGACTTTACGAACATACCCAATGTTAACTTTACATTCCAAAGATAAAGTTTTTCTTTTCTTGTTTGATGCAGAAGAATTAGTTCTACTTCGTTTGGATGACATAGTAGAGTCTCTCGAGTCTCCGTAGATATAACAAACACAAAATAAATTGTAGCTATGTGTGGATTTGGCGCGACACGTCCGAACATGTAAGCCGAACAATAGTGTGGGGGGAGTGAGTAATCGAGGGTTGCGTGGCGCTCAAACAAAAGACGAATCGACGAGATTTGAAAATCGCGTAACTCCGGGTTCGCGTAAGTCGGGGTATTACTGTATAAAGAAAGGTCGGTCATCAAAAGTTTGTATTCCGGAACACTGAAAGTGAATAAATGGTGATTTCTTTTTTAACAGACTTTACCTTCAATTTTATTTTTAAACTTAATTGCCACCCGACGGAATTCTACAATTGTACTTGTATTTTATTAATTTGATTTTTATTATCCATTCACTTTTTGTACATGAATTTATTAATTAAATTTTCAGGTGTGGGCAATTCGTGTTGATCTCCATTTGATAAATCATGACGGTAACATCACCGAATGTGCCAGTATTGCCGCGGTGGCGGCCCTCAGTCATTTTCGGTAAGTTGCATTTGTTTAAATTTGGATACCTTGAGAGATTCCGTCTCACTTCTGAAAGTAACAAACCGATATCTCAAAAGACGGTTTGGATCTTTTGGCTATTTTGTTTAAAAATCTTTCAATAAAGATCTTTATAAAATCTTCAATTTGTTAAAAGTTGATCTTCATTCTTGTTTGTCTTAATGTTGTCAATAAATTCAACATCTCACATAATTTAACAGGTAATGATTTTGGCTGTTTGTATGGCAAGATCTAAAATACATACACGCTGACTCTGTTGTACAGAGTCGGCACGGGCACGTTTAGACCGTATATCTGATCGTAACTACTTTCATTATGTATCGTCCAACTCGTAGAGACAGATCAATACGAGCGAGGGACAAGAAATGCAAACTCAATCCTTACTAGCAATAGGTTACTAAGGTCTGGATTAGGTTCAAACTAGAATTTTTCAAAACAAAACTCTATGTACAGAAAAGGCTTTTATCAGATTATTACTTTCAGAATAAATTTAATACGGTAGAGTCCCGCTAGTCTGAACCAATTGGGACCGAGCCCTGTTTGGATTAGCCGAATAATTGAAATAATGCAGAAGCAAACAGTAAAACAGGTCCAATTTATATAGATCTAACACCATCAATGACTTTTGTTTCTGTTTTTCTGTGTAAGTACTGTATACATCTGCTGTTTTAATATGCCATGTCAAACACTGATTTATTAATTTTGTACAGTATTAATACAATAAAATACAATTTCTTTTGTTGTGGAATTCTAAATATTTTTGTACCATTAATACCATTTAAAACATATATTTTGTGAGCTAAAAAATTTCCTCTCCACGACTGAAACATGTTTGGATTAGTGGGACTCTATTGTATTTGATTTAATTAAACAAAAGTAGGTTGTCATTAATTTTCTAAATTTATATAAAAAATAGATTGCAGTCTCATGATTAATTTAATTGCTTACCTCTAGTCAAATTACTTTATATCTAATTATTATTATAGCTCACGGATAATCAGGCATTAATTAAAATTGGACTATTGGATTTGTTACATTTGTACATAAATAATGCCATACATGAGTTGAAGCATCATTGAAATGAAGCTCGACAAGAATTTTTACAACCTGTTTCTCCAGAGGCGAGGCAGATTCAACACACAATTCCTAACAAAAACATAAATTCTAATTTTATATATTTAATAAATATTTTACAAAATTTTAAATTTATTTCTTTTGAACAGGAGACCTCATGTTTCTGTTGTGGGAACAAATGTCATTGTGGTATGTTACCTTAAAATAAACTTCTAGATTTTAATTTTATAATTTATAATAAGTATTTCTGGAATATTTCATATAATTTGTATTAAGATTTTTAAAAGAAAGTTTATCTTTCACAAGACTGATTGAAAAAAAAAAAATGGAAATAAATATCATATTTTAGAAAGCTTCACTTTCAATAATTAACTCAAAATTTAATTGTGTAATGGTCAATGTTCATTCGTCAAAGATACATTACATTTTTAATAATTAATTACTATTAATATACGTTTGATAATTTTTCAACACTGGCACAGTTAAAGTGAGGCAGTTTTCTTTTATCTTCTTGCTCGTACCAAGCAATCAAATGAAAGTAGAACACGTGAGGAATTTGCGAATGCCACAAGCCGGCCATGCTCGGGTCAACGTTACCAAATTCCTCACACTACTATCATTTGATAATCCGATACATTAAGAGAAGGCAGCCAATGGGGAAAAGGTCAGAGTCTGCGTCTAGCACAAAATGTAACACAAACTTGGTTCTGGCAAATGAAAATTCTGTAACTTTCTGAAAATAACTTAATGTGTTTCTGTAATGGATCATCAAGAATTTTTAAAAAATGGAGATAAGCTTAATATAGTTTGTATTACAAATTTGTGGTCCTGTGACTTAATACAAATTTCAGTAAGATACAAAGTATCTTACTGAAATTTAATTTATAACAACAGATATTAATTACTAAAATCTGACAAATAGTTTGATTGCTCGTCTCCTGCAATACCGATGGCTAATAATTATATTTGGCTCGTCTTGCTCCTAATTTTGCTGCCAACACTTGCGGACATGATTTAATACCACAATGCGGTATCGACTTTCTGTTTTTCGGGCACTAAGTGGCCCTTTAAACGTACCGACGATGGGTCTGGTGGACTGTCTACAAAAATGTCTGAATTGGCCCAGGCCTCCCCGGCTGTCGAATAAATTCGTGTGAAAACTACTATTTCTGTAATTTTATTTTAAATTTTAAAACTATTAACATTATTTACATTTTTGTAAGAGAAGTTTTTGTATTACAGTAGAGCATCGATTATCGAAATGTCAATTAACCAAAAGCTTTTCGGTAGGCAAATTTAAATTTCCACTAATGCTGCCACACTGCAATCTTTGGCTATGTCTTGGGCTACTGCAATATTATTTTTGTTGGTGTGCAGGTTTTAGCTGGCAGCACTGGCGCAACCACAAGAGGGTACTTAAGGATGTGCCAGGATTTGAACAAATTTAAACGTGGGATAGGTTAATATATTTTTTCGTACGTATTTGGTTATCCGAACAACCCAGTCCCCAATTGATTCAGATAATCGATGCTCTACCGTATTATTATTACGTTGTCTAATTTAATTTTTTAAAAATTAGCATCCTGTCGAAGATCACTGTCCCGTGCCTCTGCGAATAAATCATCTGCCATTTTGTATAACGTTTGCTATTTTTGAACAAGGGTAAGTGTGTTTAAAAAAAGACTGTTTATTATAAATTGCTGTATCGATTCCGACTGACATCGCTTTGATATTGCTATTGCCCTATTTGCCTTTGTGAGAAAAGATTTTGTGATAAGTAATGAACATTTTCACATTTTGCTAAGAATGATAGAATTTACAATCTTATAAAATATTTTTTTTTTCTGTAAATCAAAATGGTCAAATTGTACATTTCTGCACAGTTATATACAAAATAATAACATTGTCATGAGGCAATGTTTTAATATTCTGTTGAGCAATGTTAATGTTACAATATAAATTGTTTGGAAATATTCTGTTTCCTGTATTTGAGGAAAAAGTGAGAGGTTATGATTAGTTTGACATTTATTCTTTAAGATTTTCAAGTATTAAAATAGAAATCTATTGTGGTATTATAGATAGCTATTGATATCTATTGAAATCTATAGTGGTATTATAGATAGCATATTGTGGTATTATAGATAGCTATTGTGGTAGTATAGATGCACTCCTTTAAATTTGGACCGATAATTTCGTTATCTTTTCAGTGCCCAGGTGCTGGCCGACCCCACCGACCTGGAAGAGCGTCTGGCGGACGGCAAAGTGGTGGCGGCCATGAACGGCCTCAGAGAAATCTGCCTGTTGCACATGAACGGTCTTCTCGCTCTGACGAAAACAAAGGTGACGTCTCAAACGGAATTTCGACGAGAACCGTCCGATAACTTAATTAATCTTTAAATATTGTTTTAGTTATTACAGTGTACAAATTTGGCAGCAGAAAGAGCTCAAGAAATCACAAAATATATGAAAGAATCACTAGAAACAGAAAAGTAAGAAAGATTAATTTTATTAGTTTTTACAAGAAATTAAATATTCCAAGTCTATATTAAAGTTTGACTATGTTATGCAGTGTATCATACTATAAGATTGCCCAAAAATTAGTTAAACGAGACACATTTTAAGAACTTAAAATCAACTTTAGAATTTTGATTGGTTTGAATTTAGTTACAGGGAATTAACACACAGTTGTTTCAAATTAGTGTTAACCAAAATAAAAATTTAAGAATAGTTAACTAAATTTTTACCCACCCTGTAAGTGTCGGTTTCCTATTTGATTAATAATTATTGCAATGATATTGTGATTTGCTATAGAAATCATTGTAGGTATAATATATTGCTATACAAAATGGAGATAATCTGTTTGTTTTAGCAGACAAGACCATCTGTGCATCGGCCCATCATCCCAATAATGATGTTGACATGTTGAACAGTTTAATCAGTGGAGCGGTTTCCAAATCTTTAGCTGATAGTGTTAGTCACATTCGACGAGAGGTTTCAGAGAAGGTTGGATCATTGATAGATAGCAAAGTGAATAAAATCTTGGACACTGCAAAAACCACTATTCCTACAAGTTTACTGACCTTCTCTTACAATGGTGTTGCTGCTAGGACTAACATAACAAACATGAAAATTAAACAAAAAACGCTACAAAAACAACCACATTTCAGTGCTGGCACATACGCTGTTCTTGTGTTTCCAAAAGAGAACATTAACATTAACCAAGATGAAATTAGAAATACACTCACAACAAACATAAAACCGAACCAGCTAGGGAATTCTGTAAAAGCACTTCGAAAAATTAGGAACAACAGAGTTTGTATTCAATTAAATATAAAAAAATGACTGTGACAAAATGGTGGCTGCCATTAACTCGGTAAAAACATTAACAGATAGGTTAGACATTAAATACTCGGCAGCCAAACAACCAAAGGTTATTCTGTTAAATGTCCCGGGCAACGCTGTCACTAGCAACTTCATTGAGGAACTATACAACCAGAACACTGCAATAAATACCGCACATACTCTTCAGGATTTTTAAGACTCTTGCAGTATTCTTTCAAAAATAAACTGCAACATGACAGACACTTCTAGACTACATGTTGTCCTTCAGGTTACTTCTAGTATTAGAAACATGCTAATCCAACAGCAGTATGTTAGTGTGCAATGGGCAACGATAGCAGTAGATGATTACATCCCTCTCACATGCTGTTACAAATGCTGTGGTTATGGCCATCTAGTTAGTAAATGCACAGAAAAACAATATTGTAGTCACTGCATGGGCAGCCACAGCTACAAGGTTTGCCATGTCCACAGTCAGGAACCATGCTGTGTAAATTGTGCAAAGGCCAATAACACACTACTAGAAGGGAGCAAACATAAGACCACATATACCACATTCTCTCAACAGTGTCACAAAACCAAATGCATGAAAACAAGCTGCCAGTAGGATCAGCTAGGACCCCTTCACAATACAAACACAGGCAGCAATAAACTCATACAGATTAATGCATAGAAATGCAAAGCTGCCTGTTCCCTCCTCATTCACACTTCCAATGTACAAGATACAGACATCATCATGATCCAAGAGCCTTCACTATTAACAACATGATAGTCAGGTTCAATGATTGGAAAGTCTAACCAGCTCAGGACCCTGGCTATCACATCAAGGCTGGTATTATCATCAGGAACAAAAACATTACTGCCTGCCTTGTCTTCCAACACACCACAGAATACATTACCATCGTCTGTGTTACAGACAATAAAACTCACCTTTACATATGTTCTGAGTACATTCCAGACTCTACTAACATTGAGACGGCCATAGAAGACATTCATCACCTCCTGAAATCATACAAAGATAAACCTATCCTAATAGGAGGAGACTTCAATGACAAGTCTGCACCTGGCATAGTCCAAAAGATGATCCTAGGGGTAACATAGTTAATGAAACCATGGCCCAGCACGACTTACTCACCCGAACACCAGCACTCTTCCAACTTACTCCTGTACCACGGATTGACCTAACATTAGGAAACAGTCACATCATTCCTAGGGTCAACCACTGTTACACTACCAATATAGATTCTGCCAGTGACCATAGGTATATCTTCACCCAACTGAACACCACTAATAATACTAATAATCATAGTTTTCACTATACTCACACTAATTGACAGTTATTCCAAGACACCTTCAATAACATTTGGGCTGGTATCCCTCACCATAGTCACTATACTCAGGATACCATAGACCATCTTGTCACCAGGCTTACAAATACAATCACTAACTCTTACATTATTGTCTCTGAGCTCAAACATTGTAAACACAAAAAAGTTTCTTGGTGGACCACTGAGCTAGAAAACAAGAAAAAAGTAGTTAGGAGATTAAGGAGGCAATTTAGAAATGAACAGGACCCAGACATTAAAGTCACACTCACAGATCAGTACAGGCACGAACACAATGCTTTCAAAACCCTTATAAATAAAACAAGGACAAACACTTGTGGCTGCAATTCCTGGTCAGAATCGTACTACTTAGCTTGTAAGGAAAAACACCAGCTCCAAACCCCCTCCACTATCTAGCTCTCCAATGGTCACTACACTAACAACATGGAGGAAACTATCACCTATATTCTCACTAGTCTTTACCTTTCAGTACACAAGACATCATCAGAAGTTCTATACTCACTCTGCCTAACACAGACAATGACAATAACTTCACCTACATCGAGGTTTCAAATGCCATCCGTTTGCTCACCGATAACAAAGTCAGGCCTTGATGGCATAGCCACTAGAATGATTAAACATGCATTTGAGGCCAATCCTACAGCATTTGTAATTCTCTTTAATATCTGCTTGAACGCTGGCCTTTTTCCTACTCAGTGGAAAAAGGCTAGTGTTAAATTGATTCCCAAACCCACCACTGCTGACACAAAAAATGCGGACCGATCTGCCTTCTCCCAAAACTGGGAAAAGGCAGATGGTCTAATGATTAATATGATCATTTGGCATCTATGCTAGCATAGAGCCCTGCATCAGAATCAGTTTCGCTTCTCTAAAAACAAAGGTACAGTAGATGCCATCCATCAGGTTGTTAATTACATCCACCAGGCTAAACATAATAATCAGCATACGGCAATAATCACTATTGACATTAGAAGTGCCTTTGATCACGTCTGGTGGCTTGCACACATTACATGCTCATCACTGCCCTCAAAATATTTACAAACTTCTTCAATCCTATCTTAGCGACAGGAGTGCATGTGTTTATACAACACAAAATAACATAATCATACCCATCACTCGAGGCTGTCCTCGGGGATCCAGGACTGGTCCTGGTCTCTGGAAAGTAGCCTATAACTCTATTCTGCACTTAAATGACACACTGCCTCCTGTCTGCCACATACAGGGCTATGCAGACAACACAATTATCCTAGCTTCATGCAGGAACAGTGAATGCTTACAGGACATATGCAACAACATTCTCAATAACATTCACCAATGGAGTATTATGCATAGGCAACCCATTAACACTGACAAATGTGAAAGCATGATAGTTGGTAGGAACGCGCCACTCGTCAGGAAGCTTACCCTTCGAATAGTTGCTCACAGAATAAAGCAAACAATGGAAATTAAATATTTAGGTACTATTCTTGACAAGAGACTTAACTTCACACCCCACATCAAATACATCACGGACAAAGCTAAAAAGACAGCCAACGTCCTCATTAATAATGCTAGGAACACATGGGGCCTTGGCCTTAACGCTACTAAGCTTATTTACAGGGGTGCAATTCATCCGGCACTCCTCTATGCCATACAGGTCTGAGGTCATGTGGCCACCAAAGTTCAAAGGATTGCAGCTCTATTGGCCTAGAAATTAAATGCATTATTTGGCAGGAAAATCTCACCACCTTACCCTGGATGTTGACTCGGATGTTGACAAAATGATTAGAGTAGATAAGATTCTCTCCAGTTTGACCTTGATCGATGATATAAAAAAATTCAGCATCAACAAAATTACCCTTCTAACTTACTATTACCACCCCTCCTGTCAGCTTGCCCCTGACATTTACTTCGAAGATCCATGTTTAGGATTTACACTTATGGTTCCAAGATGGGTGACAAAGTGGGTGCTGCTTTTGTAGTTTACTTCAACTTAGGCCACGAGCTTCATAACGCTTGCTTCCATCTAGGTACACACTGCTCAATAGCACAGGCAGAAACTTTAGCTATTTATATGAACTTAATTCACATTAGGCATAAGAAGGATAAAAGACACTAATTACACTATTGCATTTATTCTGACAGTAGGGTAGCTTTACACAGGATTGTGAAGTCTGATAGCTGCTTAAAACTCGTTATCTCATATACAACATTCTCAAACATTTAGACAACAACACTAGAATAGATTTCCAAACAAGCTGCAAAGTCTTCAGTCACTAGTGCTTTCAGTTACATTCCTACCTCATACATCAACAATCACATCAAGAAGCAAATCTTCATTTTCTGGCAAGACAACTTGACCATGACACCACTGGTAGGCGTCCCCAAGGTGGACACTACTTGTGATTCTTTGCCACTTTTACCCTAGTTACACCCTCACTCAGCTACTTACAATACATAGAAACTTTAAGCAATACTTGCATATATTTAACTTTGGAGACAATCCACAATGCAATTGTGGTATTCAGAAAGACCAAACACCACTTCATTGAGTTTTTTGCTGCAATAGGTACAATCACATTAGGGATAGTTTAATGAGAGCTACTATTTTCAAAGGGTACAACTGGCCTTGCAACCCCATCTACTCTCACATTCATAGTGGGACTCTTGAGAGCACTCACTCTGGAGGCACGGATGGCAATTAGCTTACCCTTGCTTTGTTTCAAAAATAAATCATTCAACTGTCGATATATAGCTGTCTTTCAACTTTGTATTTTAATTCTTATTTTCATTCTAAATTTTGTTTAAGTTAGTCCTAGTTGTTAGATTAAGGACTCAGTTAGGTTATGATAGGTTAGGTTAAATTAGATTAGGGTTTGTTAGCTTTAGTTGTCTGGTTAAGTTCATCCTAGGTTATGGTAGATTAGTTTAGTTAGTAAGTTAATGTTTATAAAAATAAAAAAATTGGGGTCTTGCTTGTCTGTCTAGCTGTTAATAGCATAAGTAGATATGTCTTCCTATTAACAGCCACTTGGCACTAACTTCTGCACTTAGCTATTTGTGGCTACACTCAGGTTTTCTTTTAGACCCTTTGAGGGACTACAGCCTTGCAGCCTAAAAACTGCATGCCAACATCAAACATAAAGGATACAGTAGTCATATGTACGCTATTCAGAGGGATCCCACCTTTCTCTACTGTTTATCTCCTCTTCCCCTTACCCTCTTTTCCACTGGCTAAACACCTTGTGTACGACTGATGTCTTTCATGTATGTATATATATATAAATACATGAAAGACATCAGTATATATATATATACTGATATATATATACAGTATATATATATATATATACAGAATTGGAGGCAAGATGTGCAAATTCAGTTTGATGAATGCTTCTGGCTTATTTACTGTTTGGTGGATAGAACAATCATGCATTTCTTCTTTTTATAATAATCAAAATGGCAATTATGCCACAGTTTTGTCTGATTATAATCTTGATCATTTTATCTTTAGGACGAACACAAGAAAGGGATTCTCAGAAATATTAAAAACCGACACCATACTCGGAGCGTACTACCAACCGACTCCCCTACACGTACAGCTCATGAAAGAGACCATGGAAATCGACAGGGAAGAAACCGATAAAAATGAAATCCTCATTCATCTCAAGGTAACAAGATTCAGTTACAGTTTGTACATAACGTATTAATAAATATGTATCACATTTGCAAATGGTATTTTGACTTTCTTTCTTTTTTTGACAGGCTCCGGGCATTGCCACGCTTGGCGAAGACGGCCCAAGTAAATGGGGAATAATTCATTCCGGAGCTGAAGGAAAAGAGGATGAAACTTCGGGCACAATTGCCTGTTCCGAATCAACGTCTGACATGGACAAAAGTATGTAGGTAAAATATTTGAGTCACAAATTTGTTTTCATTAAATTACACAAAGAAATGTTTTTATTTTTGAAGCTCAAGAATCTGGCAAAAGTGATGAAGAGGACAACATAACTATTCTGAAGCCAAAGGAAACAGATGAAATGTAAGTAGTCGGTTATTTATTGTAAACATACCAGGTAGTCAAAAATAAACTAAATTTTTTGCACAGTTTTTATTACTCTATACAACCCTTCTTTCCACAACAACACACTTTAGTCAATGTCTTGTAACGTGTCCTGGAAACCATTCTTGCAGACATTATGAAGAGCTTGTGTTGCTGCATTTTCTATCTTTGCTGTGAAACTGAATCCTTGACTTTTTGGTTCTTCTTTCATCTTATGAAACAGGTGAAAGTAAGGTGGTCAGGGAAGGACTGGTATGCTGTGACCAATGCACAACAGTAGAACCCAGTTGTTTCCTTGCTGCAGAATGAACCATTTTTGCAAACAGACTCATTTTGTCCTTTCAGAATTTCCATGTTCTTTGGCTCCCATCCTCTGTAACTATGTAATGCATGCAAATTGAAAAGTTTTGGTTTATTTCACTCTACTAGTAGAAAGATGACATTATGTGAGTTTTTCTGAAGTATTGCATTATAACTTATATGGTGGTTCCTGGGCAATCAATGACAAACTTTTGACATCCCCAGAAGCTTGGTGCCATGCCGATCGCGAAGTATAACATGGCAGCTTCATTAACCTTTCAAAGCTCATGCAAATGACAATCAACAATGGATTATGATATTTCCAGTTAATTAGGTAGTCTTTAATTGCTTGTGCCTGGATTTGAAACAACATGGTTTTAAAACAATGGATTCTGAAGCTTTCTCTTCCATGCATAGGATTCCAGATTTGAAATGCTTATACCAGTATTGCACAGTTCTTTTGAAGACAATACCCAAATTTTCCACTGCTGCAGCCAAAGGTAAAGGTTTTTTGAAGAAAAATCAAAGATATACTTGAATGACAAATTTTTTTTCCCTTTTCAAGTCAAATGAAAAGCTTTGCAACTTACATTTTGATCTCAGTTGTCCTACTGAGTTATGTACAATAGATTACTAACCAAATGATATTCAAATTACAATAAAGGAACACACGGAAAAGTCGTAATTGACCAATAAGCATTGCCATTACAGAACCATGGCATCTTACGACTTGCCCTCTGCACTTGACATTTAATTTTGCTACTAAGGCATTGTAGAAATTGCCTTTTGCACTGCTAAACGATTTCTCTTTCATGCTTGTCTTTGCCAGGTTGTATGTACAAGTATAGAATTTCTGCAGTTGCAATGAATGGGACTCCTTTTCAAAATGTTTGGTCATTAATACCTTATTGTGCCATAAGAGACAACTATATTGCTATGGCCACACCCAAACATAGGTGCAAGGACCAACTACTCTCACTTCCTCAGCAGTTTACTTACAAATATAATCGAATACCAAACAATTTGCTGAGCTTATTATTAATTTACTGTTCAAACGTTTTCAGCCTACTTCTAATAGGCCATCCTCAAGACATTACTGTTCTACAATCGAATACAAAACTTTTGAATAAATTTTAAATTTAAACTTTTAACATATTTTTAAACATCTTTACAATAAACTGTAAACTATTAAATACTTAACTAAAAATTTTTTTTAAACATATAACAAAAAATATACATTAATTATATAGTATGTTTAAAAAAAATTTTTAGTTAAGTATTTAATAGTTTACAGTTTATTGTAAAGATGTTTAAAAATATGTTAAAAGTTTAAATTTAAAATTTATTCAAAAGTTTTGTATTCGATTGTAGAACAGTAATGTCTTGAGGATGGCCTATTAGAAGTAGGCTGAAAACGTTTGAACAGTAAATTAATAATAAGCTCAGCAAATTGTTTGGTTTTCGATTATATAGGTGCAAGGACCATCTTGATAAAGTTGCCATTTCCTAAAATATGTTGAAAAGTCCCCAATGTCTTGTTGAGGCTTCTCCCGCTTAATTCAGTGTCGAGCAGGTCTGAGGTTGCTTCTTCCTTCCATCCCTTAGATCTCATGCCAACATCAGAAGTGGAATGTTTTTCTGAGGCAGACCTCACTTTATTTTATGGCCTTGGCAATTGTTTAGTCAGGTAACAACCAAAAATGCTTACTAAGCAATGCAGAAATATTTATTAGAGCTGGTCATTATACATGGCAGTTACAGTCAGACACATGCCGTCAAAAATATCTGATGTAATTTGGATTTCAACAGCAAAGTCGGGCCAAACCTTCCCTTCCATTCTCAGTCCGAATTCCTAGTCCTTTGTTGCCATTGGTAACCGATTGGCATAAAAGCCAGTCGGTCCATTTTCACTAATTCCCGAATAACCTTAGGTCTTTGGATGACAAGTCTGGTCTCATAGAATATATTGTAATGCAAACCCTTTTCCAGGATAGTGCTGTTGTTTCTATTGATATTTCTTTAATTAAGCTGAGAATTAATGAATTGTCAGAAAATTTTTTATGTCAAGATCTGACATTTACAATGAAGTTCAGAGTCATAGTGAAAGCAAAATTCTTAAATGTAAGGATGAAATAATAGAGTATCACACTAAGTTTCACTTAGATACAGATTTAAGGAAATCTTAATGACTGGCTGTATCCAAATCCTATTCTTTGTCCTTCCAGTTCTTGTCGATTGCCATTGTCCTCGACCATCATTGTGACACTGCTGTGTTTCATTAAAGCTTAAAACTGCAGATTTAGGTGATAAAGAAACTTAAAGTAGTTAAACAGGGGGGTGAAATGCCATTGAATACTTGTGAACAGATCTTCCCCATAGAAAAAGAACAAAAAATTTTCTTGCAATTTGCTATGCAAAACTGTATGCTTAACTATAATATAAATTTTCGTCTACAAGTATGTTTTTTTCTAATATCAGGATTTATTATACTGGCTTTACAGATAATACTACAGAGTTTCACAGAAAACAATTTTTTTATTTTTATTTAATATACCTAAAACAAAAAATTGTTTTCTGTGAAACTCTGTAGTATTATCTGTAAAGCCAGTATAATAAGTCCTGATATTAGAAAAAACATACTTGTAGACAAACAATATTTTTAATAATGTATGCTTAATTAAAATGCCTCAATGTCCTTGACTTACTATAATATAAATTTTTAACTCGTATCTGCAAATTATTATTGCCAAATTGTGCGGCTCTTCTCAGATACTCCAGTTCGGCAGCGCTCTAATTTTAGAGAGGAACAATTAGCAGAGTTGAATAATATTTCAATTTTGTTCCCCTAGAAGTGCACGTGTGATTGGCTTAAAATGACAAAATGCAAAGCATTGTGTGTAAATTGATTTAGTGAAATTGCATGAGAGCCTTTGTCATGTATCTAAATGTTCTTGTTATTAGGCTTAAATTATTTAAAATAATCTTAGACATAAAATTGTTCTATAATGAATTGATTGGGAGGAGTCAAATCTAGTATTTATAGCATAATTATATACCTTTAAGACCTGATTAATGCATTTGAATTATACTAGAGGACGAAACTCCATGCTTTGCCCACTCACTCCAGTAGACAACAGATACCTAGTGTGATTTGGTCTCACATTGATAACTTATTCCATTCAGTGAACAAGTACATTTGTGTGACATCCACAAAAATTACTATATTAACTGTCCTGATTTAGTTCTATTAAAGTTTAACGTCCCAACTTTTATTTGTTTTACACCATACTGCATTTGATTTTACAGAGATACCAGCAGTGACGAAGAAGTGGATCTGACAAAAGCCATTGCCAAACCATCCAGGCAGTGGTATCCCAAAGTTCCCTTTTAGTTTATTCTTCTGCATCTGAAATCAAAGCCTAAAAAGTGTACATAAAGTCATTAGGAAGTTAATAAACACTCGTCCATACAATTAGTTTTCAAATATATTTGAAAGTCTGTTTATTTTTCTTAAATTTTCACTACAAGAAACAAAGACGACTTCATCTACTGCAAGTTTTACAACTATTTGACAATTCTTTCTAATTTTAATTAAATATGTCAAGATTTGAGACACAAAAAGAATATTGACAAACGAATCAACAAAATCTCCGAATCCTTGGTCGCTACAAAGAAAGTAGTAAAGACTAAATTGGAATTCGGTGACTAGATGCACATCCGTCGTCTCGTGCGTGGAATTACGAATGTACGTTTCGGGAATCAAACAATTTTAAATTGCTTATCTTTAAAGAAATTCTAGTCACCAAAAATCGAAGGAGACCGAAAGGAAGAGTACGCACGCGTACACGTATAAAAACATTCCGACAGCTTTTAAGCTTAGTGACGGGAATAAAGCACATTCTTCGATTTCTAAGACATTCTATCGATTCGCTTTCGGAGCAGGGCACGTCGACGTTTTTTCCTCCCCTGGAAAATTTAAGATGCGGCGGGCATTTCCTCTAACAAAAATAAAGGTCATTCTCGCATCTTATGTACCTCCACTTTCTTTTTAAATTTTGACATTTTTAGAGAAGAAATAAAATACGTTATTTACAATTTATAGAGAATTATATTACATTAGTTGTAAAATCTAATAAAAATTTATTATATATATATATGTATATATAAAATATGTGCAATTCACAATGACTATTTGCATAATATACATGTTTTGTATATGCCCTCCTCCATTTTCTTTTTGTTGTTGAAAAATTTCATCATACAGTAAAACCTGTATAAAATTTTGAGGGACAATAAATTTCATTTTATTTGAAGTTTGTATGTATATATGTATAGAATTTTGTTTTTTCTTTCAAAGAATCCAAAAAAAAAAATCCATAAAAATCGTGCGGTTTTGCTCCGATTTTTTTTTAATTTTATGATTGGCAAAGGTCACGATATTCAACATTGTTTTACAGATTAATTTTTGCATATTTATTAGCTGATATATTGCAATTTGTGAAGAAATGCAATGGATCTATGCTAAAGTGCATTGAATGGTCATCCAGTTGAAGGACGAACAAAGACCATTTAAAGGGTTGGTGTCTACAAAAGCCGGACCTTCTTGGCAATTTTAAGTAGAAAACACATACAATATTTAATTATTTCGGCTCAGTTTATTTACTCTGAGTTGTTTATATATATATATATATATATATAAATGGGAACTATAGTTTATTGTTAAACATTTTAATAGTTAACTTAAAGTAACTAATTCAAAATTAACATGAGTGTGAACAAAATTAATAATCTCTTATTTCAGAAAAATTATTCGTCATGGGTTTTAAAGCATTGCAAAGTTGTGCTCAATGATAAAAAAAAAGTCAAAAGACTGCTTAAGGGAGATCTCCATTCACATAGTGTGCATGTAAAAAATAGACTCACTCTCTCGAATAATTAATAAGAAATATCTTTGGGCAAGAGACTCATCTGTTCTCACAATGAGTACAAAGTTGAAATTTAAGAAAATTATCGTCTATAAATGATGTTGCATTCCTTACAATCAGATGATTTAGGATAAAGACATAGGAATAAGTAACAAATGGAAAAACACTTGTAAAGAAGTTTCTCTATTCAAAGATGCCATATGGCTTAGAATAATATTTACATATAATTTTAAGTGGTAGTCACTAATGAAAAAAAGCATAATCTCTTTTGAATATGTTCATGTATATGTTGCGCATGAAAAATAGCAATCTTGATGCCAAAAAATATGGCACAAAACAACATGCCAAGCTTCCCTAATGAAATTTAAACACTTTCAATTAAGCATTATGATCTCCTGGAGTAAAAAAAAACTGTACTTGATCAATGCTTTTGAGACTCGGGAACACTTCCAGAACACAAATTTAAAACTGACGTTGTAGAAAAGGTCCGAACGATCTAGAAAATAATCAAATAACAAAAGTTTGACTTTTTAAAACAGGTGAACTATAATACTTGATTCAGTCAAAAAGAAACCAGAATTATTTTTCTGGAAAAACAGAACTTGGCTGGTATGTGGGAGCCTTGACTATTAATATTTTGAATATGTTCACAGCCCTGCTACAACATAGCAGCATGGGGAAGCCACTCCAGAAAATGACATCCATTGGTGCAAGTCTGTCAAAAGAGGGATGGCATTCGGTCACTGAATTGCCGACATTAAGAGAAAGTTAAACCCAATGAAATTCATCATCATTGGTAACTGTTTGTGACAAGAATATGTTGTCAAAAATACAAGTCTGAATGGGTCGAGAGGTTTCATGCAGGATGATAATTGGTATCAGGCAATTTGCAAGACAGCAGACCAAAGCTGGCCATCGCAGATGCTAACTCTGCTGCTGGAAATGCCTCGATCCAGTGTAACCAGTCCATCACTATCGGTAAAGCTGCCCAGTTTGCAGATTAGCCACAGCTTGGCATATCCAATAATGCATGATGTGCTTAACTATAGAAATCAGATGACATACAAGAAGGGATTGTGGGATGGGTTCACAAGCTGCCAAGCTGCCAAGCTGTTTTTATGAGAAGGGAATAAGACTCCTTGTGGAATTAGCTATAAAATAGAGAGTATGACACATCCACTGGCTAACATAAAGGCCAATTTGTTTGTAAGTGTGGCACGTTCTGGTATAATATTGTTGCAGCAATGGGTATTGATGAACAGAGTTTTTCAACCGTTTTCTAATAATGACATCCCAACTTGGTAATTTTGTTTTCTTCTAGCACCTCTGAAGTGTTGTCTAGGCATCCTGGTTGGGGATGGTTAGTCACATAACCTATTTTTACCATGCAGAAAAAGTATTGTCACGCAACAGCCAATAGGATAGGAATGTTTGAAGAATGTCACCAATACGGAAACCAATGATGCGCAGTGTGGATGTTTGCATCAGAGACATTATTTTGGAAAACATAGCAAAAGAAATGAAAAGCAACAAGTACTTTTGATCAAACTGTTTACATTTTCTTTTGCATTTCCTTCTTGGCTAAACTGTTTATTTTGCCAAATGGCTTGTAACAGCTAAAGGTAATAAAGCAATAGCTAAACTATATCTGCTATCAGATAACGTGCCATACTGAAATGGCTGGACAAATACAGGTAATGTGGAAAGACTAAGTCTCACTCACAGTGTCATGAAATTCCTAAAAGTTTCACTTTCATTTGATTATCCTGCACTGTCAAGCATTGACTTCATGATCTTGATATAACAAATTTTGGGAACAGATCAAATCTGTTCATTCTAAGGCATCCATTGGAGTGAATTTAGTGTTTGAGAACATCAGACTAACTGTTAACATGTAAAATGTCTGCTAGGCAGCATATTGACAGTTATTGCTTACATCCATGCTTATAAGTATGTTTCCATCTTATGTATGAATGTTGGTAATCACGATGTCTTTGGACATAACAGACAATCAGTATTTTTGAGGGCCGACTAAAATTTCACAAACATTTTGGAATGGTATTACATCATTAAAACACAATGAGTTGATTTTTCTTCTTTAAATTAAAGAGTGCAACTGAAAATCCATTTACACTACATGTACTGTACAACAGCTTGCTCTTGTAAACAGAGGTGTAACTAATATATGAAATATGAAATGTATATAAACAACTGATGTGGTGATGTGATAATGCACCAATCTTCAATTAGTTGCATAGTTAAAAGCAAAAAATATTATTTAGCACTAATGTAACATAAACAAAATGTGCTATATCTATTAGAGATCCAATACCAAAATCTGTTTTTACCAAAGAAAATGCAGGATGTGACACTAATTCTTAGTCAATAAATCATTAAACAGTTTATAGATCTGAGGTAATGGTTGAAAAAACAGTGATGCAGTTATAATTTCTAATAATTTATTAAATAATTTAGAACCATCTGGAAGAAAAGAATTAGCCTGGAGCAAGGAGATGATGGTGCCTGAATCTGTCTTATGTAACAGAAATACAATAGCAGAATGCAGTTAGAAACATGCAAGAGAAAAACAAATTAGGCAAATGAAGACAAATCTAATTGGTTTATACATCAAGCTGATCTCCATTTCTCTGTACAACAGTAAGAAAGATTATTTAAAATTTGCAAAAACATAATACAAAAGTCGCATAGGAATAACAGAACTATAGGAAGATGCATGCTCGCTACATCAAAACAGGTCAAGGATTGATTTAGCACGTGTGAACGTAGTGTGTGCCGTCTGTTACGATTTATGCTTAATTGAATACTGGGACAATATGCAAAAAAGGAAGTTACTCAAATATCCATAGACAATCTAACTTCTTGTGCTTGTTTTTATAATGATTTTATCATTCTCAGAAAATGCACATTAGAGAAAATTAACAAGTTATCTTCTATACTAAAGTGAATAAGAAAGAAGCATAGTGAATACTTGTACAGTATTAAAATATAACAAATAAGCAACAACACAAACACTAGCAAATTAGAAACAAAGTTTAAATTAATTATAATATAATTAAACACATCAAAAAGTTCCCAGATATATATATATATGCACACAAATAAATATGCATGCATAGAGTTTAATTTTAAAAATAAAATCATGAATTCTTCATTAAACTATAAACAATGTCTTATATCATTTAAGATTTGCATTGTAAATTGCACAAAGATTCATTTATAAATTGTATCTACATGAAATAAGTTCAACCTAAAATAAATTTTAATTCTGTATCATTGAAATGCTTTTTTTTATTATTATTATTATTTAAAAGTATTCAAACACAATTTACAGGGAAGTAAACTAGCAACTTCGGCACAGAAAACACACAAACATAAAAATCTAAGCAAAGTGCAACATTTTTGATCTTAAAACTTTGGATAAAATGAATAAAATTTCTGTACGAACAATTTATAAATGAATTTTAAACATGTTCTTAAAGATATTCTCTACTGAAAATTTACTTCTAAGAGATCAAAATGGGTTTTGCTGTTGTCTTTTTGTGTGGATTATAAGCAGTTGTGCCCAAAAAGTTGATGCCAAAGCATCACAAAATTGTACTGTACTAAAAAAAAGTCTGCATAAACTGACATTGGAAAAAAAAAATGTTTTTCCTTCCACCGACTGTGCACACTAGCTACCAGATGAGCCGTCAGCCCCGTTTTTCTGATCCAGCTTGTTTTTGTTGTTTTTGACCATATAGATGAAAAATGTTATAGCTTCCTTCTCTATCACAGGTATTGTTTTGAAATGCCTTGATAATGTCTGTAAAAAGAAGGAGAATGAAATATATTAAAAGTTTTCTAAATTTTCAAACAATGGAATTTGTAAAAACAATAACATTGGGTCTGAAACGCTTTATAGAAACTTCACATAATGCCTAGAATTTCTGTATTTTATTTATCTTTGATCCTTTTAATAACTGAAACAACTGAGAATCTAGAAACAATGTACAGTGTAGGGCCATTAAGCTACACAAAAAGCTTGGATCCCAATTTTTTGACACTATGGATCATACGGATCTGGACGTGGCCTCTCAAACACTCGAGACAGGTGTTGACAGCTGTCATTCTGGCATTTCAAATGTCTGTGATTGATGTGCTATGCACTATTGTGGATTAAATATTTAAATGCTGGCTTATAACTTCAAAGAGGTATTTATAGAAGATTAGTCTTTTATTTATCAATAAACAATAAAATAACTTACAATGAAATTCAAATATAGTATTAATCTGTTTTAGCCACGCTGAGTGTCAGCGTTATGGAGGTTGCCATTATAACTGATCCACACCTTACAATGCTACAAAGTTAATCCATGGTAAATCTGCAAAAAATCGACTCGTATTTAAAGTACAGTGTATTATCTTTAATTTGATAATCTGATAAAACTTGAAATTGTATAAATATGAGTCACAAACCCAATGTAAATCACTTCAGTTTCTGAACGTATAGCGTGCACATCATATTTGCTTTAAAAATTTTTACACCATGAATAATAAACATGAACACCCTTCATATGATCTGTTATTCTTAAATAATAATTTATTAATTTCAAGACTTAATCAAAAGACATTTATTTTTTCATTATTTATTGTAATTTATACATTATCAAAAATTATTTAAGCCGTGGTTAAGCAGTTTGGACCCCAATCACTGCGGCTTAATGGCCCTACACTGTATTGTTATATAGGGTGCATAGTCCCTTTAACTGGAAAATTCTTGTGAACGGAGAGAGCTACAGTTATGCGAGTGAGGTAACGGTATAGTAAAGTAACTACGCCTGACCTAATGCAAATGACAGCAGCACCCCTAGTGGCAAAATTTGGAAGATAGGCAGTGCAAATCGAAAACGAAAACAATTTGATAACATCACACAAAAAACAATGGAAAGGCAAACTGTCACACAGTGATAACAAGTTAATGTCGAGTATGTTCAAAAAGTTTGCCATTGCTCACGATACATGCCATTGTTATCAAACTGTATTGACGTAAGTACGTATTTTATGCAATAAATTATGTGTATTTCTTCATATTTATGGCTATTCCTTTCAAGCGTTTACACAAAATGGCGTGCATTGCTTTCGGACATTTTTGGGTATACAGGCGATAATTTATCTTATCCATGCGAACCACATGTCGTTTCGTACTAATTAATTGATGCTCTAAAACTTTCTAATTGAAAAGTTTGCTCTATCTGTTTTCGTTTTCAATTTGCACTGCCTATTTTCCAAATTCCGCCACTAGGGGCGCTGCTGTCGTTTGCATTAGGTCGGGCGTAGTTGCTTTACTATACTGTTACCTCAATTGCATAGCTGTAGCTCTCTCCGTTTGGAAGAATTTTCCAGTTAAAGGGACTTTCCTATGCACCCTGTATAAGTGCAAAAATAGACATGCCCAACCACTTAGCAGCCAAAAGCATCTAGTCTCTAGACAAATGAAAAGCATAGCCTTTCATTTGTTATGTGACAGTCGAGCCAAAACATGAATAAATCTTTCGCATTCTGTATAAAACAGTGATCAGCAATTGAAGTTTTTGCATTCGAATGATTTTGCATAAAGGGAAGAGTAATCAATACGGTGAAATACTGAAAAACCTTATGAGCACTCAAGAGAGATATTTGCAGAATAAGGCCAGAAAGAATTGTCTTTTTCTTGCAATAAGATGGGAGCCCACCACAGTAAGGAAAGAACAAAACACTTAAGAATCCAAAGTTACAAGTTATTCTGTACCCTCCTCTTGGTTTGGATCTAACACGTCAGATTTCAGTCATTCCCAATTTAAAGGAGACAGAAGGGTCAAGACTTGTCGAATGTCAAATTCGAGCTTCCAAAGGAAAATGAAACAAGAAAAAAATCAGCAAGTTCTTTCATGCACAGAATATAAAAAATAATCCAATGATTGGAAAAATCTATCATTCTAAATGGAGATTATATCAAAAAATCAATGTGATTAAAATAAAACGATTTTTACTACTTTTTAAAATGGTAACATTATTCTCGCTCTCTTCCAAAACTGACTATATAAATGGAAATCTTATTTATTGATCAATCCCTGTAAATCAGAACAATCCATACAACAATTCAATAAAATTCCAACAACACGCTCTTACATGAAATTATATAATTCTTTAATAAGTTTCACAATATACTAACTGGAGCCTCAATTTCTTGTATGATTTTAAATGTTTTCATATAATTTTTCTTCATGAATTGTTTAGTTTTGAAAGAACACCGTCAGGCACTTTGGAGCATAACAAATAGATATTGGGCTCTTCGTTTATATTTATTGAGATTAATTAAATTTTATTACAGACTGAGACATAACGACAAAAATATTAACTTTCTTCACAGACTGTGCCAAACGATGCAATAAAGTGAAGAGATAAAAATCTTCAATGGTTAAAATTTAATAATATTTTACAATCTTTTGACATTCTGTATAAATTATTTGAAAATTCAGAGGATGACTGGAAATATGGATATGTGCTACCAATGGAACCAACATTTTCTCCATCTACAAAATTTGTTAGCTCAATCTGTATTTCACCCGTGGCATCGAAACATCTTAAAAATTCATTTGGGATCAGATTATATGACAATGAACATAGAAATAAGCATAAAAAGGTTGTTAATACAATTAAGATTGAATAAATTCTCGTTATATCAATGGATCACTGCTATTGATCTGCAACACAAAAGAATTCCTTGTTATTAGTCTTCTAAAAGACCATGAGGAATTTCTAAGTTAAATCAATAAAATTTTTGAAATGTTACAATAAAATCCATCTTGTGACTATTGAATGACTTGTCAAGACTTCAAATGTCAAGCTTAAATAACTTTTTTAAAAGTTTTGTTAAAGAACAAAATGGAAATAAAAAAATAATCACTTGTGTGTGAATTTATTAAAACACACTATCGCATAATCTAATTACAATACACTCTCCGTCAACTAAAATTCGACTAGCAAAAAGAACAAGATGAAAGAAATAATATTTTAAATAAAAATAGAATCAATTTCCAGTGGAAATGTAAGTCTAAACTTGGCACACTGACCCATGAGTAAGCCCACACATTGCACACCACATATCTGTCTCCCACTCCCACCAATTTTCCACGTGTAAACTAAGTGCTCAGTTGAGATCAACTGTTATTCAAATTTTGTGTTCTCACCCAACCCAAGTTTGTCTTTATTTGGTTTGAATTACCATATTTCAATATTAATATTGAGTGAATACAGAGTTTACAGTACAGTATTAATTAGGCTTATTTTTAATAGTAATTCTCAAACAACCAGAAACTAATTTATCCACATCTACCAATCCCCATGAGTGCCGATTAACTAAGAGTCTTCTGTATATAAATTTATATTGGTTACTTTTTGAAAATAAAAATATTCCTGTGTTAAAATACCATAAAACAATGTAACAAGTACATTACTCCAGTAACGGAAATTTAATCTTATTACTAATAAACTGATTATTATTTCTTGGGTAAGATAATAATTTGTTAATTTTTTTAATATTTAGTAGACTAAATCGCTCGACTAGTTTCTTATAAAAAAAGTTTAGACCCGTCAATATGTATATCGATAAAATTTAATACGCGTAAGTAAAAAATTAATTTAATAAAATATTGTACATACGTCGGCTAACTGAGCTTTATTAGCACTGGGCCTTGTTTGGATCTTATAGTGGCGCTTATATCGACGAAGAGTATTCAGTTGTAATTGAAATAAATCAACCTGAGAAAAGAAAAGTATAATTTTATATATTTTTAACATGACTTTTGCATTCTAAAATTAAAAATATTTGTGTTGCTTAACTCAATTATTAAGCATTTGAAGGTCTAGCATCTCCATTTGAAGGAGAGAACAGATCCAAGCGTGTATTTTTGAATAAAGAAATTATTTATTCTTAACTTTACAATATAAAGATTTCACATAAATTTTTTAAGTTATTGACATTTAATTAATTTGACTCACTTCTGGTAAATCGATATCCTGATCATTAGAGCCGTTATCGTCATCGCTATCTTTCCGTTTTCGCTTTGCACGGAGACTCTGTATGAAACCCTTATGGTAGTCACAAATGTATATGTGGCGAGCCTAGTTAAGAAAAAAATACAATCAAAATACTTAAATGTTATTTTTGACAAGACTATGTCTTGTTTATAAAATCACAGTGCCGTTATGGTTCCACACCTTAGAGATATAAGGGGGACTGTCAGGAGTTGCAATTCGGCACAGAGTATTAGATGCCCAAATAAAAAAAATCAGACTTTAGATACTCAGGGAACCAAGAACTAAGTCAAAATAAAATACAAAATGGTGACATCTTTCTACAAACAGGCAAGAGTGCGAGATTTGTGATATATATTTCAAGAAGTTGGAAATGCAAATGTTGCAGCGAAATTGAATTTTGACAAACACACGCGTTGGGAAGTTTGAAATGTAAATGAACGCTGCGAAATCAAACTTTGACAAACAAATCTTTGAAAAAAACCCATTTACCTCTCTGGTCGCAACCTGCTGATTTTGACCGGAGATATCTCGTTTCAGCATCAGAACATTTTTGAAACTAGATAGGCACTAGTCATTATAATTTTATATTATAAGTAACTTCCGAAATATAATTTCTTTTTGGTTTTACATTTATTAATATATTTATTTTGTTTGTGCAAAATAAAAAAAAAATTCGGATGATACAATAGTCACAATTATTTATTTTCAAAAATGGGAAATTTTTGTTATGCATTGACAAAAATTTAACCTGGGGCGACACGCAATAAACAGAAATTTTGACATTGGATAATTGGATAGATAAATTTTACCAAAAATGCCTCGTGGACAGCATTGCCAGATTTTGCTATCCCCTTTTTTTAATTTGGCGTAAAAAATATCATTTGGTGCATTGGCTACTTTTTGGGCTACATTTTTTGCTACATATTATTTATAAATATATTAGTTGAATAAAAATGCACTTTAAAATGGCGTTTCATCGTTTTTTATTAATTAGAGACTCAAATAAAACAAATATTTGTGTTTTTCAAATAAATTTTTCTGTCTACTTTATAATAAATGAATTTAGCTATTTCTAAGTAAATTGAAAGTGTCTGTAGAAGTAATTTTTTTAAATATCCTTTTCCGTGATAAAGTTTTAATACTTATTACTATAATCTAGACATGTTAATCCTTAAATAATAAAAGTAGAAAAAATAATATTAATTTTCCTACAGTTATTTAATTTGAAAGTTGTCTGAGACTTCTTTATTAAACTAATATGTGCATTTTGAATATATCAATACCCTTCATCAGTTTGGTTTTTGTTTTTCTGTTTTAAATGATGTTTTAAAAGTGATTTTAACTTTTCCTTATGTTATTTTCGATAATAAATTTAATATCTGTTTTTAACCTTTTCAAATATTGTTTCTTTTTACTGTTATTGTTTCTCATCCATATTATTACTATGCTAATCTTTCGGAGGTCAGAGTATTGATAATGTAAAAAATGTATGCTATCTTTAGTCTCTACAGGGGGAGTGCCACAATGAGTCTCAAACCACTGAAAACTTGCTAGGGCCTGTATATCATTATACCGTATATACTAGTAACCAATTTACTTTTATATTATTATTGTTCATAATTCAATTATGTATACAATTTTTTGCAAATAAACTAATAACTATTAATACAATATCATTATGGAAAAAGTTTATCATGCAATATTTAGAAAGAGAAGCTGTTACCTGTGATGGCAAATCATTATCATGTAATGTCATTACAGCAAAAGGTTTATGAATAAAACTAGAAATGATGTTATTTTTTTATATTTTTGAACATATTGAATATTCTTTTTATCAAATAAAAGAAAAATAAGCAAATACTATTTAAATATATATGCCAGAGGTTGTTGACTAGATGTGATTCCAAGGTGCACTTACGGAATTAATATCGATAAGAACTGACAGCGTGGTAATACAACATAATGCGGTGATGCCAAGAGAACACTTCTTTCGTTGTTCATCAGAATAAGCTTGCATCGTGTCCATGCAATAATAATGTGATTTATATTTTTTAACATATTTCTATTAACTTTAGAGGGTAGGGCAATAATATCTAAGCTTCTCATTCATTCTCCAAATGATTGGACATGTTATGTAAGCCAAATTGATAATATTCAAGAATTATGCATTACTTGTGAACAGTTCTTCAGTCATTATCAATATACATTGTACAGTAGAACTCCAATTATCTGAATCAATCCAGATAATCACAATTTTGCTATACTTACAGATAAGTCAAAATATTCAGATTCAAGAAATTTAATCAATAATCATATGCAAGTAAGAACATAATTTATATAAAATATTAAAATTTTAAATCAGAATAACTTACGTTGGGGTCAATGTTTAATTTTGACTTTCGCTGAGTGAGCGTTTTCTGAATGCGTTTATTGTAGCTCGCATTGCCTGCCGGTCGAGAACATCTTTCGTTGTCATCCAGAAGACAGCAGATCTGATTGTGACTGTTTTGAGTTTCTTCTTCTGTACTAAATCCATTCATGTTTGATTAATCTAATGAAATAAATTCACTGTAAATTACAAGTTTTAAAAGACATAATAATCATAAAAGTTGACATATACTTTATTTTCATAAAGTGACAGAACATTTCCTAACTAAATAATAAACATAACTGTATACAACTTTTTCTAGTACTTAATTTCATGAAATTCTGACTTAACTGCCAGTGTTGCCTGGAAATATGTAATCAGATGTAATGATATTGTGCATTACACACAATAGCATGAAATGCACAATGCATATAGACATATCCAATGAAAACACAGGAAATCTTATCGGATGGTTAGAAAACTACATGCAAAGAATCTCCTCAGAAATTTCAGAACAGTAAACAAACATTAAAGTCACTGGAATAAATTACTTCTAACTCAAAGATAGAAGAGATTAATATGTCTTCTGCATTTGGCATGTTATGAAAATATAGTATTTTTTGTTTAATTTTTGTAAAAATAAACCTAGAATAAGATTTTGTTTTACTTAAAGTTAGACAAAGGTTACAACCCACAGTCTTCACATTATCTATGCTTTTCTTGCCATCTTCAGTTTTATAACGGGCAATTTCTTTTAATGCATTATTCCTAACAATATAATTTGATCTATATAGTCAAAATCCTCCTTGGGTTTCTTTTATCTATCATTTATTAAATATCAGTGCTGCAAGTAGTACATAAAAGTGTCTGGATATTTGTTGAACTGTTCAAGCTTTTGGAAATATATTTGGTAGCATGTCTACACATTGTTGATGGCACAGCCATATGATATCGAACTTTATGATACTACATATCATAAACAATATAAAATTCTTTTTAGAAATAGCATAAATAAAAGCTATTTATATATATCTGCAAGAATTTCTTAGTATAGAATAAGACAATCATTTTAATGTGTCTCAAGTATTCATTTCAGATAGTCGCTTACTTATGTTTTATTGGAATTTAAGTTTATTTAGAAACTTTGTCTCATACCCAGTACTTTTGGACTACTTACCAATCTATCCTTAGGGTAAACTTGAGAATGTTATTTGATTTACCCTCAAATATAGACTGATGACAAGCCCTAAAGTATTCGAGTGCAAAAAAAAGTTTCTAAAGGATGTTGAACTCCAATGAAACAGAGGTTAACAGATATTTGAGTTGAAGGAATTTGATTTAGGATTCATTTTATAATCAACTAAATTGCTAACTGTGAGATAAAATAATATCTTATGGAGAATTGAAATCAGTGAAATGTAAACAAACTCAATCCTTAGTTTTAGAAAAATAAAGATAATTATACTAACTACATTTTTATACTAAGTTAAATGTTATAAAACTTGTTTTAATTTAATTACTATCTAAATCAGAGAAACATACTTATAAATTTACACATTATAACTTTTCTATAAACTGCATATAATTTGAAATACAGTAGGATACCACTTTTACAACCTGACTTTTCCTCGAAAAATCATAACCATATTTTGCTCAAGTAATGAATTTGTAATGAATTTGGTTCTAAGTTTCTTCCAGCAAACAGAATTTGAATATAACAATACTAAACTGAGATGGCTAGTGAAGACATTTCGTAAACCACGAGAGAAAATTTATGTTGGTTATAAGAAAAAAGCTGTAAAGAGAATAGTTGTGAGTGGAGATGTACTTAATACAGTCGACCCCCCTATACGATATAGATACGTTCCAATTTATTAGGAATCCGATTTCTTACAAGTCGTTCCAATCACAGCCTGACACGTGTCAAGTTTACGGACTATGGCTGATTGAAAGGTTTTCTTCCATAAAATTAATCGATTCTACACTAATCCGACTCAACATTTCCAAAATACGTATATTTTTTCGTAGTTTTATAGGAATCGTAATTATAGGGGGGTTGACTGTACAATATTATCAAATTATAAATAGTAAACCTGTAGTTTCAACTTATAGCTAAACCTCACAATTCTGTTAATTTATGGTAGGTACTGTACATTACGGTATGGATCAATCTCAGCCACAACCAATGTGCCCGTGAACAGTTTAATAAGCTTTTACTGGAATGTCTGGCAACTTAACAAAAAAGCTAACAGTGCTATATTGGCATTTTCAGACTTTTGTCAAAATAACCTTGGTTAATACAGATGAGTAGTAAAAGTGACATTAATAATAAAACCACAAGTTCACCACATCCATGGTGCAGCAAATGCGATGCACATTGGTCGCTACACGAGCGAACTTGTTGGTGAGTACTGGAACACATTTTACAGTCAACTCACAAATTGTTAGGAAAACAGTAATTAGTCTGCTGTATCGAAAATTCATATTTATGATTTTTAGGATCAAGGTCATATAATTTATGGAGTTAAGAGTTAATAGGCAATCAATATCTTTAATTTATTTTTATTCCAATGAAACCATTTGTTTATTTTATTTTGCTTTTCATAGACACAATGTAGTGACACTTTTCAAAACTTTTCAAACACTAGGCAGATTATTCATCTTTTATTTGGTTGGGACGCTAATTATGCATCCAAACCAAATAAAAGATGAATAATCTGCCTAGTGTTTGAAAAGTTTTGAAAAGTGTCACTACATTGTGTCTATGAAAAGCAAAACTAAAATCTTTCATTTATATTTTGATTTATATAAATTAATTTATATTAATTTCCTAAAAAAATTATTTACAAAAATAAATTTAGATTTTCAAAATCTAACAAAATGAGGAGAAGACAGTATTTGCCAATTAAGTTTGGAGCTTTATATCAGAATGGTTAAACAAAACAAAAAAGAAATCCACGATTTTTTTTTCTGTTGAAGATTGTTTGAAAAAGTATTGATAGAAAATATTTTTTGGTACTGAAAGAGTAAAAAAGGACCGAAATTTGATGTAAAGTAGCAAAACCTGACATCAGTGTATGCACCCCTTGATATGCAAACTAGCATGTGTTTGCATGGGAGGACCGCACCATTTAAAGAGGTGGACGTCCTTAAACTTTAACCCGTTTTCTGAGTATAGTAGAATGGTCCACCAAACCAGATTGTTTCAACTGCTGTACAATCAGAGGTCAAACCTGCCTTTGCTTATTAGGAGAAGAAAATTATTCTACTCAAAATAGAACATTTATTATGGTACCACTTTGCTTTTTACACTTTTCAAAGTGAATAATAAAATCATTATTGAAAATAGGATATTGTGAAGATAGTTCACAGTTTGGTTTAATGAATTCTGGTAAAATTTCTATTCATTTTATCACACGAAAATTAATGTTGTGACAATGGTGTTTTGCCAAGGCAATGGCAAAATTCGCTTTATTACTGTTCATTTTAACAAGTCGACTGTAGTACATTGTGGTTCATCGATGTAATGTTTGATGCATATTGGAATGCACCCAGTAGTATTACTTAAACTCAAACTACTCGTTACTTTTGGACTACATTTAATTAATTAAAAGTTTAAAATTTTCCCCAAAGTTAGCTGTACATGTTGTCATCTTTCACAAATACAGTAGAACCTCGAAAACTCGGCCTAATGTGGACCGAAGGGTGGCCGAGTTTGTGAAAATGCCGGGTTATCGGGAATGGGGTTAAAAAAAATAAGTACGAGTGTTTCCTCAGAAAATACTGTACTGTACTTGTATGTATTGTTTACTTGAGAATATAACAGAGAATAAACTGCCCAAATACCCTTAAACAAAGGAAAAGTACGTCCTTTATGAAGGCATAGAGCCTTTACTACATGAAAATGAAAATTAATGAATACACTGTGTACAGTAATTTACCTGATAAGACAGACCTCAGAAAAATACTTTATGAGAGCTTTTATACTTTTATAAAGCTGTCTATAATGAAAATTAATTAACTAAGGATTTTTTTGCCCTGCCAGGGTGTGGCCGAGTTATCCGGAGTGCCGGGTTATCGAGAGCCGAGTTTTCGAGGTTCTACTGTATTAATAATTACAAATACACTGGGTGATCGGTTAACAAACAGATCGAATAACGAACACTCCATAGAACAAACACAAGAAGAAGCGATGTAAAATACCGATTGGTCTTCCCTTGTCTTAGGGCAACAATTTGAAACCTTTTGGAGTGTGGGAGACGTCAACATCGACGCTCAAGCCGGTATATACCAATCAGATAGTATTCCTCCAAACTTTGAAAGTCTCCCTTGTAATTCCAGCCTTTTATTTTCCTGACAAAACAATTCTTTTATGTATTCGCGAGACTGTCGGGTAGGCACAAGTTAAGTTTTGCATCTGCTTTTCTTTTCGAAAGGTCAGAGTATAATAGCAAAGGTAGAGAAGGTGGGCAGAAGATGCCTAATGTTTCTGGGCAGTATGGCTTGAACAGGTCTACAGTAGACCGTAGTTAAATCTCATCTAAGAAAGATACTGTATTACCAAGAAGACTCAAGCAGCTAAAAGAGTAACAAAAATAACATCTGAGAAATAAAGAACATCGAAGAGTTCATAATGGAATTCAAAACGGATCTGACGACAGAACACCACCAAGAACTTTTGAATGAAGAACATCAAGAAACTCGGCAAGATATATTTTCTTCTGAAAAAGAGGATTAATGCCAATATCTGTTATTAAAGATCTTTTGTAGTAGTAGGAGGATGTCAAAGTAACAATCATAGAATGGCATCCAAACCAGGTTGAGGCTTGGGGATTTCTACAGTTGCAATGCTATTAATAACTACTTACGAAAAATCCTGAAGAGAGAAAAGCAATTGACATTAGACAGATTATTTAACCCTTTCAAACAGAAAAAACATGACTTATAAACATGCAAGACTGTGTATGTATGTATTTTTATTATTACATATAAATAAACATAGTAAGAAAGTATATACTTTTTATTTTTGGGGGTCTCTGGAACGAATTAATTAAATTCCCATTAAAACCTATGGTAAATCGATAATCGGTTAACGAACAATTCAGATAGTGAACAAAGTCTTGGAATGGATTATGTTCGTTAACCGATCACCCACTGTAATTTCAAATTTAAATTTAGAAAAA